GTTGTACCTTGTTCTGCTTTCACCCTTGTGTTTGGAGCCATTCGACATGAGACCAGCAATAACGATGGGTAGTTTTGCCATGAATGTTTTAGCTTGGAACAACTACATTGAGGACAGTCCCTCTCGTTCACAAAATCATGCCCCAGCGGCTTGCTGTGTGTGGAAAGCCTTGAATCAAAGGGTATCAGCAGCAGCGTCGAAACAGCACAAACTTTCAGCAGCATACAGCCGCATTTTCATGGCAGCGCGACACAGCTACCCGCAGCAACAAGCAAAAGATTATGTTGAGTCCTTACACAACTACATTGAGGACATGTTTTTTGTTCGCAAGATCGTGCCCCAGCGGCTTGCTGTGTGTGGAAAGCCTTGAATCAAAGGGTATCAGCAGGAAGCCAGGAACCCATGACTGTCTGTCCTGGCCAACGAAGACCGGACAGCATAGAGGTGAAAACGTACCTGCAAATGTCTGATTTCGGATATGGCCAGGTGGCTAAGCCATAAACCACCCTTGCCAACATGACATAGGAACATAACATGACATGATTTCATGTAATCTCATTTCATCCTCTCCCTTCGGGGTGTATCCAAGTGTGTGTGTGTGTATTATCAACAAGTATCTACAATATATCTATATAAGACACCACCTGTGTGCATATAAATAAACATTGTAGAATATATAATATTATTTATGCAATGTTTATTTATATATATATCATTTTCTACATATACAGTATACACACACATGCACAAACTGTACGTGGCATGGATGTGTGACAGGTTCACGCATCTTCGCCCCCAGCTCCTGACTCTGCCAGTCCCAGCTCCCCTTCGACACGCTCCTGAGCCGCGAGTTCGAACTGACTGGGTGGGCAGCGGGGGGATACCCAGCGGGTTGATACCCAGCAGATGCTTGGGATATGGTTGTGCAGTACCAGTATACCACCTGATGGTGAAAGCTAGCGATGGTGATTGTTGGTGTCTTAGGGTTTTACCAGGATACCACATTGAGGAAGGAAAGAGGAAGTAACAGCACAGGTGCTCACGTTGGCAACGCGAGATTCACAATCGTACTTCAAGAGAAAAGAGCTCGAAGTCTTTACTTTTTTCAATGGACAATTCTGTGAATCATGTACTGAAGATGTTATTTCCATCCACTTTAACATTTATTGAAGGGTAAAACCCCGCATCACCTATCAAGGACACCATCGTGATACTAGACTTGTAGCACCTCAAAAATGCATGAACATTCTATATTATATCACATTGAGGTTTCCTAAGTCATGGGGGTACCCCCAAAATCATCCAAGTCATTAGACCATTTTAGTAACCCATGGTGACTTGGGGATCCCCCATTTTAGGAACCCCCATATAGGGAAAACATCGTCCAAACATATTTGGGGTCTGACTCCCACCATCCAACTCCCAGCAGCCACTCCGTAAAAAACCCTCCTTGTCGCGCAAGCGATTCCAAGAGTCCGCTGTGCTGGGCACTGCACCCTGGCTGGTTGCAGCCCACTGATCTCCCAATCGATTGTTGGCATCTCAATTCTCTTGGAGATCTCAGTGATCCATATGGTCCGATTCAATGGAGAATAGATACTTGTATGCAATATATATATATATAATTATATATATAATGATACATATATATAATTATATATATAATTATATATATATATATGCAATCTCCGTTGAAGTTTGGTTGCATTAATTAATCCCCATTGGTTGTTAGTTATCTCCCCATGTTCTTCAGCTCTCGCCGGGACAGAGGACGCCTCAGCCTCGGGTCCTGCAGAAGTGGTGACTTGGATGGGATTTAATGGCACAATTTCGTCAACCTTGATGAGTGATGGGTTTAATCTGGAGAGTAGGCCACCATCGGTGGTGGAGTTGTGAAAGCTGTGATTCCGTCATGTTTGGATTTTGTTTTTTTTGTGTGTTTTCTTCGTCAAGGATGGAATCAACCAATATGTATAATGTATGGGTAATCAGCTTCTGATGGTGGAATTTGTGGTCAGTCCCATGCGTGTTGTTGAGTGCAGCCTTTGTTATAATAGAGGGTGGAAGTTTGGAAAGACATCTGGGTGAAGGACACTTTCCTACAGCCGCTGTGAAGGGCTTTTGATTTGAGGTCTAGATGATTCTAGATGCATGTTTCTTGACACAGAGCATCCCTGTCAATAAGTTCAATATATTTCAAAGATAGTATCCTTCCTTTGAAGAATTATGTGCTTGCAGGTTTGTACCTATGCTATGAAATAGAACTATACTTTGCTCTGTCTATGGAATGGTCTGCCGGGCAGCCCTTTAAAAAGGAATGGACATGTTGAAAGCCTCTTTGAAAGGGACAGCGCACTCAGATGAAAGAGGTGTTTCACTTCTTTCAGGGGAATCATTTAGGTTATTGAAGAAAAGGTAATTGATTGAATGGTTTTACTTCAAAAGGAGTCTTCCCAATGAAATTAGATTGGCAAATGAAGGCATTCAATCAGTTTGATCCTTTTGAATGAAAGCAAATGACCAGATTGATTCCTTTTCAGATGTGTGAAAAAACGTGTGTGACCCCTCCACTCAGGCCCCCTTCTGTTGTTAATCTTTGAGATTTATGGGTTTATGGATGGTTATGGTGATTGAATCAACAAAAAGGGTGCTGTAGTGGAGTTAAACCGACAGAAATGTGGTTCTCAGCAACCAGAACGGGAGTTCACCCAAAAATGAAGAGTGAACGAAAACAATTTTATAGGGATTTAGTGGGGATTTAATTAATGGGGGCCCTATTTCTGGACAAATCCACATGACCATGCGAAACATTGTTTTGAGAAGAAACATAATCTGTAAATGGAGTTCAACCCATTGCAAAACTACGTAGTGGTTCAATACGGAGACTTGTCAACAAGGTGATAATTTCCTTTCGCAAAAATTGCACCATCAACCAAATGCAACACCGGAGTGGTTGATTGTCTCCTCATCTGAGTTACATAGTTATAATTATTAAAGTTGAAGTATAGAATGATCCATGTTTCCTGCTTAAACAGCAGCAGCATCTTTTGCTGTTGTCATGTCGATGTCTTGCATGAAACTAACGTGTGTTTTCCCCACCTGCCAGGTGAGGGTCTCTAGTTTAGGTCCGCTTGCTCTTCCTCCTCCTCCTTTCGCGTCCTCCCGCAAACTTACAGGCTCTCTAGGGCTCGCCAGACCCGAACAGTATACCAGGCCAGAAAAAATGTCAGATAGAATGTCGAAAATGTGTCCGGTAAAACGTCAGATAGAATGTGGATAAAATGTCAGATGGAATTTCAGATAGGATGCCACATGAAATGCAAATGCTCAAAAATATGTCAGAACATATGTCAGATAAAACATCAGAACCAATCAGAATATGTCAGGTAGCATGTCGGAAAATATACCAAATGTCGTAGAATGTCAGAATCTATGTCAGATAGAACGCCGGCACATATGTCAAATAGAATGCCAGATCAAATGTCAGACAGAATGTGATAATATGTGATAATAGATATCAGATAGAATGTCAGTTGGTGGGGGATCACTCGAGTCGAAGAAAGTATGTTTATATAATTTCAGTTTTCAAATCAATCCCCGCTTTAGTTGGTTAATCCCCCACAACATGTTGTTGGATGTCAACTTTCCTAGCGGGAAATACCAGCCATTTCAGGTTCGCAAAAAATCTTTGTACTCAAAATGACCAGCCATTGTGGCTGCATCGGCAACAAAATTTTGACCTGGGCCGATACCCATATCATATTGTTGGTAATATACAATGGCATCTCCTCCTCGTACCCCTGATATCCTAGTAAAGTGAATAGTTCAATCCACACTTGTTTATTGGTTCAATCATTCAATCCAAAGTTTGGTTGCTTAAATGCCGTTTCCGCTGGTTATAATCTATTAAATCCCTTTTGCCATAAATTTGATGAAACATACGGGGTAGATCATGGATGGATGGATAGATAGATGAATAGACAGATGGATAGATCAATAGATCAGTAGATCAGTCCATCAGTCGATCAGTAGATTAGATGGTTAGATAAGTATATAATGTATATACATCATATATATATATGTTTATGGCAGTGTGTCAAAACCTTGTACCCCTGTAGTTCACATCAAAATAGCTGGGATTTATGGATGTTCATCCCACTAAAAATGGTATTTTCATAGGTATTGATCCATACCCATATATTTATTCAGACATTCATCCGAGAACTCCATTCCACCCCCTCTGTCCGTCGCTGGAAATCGTCCCGCCGGCCGCTTGGGCTTCGGCAGGGGCCAGCCTGGAACCCCAAAAAAAACCAGGCCGTTGTTCCGAGGGTTCAACGTTCAGGGTCGAACCAACAAAATATCCAAAATGGAGAGGTACAACCAGCAAAATACCAAAAATGCTGGGTTAGAACCAGCAAAACATATTCAACTATGGACTTTAGAAACACCAAAAAAACTCAAGCCGCAAGACCAACTGTTTGGTTCCATAATAAGCTGCAACCATGAGGTTTTTTTTGTAACTTCAGCTGAGCTTCAAACAGCATCAAACATAGGTGTAGGACCAGCCAAACATGATGATCTGACTCTGCATGTCATTAGTTACAACTGGTTGGCAGTTTCAACCCACTTCAAACACTGTGATGGAAATAATGGCACGATGAAACCTCCAGCCAGTGTTGTATATAGTATAGGTGCATTGCGGATAATTATGAGATTGATCTTTTACTAACCAAACATTTTTGGAGGGAGAAGTACCGTATCCAACGCATTCCAAGTGGAAAAGGACGAAAAGGACCAGTTTCGGCACTTGTGTATAGACTTGTTTGTGTAGTCTTCTTGGGATTCCGGTGATGCTTACAATGGCAACCCCCCGCAACTTGTGGAACCACTGGTGTGATCTGAGGGGCTCTTACACACCCCACCTGCGCATGGTTGCCCCCCATCCCCCTTTTTGTGCAAAGCAATGGCCATCAACGGCCCCTTTGGCCTGGCCCCAGTCATTGCATCTTGTCCAACATCCGCTTCACCTGTAGCGTTGACAGTTTTAAGAAACTGGAGGCCAAGGACATGATGGTGAAAGCGCCACCAGTAATCGCAAAGATCTGCGTGATGTAGTCATACCAGCGTCGTTCAGCCTTGCCCACCACCACCTCCACCGGGGCCAGGTCGTAAGAGAACTTGGCCTTGGTGCCGGCCGCTTCAAAAACCACCGGATTTTACCATGGCAGTGGGATCAGATTGGTTGAAAGGGAACATATTGGTGGGACATTTCTGGTGTTCATCCAATGTCCCAGAGGCTTTGCGTCATAGCAATGTAATGAACTGTTGTCAAATTGAGGGATACCGGGATACCCAAGATTAATGGCCATTGATGCATGTGAATAATGATCAAAATCCATACCGTATAGGACTCTTTGAAACAAAAAGAACAAATGTCCTGTCCATGTTTTTGCTAGCGGGGGGGAACCGGACAAGATTGTTCATCGTTTTCCTGGGGTGGGGTGGGGTGTGAACGTTAATGTTCAAATGCACATTATCTTCATGCTACGTTAAAAAGATATTCTCTTGCACTTGCAAACCATCTTCATGCTACGTTAACACATCTTCTCTTGCACTTGCTAACTATCTTCATGCTATGTTAGCAAGATCTTATCTTGCACTTGCTAACTGTCTTCATGCTACGTCAACAAGATCCTCTCCTGCACTTACTAACTATCTTCATGTTACGTTAACATCTTCTCTTGCATTTGCTAACTATCTTCATGCTACATTACCAAGATCTTCTCTTGCACTTGCTAACTATATTCGTACTACGTTAACAATATCTTGTCTTGCACTTGCTAGCTATCTTCATGCTACGTTAGCAAGATCTTCCCTTGCACTTGCCAACTATCTTCATGCTACGTTAACAAGATCTTCTCTTGCACCTGCTAACATGGAGAAGATCAAAAAGAGATCTTACTTGGTGACTGATGTTGCAAAGGCATACCCCTCCTTGTCAAAGACATACCAGTTGAAACATGACGAGGTGAATCACGCTGCTGACAAATTTGTTCGCTTGAAGCGACGAGGACCAAAGCCAGCTTTGACTGTGCACACAGGTGGTATCGATTGCACGTGGAAGAAAATCAAAGATAAGCTTCCACCGGGCATTCATAACAGAAAGAAAGGCAAGATCAACAAAGATCAACAAAGCAGAGCAGGGACTGCGTGCTGCGAGCGACTGTCAAGCAACTGAAAAAGCAAGCGAAAATGTGAGGCTAAAAAGTGAAGTTTACTGACAAAGGATTCCAAAACTGTGGTAAAACGCGATTTTTTCACACAAATATGTTGAATAATTTGTTGAGCCTAAAAAAAACAATTTTCGCTCACAGGCGCAAGGGATTGTGACTTTCAATGTTGAGAATACCATCCTGTTGACCCCTCGGATGTTTTTGAGCCGGGCCTGAGGTGTCGTTCCCCTCTGGATGGTCTGCTCACTCCACTGGTGAGTCTGTTGATAGCTTCGAAAACCCGAGTCTTCGAATCTGGTGTGTACCACCTTGATAAAGTGGCTCAGGGCCTGACCATGCTGTTGGAACAAGATGAAGTAAACCCTCGGACTGGTTCTATCTGTTTTCCCTTTGTCTTAAGTCGTCCGAGAAAGAACCATGACAAATAACAATAAGACAATAACAATGTGCAATATAATGTTGTATATGTATATATATATATATACCTATAATGTAGATATATAATATATACATTATATATATAATTATAATTAATTATATATATATAATATATACATTATATATATAATTATAATTAATTATATATATATTGTACAGGTAATGATAGTATTAGTGTGTCTTTTTACATAACGACAAGCATCATTCCGCGTCTGAGCCATCGCACCAATGCCCATGTTTTTTGTTTGATTTCTTGGCCCCAAACCATCCAGTATCATCAGATATCATCAGATATTATCAGTATCATTCTAGTTTTTTGGAGGGTTTGTACTGGGTGTACCCAAAGTTTGGAAAATGCTTTGGCCCCATGGCCTTGTGGAACTTGTCCGCCACAAAGGTCTGCTTGGCCAAGGGATCCACATGTTGGCTGTATTGCCTTGGGAGTTTCGCCTTCAAACTCCTTGGCGCATCGCCGAAAGTTAGGTGATGCACCGTGTGGGACACATTGGTGAAGGCGGGGTTGATGTCTCGCTCTTTGGACTTGCCAACCTGCGGAGTCCAGCTGGAAAATCCATGAAGTTTCTGGATGGAAATCCTGTACCAGCTGGTAACTATTGATGACTATGAAATACTGTAAATAATTGGATTATAAATATAAATTATAAATGATAAACCATGTACCACCTGGTGTGTCTAATATGTTCAGATTTCGTCTGCACGTTTAGATATGTTTGTAGTTCGATCATATCAAATCATCATGATGTATCTCCGCTTTTGTGGATCGAAGCATCTTTTTAAGTATATATCTTAAAATCATCACCTACCAAATAGTTAGTCTAGTGCGTATGTCACCATATCATTAAATCCTCCCAAAAAACCATCATTTTTTCAGGATTTAACTCCAAATGCTGGATGGTTATGCAACCTCATGTTTATATATTGTTGCCATTCTCATTATGGGGGTTCTTAAAATGGTGGATCCCCAAATCGTCCAAGTCATTAGAGCTACTGAGCTTAAGAAACCATGCCTGGAAGTGCAGGGTGCCAGGCACTCGAGCCACATCCACCGTGCCTACAGTCACCACGAGGCACAGCCACGAGATCAATGGAGCGACTCTAAGGGGAAATCAATGGAAAATCACCTATAAATGGGGAAAAAACTATGACTTTAAGGTGCTGCACCATATTTTACCTGTGGTTAACATGTGTCAGAACGTGCTTTTTTCTAAAGGGGGTTGAGTTAAGCCAGACATGTTGAATCAGTTTTACCCACAACAATGAGGAGTAACCCACTGACAAAGATGGCGATCTTAAGCACAATCATTGGGAGATGGCATACAGTCTGGGTGTTACCCCCAACAGGTTACACCACAAAAATTATGTCATATGTGTTTTTTGCCCACAACACTAGGCGGTTTATGCACAAACATGGGGATACAACTAGACTTGAGCCTCCAAAATATTCTATGGCATCCGCACCAGCAAACAGCTACATCCCCATGATGCCCATGGCAGAAACTCTTCATGGCCAAAATACCAAAGATGCGACATCCTTCACTGAAGATATTGTGGTACTTGGCGCCCGTATGCAGATGTCTCTTGACGATTTCGCCCTTCATCCAGCTACTCAGTGCCTCCACGTTGTACTCCCCGCGGTACTCCTCAAAGCCGCCCAATCGACCGGACTTGCCACCGCCACCAGTGACGCCACCGCGACGGTAGAGGCGGACGGTGGGGTAGAAACGAATCATCTGCTCTCCGCAGGTGTCTTCGAAGTCCACACAATTGAGCTTCAACAAGTGGACCTTGGCAACATCTTTGCAAGGGACTCCGGTGGCCACTTGAGTTTTCTCATCACCTTTAAGAAATGTCTGGCGATGTGAGAAAAAACATATGATACTATGCTACTTTGCACACTACAGTAGAGAAGAGTTGCATGTAATGATCGTATTTTGTCAGAAACAAAACCGTCCAAGCTTGGTCCCGTGACGTTGGCGGCTTTGCCATCCGCATCTACTGCTAAGATCTTCCGTTCATTGACGGAGGTTTCCAGCTCATTCCAGGTTGGTGCAAACTGTCGGCAGTGGCCACACCAGTCGGCATAAAAATTGATCATCGTGAAATCGTGTGCGTCCACAACTGCCTGAAAGTATTGACCCTGACAACGAGACCTACGCATGGTGATTTGTCATATTCTGATGGTCCCTACTAAACCAGTTCCTCCAAAAACATTCTCATCTTGGTTGATTTGGCCCCCAGTTCCCCACCTGAAAGTTATCATGTTTGAACTTGTCACTGGATGATCCCCAGTCAGAATCCAACTCTGCCAGTTCTTCAGCAGTAAAACTGCGATCGCCAAATTCAAGCTCCAGCAACTCTTCCTCATTGTATGCTCTGCCCTTGTTCATACCTGGACTTGGCAGATTTTCACCCCGGAAGTTGGATGGTTATTGGCCAAAAAAAACGTAAGTGTTGAAACTGAATTGGATGGTGAACAAATGACAAATGGATACAAATGGTTTAAATTGACCTGCCATTTTCTATTCTGGATCCCTAGATTAAATGGTTAAAGTAACGGTTAAAGGATCTTAAAGACTTAAAGGTACAGTACTTGAAATGAATCCGCTATTTTTGCAGTTTTTTTCTAGGTAATTGGATAATCCTACAACCAGACCCGCCTGTATGATCAACTCGCTGCTTTCGTATATCTCTGCTGATGTTGAATCGCTCCGTGCCAAAGGCATCCCAAATTCCAACCGTCAAATGGTCGCAGTCCATATCAATCATCGAAATATCAAAATGAATTTTCAGCAATTCATCCTCTCGCTGGCGTTTCTTCAACACCCCTTTGAAAATGAATCTGACAATTCATAATTTGGGGATCTGGCTATGAATTATTCAATTTTTCAGCATGGGAAGTCACCAAAACAAACTCCAAACATCAGCACAAAGGGAAAGGATTAAGTCACTGATTGCCATACATGACTAAATGGCGCATCACTAAATTGGCAATCATCATCCCATTCTTCAGGAAAATCACAAGAACAAACAAAACATTTGTGGACCCTGCCGGAGTCCCAAAAATTAAAGAAAAGAAAACAACCTCCAAAAAAAACACAAAAACAATATTTATAGTTTATATATATATAGGGTTTTCCTAAGTCATGGGGTATTCCCCAAATCATCCACTGTAATCAGATTTCCCATCCAAAAAAAAAAACATCCATTCTGGGGTATCCCGACAAAATTATCACGTCCAAGTCCTCATTGGTATCCACGACCAGCCGTGTGGTGGGCGCATCCGTCAGAAAGGCGTTGGTTTCGCAGGCAAAGAGCGCCAAGCACGTGCCAACCTTGGTGCAGGCAGCAAGCAGCAACTCCAAAAATAGAACGGTGTTTCCAGGATGGTATAGAGATTACCCTCTGGTAATTTAACATAGCTATTAAAAATGGCCATTTATAGTGGATTTTCCCATTAAAAATTGGGATTTTCCACAGTTATGTTAGTTTACCAGAGGGTATGTGTTGTCCATGTTTTCCAGGTTTCCCACATGTCTAGCTTTTGGGTGGGGCTATGGTTTTTCTACTACCATCCGCTGTTATCAGCTCCATGGCTAGCTGGAAAATCCCCCCCAGCCACGTTTGATTTCCGGAGAGTATCCCAATTATATCCCCATTGTATTCCAATATACATCCCATGATACCACTCACTACCACCATTTTCTTGGGGGTACTAAAAAAATATCGTCCAGCACTGAAACACTGCAATGGAAAATCCCATGTATAGATGATTTTCCGATTCCAAGCTCCATTTTTAAGGGATCCAGTTGCCATGGTTGATTACCAGAGGGTACGAGTATTATTCTGTTAGTAATAGTGGGAATATTGTGGGAAATGTTCTCAATATAATGAGAATAGACGCATTTCCCCATTGAAACCTGTATCATTATTATTTTACTATTATTCTTCTTCTTATTGTTATTATGTTTATTATTATTATTATCATTATCATTATTTATTAATAGTAGTAGTATTGTTTATTAAATTTATTACAACTATCATTCTGATTATCATTATCACTATTACATACTATTCCATACTATTACTATCATCATTGTTAACATAGCAGCACCGCACGTTCAGAACTTCATCCCGGCCACGGCCATCAAGGTCATCACGGCCCCCGTGATGCTGGCCTCGGAGAGATCGCTGGGCACCTTGCGAAAGGCGTCGAAGCCATGGTACCAGGCCTTGCCGGCCACCTGTGGCAGCATCCTGGGGGCCGGTCCTGGTGTTTTTCGGTGGATTTCGGGGCGGAATGGACCCAAAGTGCTTTGATGAAGGCTGAAATGGACATGAAAAAATGATGGATTTTTGCCGAGCTGTTGTTTATTTGATGGATTTGTTGATCGAGTGATCGAAATGTTTGCGGCTGGGGAGATAGGTCATGCTTTGACGGATGCTGCGTGATGGATCTGATTCTGTTTTTTGGAGGGGGGCTGATGGGATAGAATGCCGCAACGGAAATGGTGTGGATGACAATAGAAATTCAGACTTTGTTCAACAGGTTTTCTGACCTACCCATGGGTTGGCTGAAACTGCATGGCAGAAACTCTGTGGAATAGCAAGAATCAATCACATGTCTTGGCACTGAGACTTTGTTTCATTTCTTATGTTTGAGTCAAAACAGCTCAATCTCCACGCATTGGTAGGGTGACAAAGCAGCCTTCTGGCTGTTCTGGTTGTTGTCTGAGCAGGATCTTTGCGACGCTTCACCCAGGTATTCATTGGTTGATTCGAAAAACCCATGGCAGGAAGGGATGATTTCAGAATGTGATCATTTCACTTGATGCTTCGTTCAACATCCGAATCCCGACCCTCTTAAGAGGGAACCTAATTGTCTCGGTCAAGTAGGAAGAAACTACAACTATCATGACAATGCCACACACGTCTATCTGATCTCTTCCAGGGCATGCAAATGATAATGCAAATGTGACTGGACATACAAGTAGAGGAATGCCTTTACCTAGGAACGCAGTCTGCAAAGACAATCATGTGTGTACATATATATATATATATTATGTAGTGTATCTGTATATATATATATACACACTATATATATATACTGATTGTATACACACCTCCCGTTTCAACCAACCAAGCCAACCTGTTGCATCTTCCCTATGGGTGCCTCCTTCTCCAGCGTGCACATGCCTGGCAACAAAGAACTGCTCCGGGGTTCTCCAACAATGGCTATATTTCCTATGTATATCTCCTGGAAATATGGTGGGGATAACCAACTCTTAACAAAGTTGTGGATAGAATTCCGGCATTTAACCAACAAATATAGGATATTTCATGGGGATATGAGGAGTGAACCCACCAAAATTGGAATTTCTCTGGCTTTTATCCAGAATTCACCTGAAATGTTCGGCCGCTTGCAGAGGTCGTGATGGAAAAAGTTCTGATGGTGAGATGGCAATGGGACTACCATGGCCAAACCATCTTGAATCGAGATCTTGCTTGGGAGGAACTGAAACTTGGGGAACTAAGCCATGTTCTTATTGGCCCTTGACATCCTTGGACCGTCTTTCAGGTGTGCACCTTCCATGGTGGAAACTGGGAAGCTAATGGGTGAGAAATCACGTGAGGTCCAATGAATCTTCAAAATGGATCAAAAGGAGTAATTGATTTTTTTGGTACTTACTGATCAATACAGTGGTAGCCGCCGCAAAGTAGGGCGGTTACAGCAAATATGACCCATGTGTGTGGGACAAAAACCAGCAAAAACCGTTCAACCATGTATGGGACAAAAAATATGAACCCAAAAATGGATTACCCTCGGAAAATCCCCCAGTCCGAGGATCAAAATCTCCATTTAGTTCAAGGACTTTCCCACGATTGATGATCAAAGGGTAGTACTACATATCACCTATAGTACATGTACTATATTTCAGGGTTCCTTTGCTCCTCCAAGTTCAACCCATTAGGGAGGTTAGTTCCTTAGCCATCAGGGTGTCCCCAGGCCTTTGGGCTCGCGGAAAAAGCTTCGCCACCAGCTTCCTCCATATCTATGGCCATCTACGGAAATGGTGATGTTGACCCATTTCAAGTGGGACCCAGGAAGTGACCGGCGCCCGGGGCAACTTGACATAGCTCCCCCCCAGTTTCACAGTCATGTGGCTCATAGAAAGGGGCATGAAAATGTGAATGGCCTGTGGAGGGGCAGCATCCTAGGTCACCCAGTTGCTATATGTTGACTAATGTTGACCTAAATGACCTAAATGGTGCTATCTGCTCTAACTGCTCACTGGCTCAAGCCAGAACTGCTGACGCATGGCGCGCGCGTAAAAAGAATGCCTGGTCCTTGGGCAATTCCACGACCTCTTCTGAAAACACTCTTTCAAAAATATGGCAAAGTTGGGTACTCTAAGACTCTAAGACTCTGGTGATGGAGCCAAGTAATTATATTTCACCTGGTGTGATATGGATGTGGGTCAAAATGGAAGACCTAGGGGACCACAGATGTTAGTCTAGTTTAGTATTAACCATCCAATTATTGGGGTACCTAATTTTGACCCATACCCATATTGTTTTGCACCTGCTTTTCACTTCTCATTGTCTTTGCATCATTGGCACCAGGCCACCCGGTGGTGGTGAATCCACCCCCGGATTCGGGGCCTTCCTGAAAACAGCCCATGGACTTTGATGGGCAATTCCGCACTGACACAATGCATGTATAAATAAATAAATATATTTTTTTCTCTACGCACATGGGGACTGTTCACAGCCGCGGCGTTGCTCATTGAATTCCCAGAGTTGCATGGAGCTTCATGGGGATTACTGCACAAAATCCGGCCCAAAGAAGTCTCCGAACTCTGTGACTGTCAGTTGTTGACAGACATCACAAAAAGGCTTTGGCAGATCTGTACTGTCATCACTTGGTGTCAAGCACGTTGCATTCCAAGTGGACTCTGCTAAAGCGGCGCAGAGAGCAGGCGGGGATTCTTTCAAGTGCGCCGTTCGAAATTGCCCGCTCTCGTCTTTGCCTATATTAGTGGCCCTGGGATTGTCATCAGTGATGTGCCACTTCCGCAGGGTCTGAATTAGATCATGGGAGTTTGCCGCAAGGAGCGTCGTAGGCTTACGACTGGAAGCTCCAAAAAGGCCTTGGGCGAACTCAACCTTCTGTACATTCGGCATGCTCAGCAAGAGACGAATTATTGGCAGCTTCCAGATCGAAGGCGCGTGCTCACCCTCCGGCTCCGCTGGATGCTCGAGCAAGCCCTGGCGTGTCATCATCGTCAGAGCAAAGATCGCCTCAATGCAAAAGCTGAGCCAAATGTTGCCTTCCAAAACTGCATCAAGCTCTCGAAGCGCCAGAGAAGAGAAGCCCCAGAGCTCATCAGCTGATCGTACTGGTCTTGGGGCTCGATGATGGAGTGCCCGGTCAATCGCAACAGCTCTTGCTTTGGAAAAGGTGCAACAGGGGGGTCCCCCCAGGAAACCGTGCACGTACCCTTGAAAAATGTGTGACAGCCAAAACCCTCTAGTGTCAGGATCAGCTAGATTCCCGTACTTGCTGTCAATCACAATATCTAAGGATACAACATACAAAGACAACCCTTCCTGTCCTGAAGAGAGCAACTGCTCCAGATACCACTGGTAGTCACCCTTTCTACGACGACCACTGAAGGCATGCAAAATGACTCGTTCTCGTCCAATGGGTCGCGGAGCCGAAAGAGCCTCCCAAACAGGCTTGTCTGAGTCGCACAGTCGGTGGCACCACTCTTCATAGTGTGCTACTCGATCAGGCCCTGCATGTCTTCGCTTGCCTCTGCAACCCAGAAATGGCCACGTCTCTGCATCACCAAGGCGTCGCAAAAGCGTCTGCATCTGCTGTAACGGGCGGCCCAGGTCGGTCAGGATCTCCCCTGTCAAATTGGCACTGCAATACAAAAGCGTCTCTGTAAACGCAGTCCACGAAATCTGCATCTCTCCAACAGCTTGGCGAATGCCGGCTTCCAAATGTTCAGGGTCTTGCGACAGGCTTGCTTGATCAAAAATGAGAGTGATAACATCACCACATTCTGCATCAAATGGTCGGCGTGGCCCAGGAGGTAGCCTAGGCCCGTAAGCCTGTAGATGCGGCACAAGACCATCATGTCGGCGTCGTTGCTCTTGGCACTGACTGGATCCGATACCTGGCACTGGTATGCATCGATGTCGTGCTCCATGCAGCTGCTCGCGGCATGCTTGCGATCTTCGGAGATGTGCCTGCATGTTCGCGATGGTGTGGTACTCTTTGAGACAAATCGGGCACTGCGTGGTGTCAAAAAGGTATCTCATGGGGTTGATCACTCCATGTACCTTGAAAAAATGCGCACCCTCGCCTGCTCGGTTTGCACATCGCAGTTGGCACTTCAGGCAGCCGTAGAACTTGTGTTCTTGGAAAGGTGTCACATATGTTGTTTCTTCCACAGCCAGGGTCCCATGCTCTTGGAGTGCAAGGAAAATCCGGTGGTGGAAGTCAGCAATCCATGTTGTGTTCTTGCGTTGCTGAACGGCATGCTTGAGCCCTCGTGTGACCAATCTCCGCCAATATCCACGATGATACTTCAAGAGGTATTCCCATGCAGGGAAATGATACATTGGATCCTGGAGGGAGCTGCTATTACTGAGTTGATGCCAAAGCCATTGTAGATCATCTCGCACCAGTTCTCTCCATGAATGGTCTTGAAAAAGCATTCCCCATTCCGCTGCTTGTCCACAGCCGTACAGCGTGGCCAGATATCTCAATCGAGCTCGACGCAATAGTTCAGTCGGGGACGGCATACCGACTTGTGCAAGTACTTGGTCGTCGGAAAGGTTGGCGTCATGGGGCAGTCTCAAGAAACGCCTATACAGCTTCATGATACCGTTATGGAGCATGATCTTGGACTTCTCCTCAGCAAAGAACCAGGACTCCATGCCATACGTGAACGCACTGAGCACAAGGGATTCAAATAATTCCTGTCTCTTGGAAAAAGGAATGGTAGGATTGTGAAGCAGAAGTTTACGATGTCTCGTCAACGCTTGGTGTGCCATGGCCAAGCGTTGCTGCGCTTCTCTGCTTTGGTTGCCGGAGTGATGGATGATGCCTCCTAAGTGTTTGTAGGCTCCCACAACATGAACCTCGAAACTTTTGTGCTCCCCCAAGGCAGGAAAAGTTTGGCCGTTCGAAGGTCCGAAGAAGTGTCTGCGCCATCTTCTAGAGCCTCTACCTCTGAGGGCCAGGAGAAGCTCAGTCTTGCCAGGCTGCAAGTTCGGCGTCATGCCATGGTCGCAACAGCATTCCAAAAGAGTGCCGATGACGGGGCCCAGCTTGTCAATCAACTGGTCACTCGTCTCAGCTGACACACACACAGCTAGGTCATCCATCCAATTGGGGCCTAAAAATGTGCGTTGAGTGTCTTGCTGACATTCCTGACTATAGAGATCCAGCCCTGTCAAAACAGGAAAGGTCTCTAAGGCTCCTTGGCTCACCAGCGCTTGTTCAACCCTTTGAAGGACTCGACTCCACAAAAATCCAAACACCACATCAGCGTAGCAATCTCCGGGCCGCGACCCAATGGTGGTCTTGACAAAGTCGTTCTGATGTTTCATCTGAAACCACGTGTCCGTGTGGATCGCCGTGATGTAGTTCTGGATGTAATGTGGAAGTCCTGCTTGGGCAACTGCGCATGGTTCCTGTAGATGTCTATGGAGTTCATGGAGCGTACCAGCAGGCAGGTTGAGCCGTTGTGCAACCGTTGCGAGCTCCTCTTCATTCCAATCTGACTGAAGAGCGAGAGGACGAAGGACTCGATAAAAGGCCTCACGCAAGTCAAGAAATAGGATGCCACTGCTGCAACCATTGTTCCTGTCAATACGGAGGAACGATCGCACTTGGTGCATGCCCAGGCCGACCGGGATGTGAGAGCGCCCGCCGATCTGTTGGGATTGAAGCCAACTCTCATAGAGTCCAGAATGATGTTGCCGTAGCGCTCGATGCAGGGCTTTCCCTTGGTGCGACGATACCAGCAACGAGCGATATGACGCGCAAACGTCTCTGGCTCCTTTACCTTTCCACGCTTGTATGAGATAGCCCCCTTTGTGGTGGAGCGACTCATGGCCGTGTAAGGCAAGCTTCAAAAGTTGGCTGTATGACATCCTTGCCAGCTCTGAGGGGTGTGTTCTGCACTATTCTGGTGGCAGACCATCCTGGCCTATGGCCTTCCCTGCTGCAACTCTGGCAAAAGCTCTTTCGAGATCACACAAGCTGGGAAGGTCCGAAAGAGCCAAGCTGAACTGTTGCTGCTGAAATGTGTCCAGATGTCGGCGCCAAGAGGCATGAAGTTGCTTCATTGTGCAGCGAACTCCTCCTTCCATGTCGCTAAAGAACTGGATCCACCTGTTCGCCGTCTGTGTCGGGGACGTACATAAGGTTCCATCCTCATGCCGCACAGCAGGAAAAACAGTCGAAATTTGCTTCTTTGGATTGGTCGGGCCGGCGATCTGCTTCAGCAGCTGTAGGATCTGGCCCGCTGCTGCGTCTTGAGGTAGATTGTCAAGGTGTTGTTGCAGGAACACAGTCTTGGCCTTCACCAGTTTGCGCTTGAGTGAGGCTGCGGCAACCCGAAGTTGCAAAGTGACTCTCAGACTCCCACAAAGCAGTGTGGTGTGGTAGCTAAAGTGGCAAAGGTCCACATCCTGCTCAGCATCCTGGGCCCTCCATTGAAGAAAGCATCCATGTAGTACATGTCGTCGGACACGCGATCGAAGTTCGCGTAGGCGAGCCTTGCACTCGAGCTTCTGACTTCTGATGGCCCAAATTTCATCCGTAATGTACGACTTCTTGGGCCCCTGTTTGCGCCTGGGACATTGCTCCTTCAAGGTCTGCGTCAGGCTCGCATTGTAGTGCTGCACGTGTTTCTCAATGTCACATGCCCACTCAGGCACCTCATGATCTTGCAAAGCCCTCGTCAAGCAACCCTGGCGAATGTCTTCTCTCTGAAATTTTGGCTGCCCAATGGATCTCTGCTCCGACACCTGTACATACATGTGCCAGACCAATTGGAGTCCGACTGGCAGGTGATCCTCTAATATCCTCTAAGTTGCACAGGTCAAAGGTGTTGAGAACTTCAGAGAAGACGCATTGTCCACATTGATGCAAGGGCACAGCAACATGATCAATTCTTGATTTGTGCTGACCATCAGGGGTAGTCCAAGTCTCAATGGGACCCTCGTGTACTGGAAAGGTGGCAGGAAGCCCTAAGGCATGCTTGGAAAGGAAATCCCTGAAATACCGCGTACTGCAAGACGGTGCATCTTCTCGTGGACCGACATGGCAAAGATCACTAGGTCCTGCAGTGGCGTTGACATCAATCAACACATACAGGTTCTCCTCTGCCACAGTGTTGCAGTTCGTGATTTGGTCTGATAAAGTCTGCCACCATGCTTCCCGATCAGCTCTCGTGTAGCCACTGTGTGGTGCATGGGCAACAACGAAGGTGGCAGCTAGGTGTTCCGCTTGCGCTCGAACAATCAGGAGCCTGGGGGCCGCATAGAGAACCACAAAGTTGTGCTTGGCGAAGAAGTTGGGACGGCCATCCACATATGCATACGGCCTCTCCAAATCAATCCAGAGCTCCACACCATATTGTCCTTTTTGATGTCCCGAGCTGATACGGAGCACCTGATCCTGTGTACCACAAGATTGTGGCGTACGTGCCTCTTGTACACCCAAAACTTGGAGGCCATGAGCTTTGAATTGTTCCCTCAGGTACTGGGTCTTCCCCGTGTGGCCTGATCCATTTTCAACTCTACTCAGCAGGGACTGAACATTGGCTGTGGCTAAGCTCAGGGTATACTTGATGGCGCGGTGCTTTGGCGGCTTGTACTCATCACAGTCAATCGGCATTTCAGGCGGCAGTGCAGGCGCGGTCACATCGAAGCCCTGCAATGTGAGCTTGGGTAGGCCACTGTGTTTGCTAAAGAGCATCCACATGAAAGGAATCAGAGGTTTCCATTTGATGAGGGATACTGGCTGTCGCGGCAGGTAGTATCCTTCTGTTCTGACACGTTTCGCAAGGAGGTCCGCCAAATCGTTCCACGGGTCATTGGCGTGGCCATGTACATGTTGAACCTTCAAAGTGCCAGTCGGCATAAAGGCCTCCAAAGCTTGATGTGTGCCTCGCAAACATTGGAAGGTTTCATCATAGGCACTGGTGCCCATTTGGCCGGTGGCCTGTAGACACGTCACCCTGGAATCGCTGCAAAATACAGTGGGCACAAACGAATTGTTGGTGAGCCGCCAGAATGATGCCCAGAACATAGCCTCACGCTCGGCTGCATCGGAGCCAGTGTGGCAGGTGCCTAGAAAAGCTGGGCTATCGTTATCGTACCTCACTGGTTGTGCTTGCCATCCTAGGAATTGAATTGCAGACGTGCCATCCTCAAGGTACTGTTCAGCAAGGACCACAAAGGCCCATGAATCTGGACATCCTTGTTCATCTGTCAAATGTGGAGGTTGATGCCGGAGACCTCCAATGGATGATCCGTCTGTGAAGATGACCAATCGATCGATGCGGTCAATGGTGGTACAACTCTCTAAAGCTCCGGCTGTTGTGTCAGGGATTTCAAAAGAAGATAAGTCCGTGCACAACGTGTTTGCACCGCTTTGGAAAAGAGCCTCAAGTTCCTGCATAGTACACCCAAGAGTGAGGTAGCATGAGCTGGTCCCATCCTCAATATCTTGGCTACTAAATGGACTGCAATCATTCTCCACACGTGGTTGTCGCAAAGGCCACGGGGTCATGACTCTCTCAACAGCAGGTTGGTTCAAAGTTGGATGATTGCTGGTGAAGATGACCTGGTGGATCTTCTTCCATACAATCTCATCTGCAATGATTGCAGCTTTTGTACAACCTCGTTTGTGGAGGAGGCGCATGTGATCTTTCGTCGTCATGGGGCCAGTTGTGCTGGTGTGGAGAAACGCCAAATCCATATCTTGTCCCTGCTCAGATCCATACACATAGGGGACTTCTGAATCAGGAGGGTTCCATGTGAGGTTGAAGCACACAAACTGTTCATGTCCTCCGAATTGGATCGCGCGGCACAAGTGGCCCCAGGCTGCAAGCTCTGTTTCGACTTGATCAGCTGTGCCGGGTATTGGGATCTCAACATGTGGAGGTAGATGAAGATCATCATGTCCTGGTGTGAGGTACGCAATAACTCAATAACCGTGGAATTCTGATATGAGAATTCTCCAACAGATTCATAATCTGATGCAAGCTGATACTCCTGTAGCGGGAGCAAACTTTCCAAAGAGATCACTCTCGGATCAGCTGTTCTCTGTGGCCGACAGGTATGAGCCACCTGCCTGTCTGTTAGGCGCTCACAGGGCAGTTGAAGGATTGAATCTTCATCATGTTCTTCAGCTGAAACGTCATACCTGAGGTCCGGTGCATCTTGCTGAGGACCAAAGGCCGGATGGTCAACATGGATGACTACACTGGCATAATCAGAGAGAAAGAAGGGTGGGTCTCCCTGGTGCAGATGTCTGCTACCATGTTGAACCACGCACCCTCTGCCCTCCATGGTGCAGAATGGTTGCATCTGGGTTTGCTGTAGAAGCTCAGTGGCGTCAAGCAAAGATGGCATGACTCGCGCATATTGTCCAAGAGCTGCTCGCCACTGACCATGAAACAGTTGAGTGATGACACATACAGATTCTGTCATGGTCGCCTGATGCACAATGAGATGTACACTGTGGTGTCTCATTGGAGCCAATGGCGGATTCGGTTGGACTATGCCTACCTCGACTGGAAGCGACGCATCAAATAAGTCTTGCCATAGTTCTTTGAGGTCATCCCACCATCGATGCCAGTGTTGGTCAAGTCGAAGGACTCGTGGGGCAACGCACTGTCTGTGTTGCTGTCCATGAAGGAACCAAGTGAGGACATAGAGAACCGGACCTTCTTCCAAATGTTCTGTTTGTCCTTCTTCTTGGAGTTGCTGCAGCAAGGAGCTCCACCACGACGGTAGCCAAAGAGGCATCGGTGTCCTCTCCACATGCGTCGGCTGATCGGAGACCATCTGTAGATGCTGAGGCTCTGCACCAACATGTTCTGGTGCGTAGTCCATGGGAGGAGGAAGAGCGCACTTCACCGGGCTCGACACTGTCGAAAGCAGTGGCTCCTCAGTGGTGCTGCCATCTTCTACTCTACTCCTCGACAGCAAGGTGTGCTGCTGAACCAGATTCCTGCCAACTGCTACACGCTGTCCAAAATTGATCTGGAGATGCGCCACGAATCCAAAGCCATTCCTTGCAAGGATTGGTTGGCCAGGCAATAGCTGTTGGTCTTGAAATTGAATTGCACAGGTCAAGATTGGTCTGGGTCCATAGCATTGTTGGTGCAGACCCAGTGCTTGAATCAAATGGGCATCATAGACCTGCTCAAAGGTGGTCACCGCACTGCGTCCTTGTAGCCGACCATTGGTGCCAATGACTGAGACCAAGCTGGTGACAAGATCACGTCGATTTTGCACAAGAAGGATGTATGCTGTGATGCCGTGTTCGAGTCGAGGCGGCAGTGGTGTGACCACAAAATAGTCCAAAGGCTGCACATACTGCACTCGGTCTAGCCATGTTCGCCGCAATGTCTCCTCCCAAGTGGCATAATTGGCCCCCAGGTGTGCAACTCGACCTGCATCGCATCTGGGAAAAAGATCATGGTGGTTGACATAGTACGTCACTACTCGAGCTGACCTTTCCTCATTCTCCCATGCAAAAGCCCCTTGGTTCCAGAGCTCAAATAGCTCCTGGACAAAACTTGATTGCGTGATCACTGGTGGCAAGTTGGCATTGGAAGTCTCGATATGAGGGCGGGCACACTCATGTCCCTCATCGTGTCTTCCGGGAGGTTCTGATTCAAGAGCTTGTTGTTTGGGTCGCATCATGGTAAGATTTTGCTGAAACAGGTTCAAGCTGTCCAGGTATTCCCATGGTGCTGCATGGATTTCAAAGTGATTGCCCGTCTGGGGGCTCACATCAGAGATCCCATCCAAGTGTTCATGCCCTTGATAGCCCAGACAAAGTAGCTGACGCTCATTGCACACCTGATCAAGTCTGGCATATTGCAAAAGTCTCTGAAAAGGGAGTCGCCGAGGTAGTAGTCTGGCAAAGCGGCCATCAAATTCTGAGGTCTCTTCATGCCAGAACAGGCTGATCAGTGCGCCTCTATCCCCAGGCTGTTCTCGTTGGAGCAGGAGAAGATGGCCTGCATGTTGACATGGTTCACTGGTCGGTCTGACCAGAACAATCCTGTAGGCAAATCTCACATCAAAGAGGTCTTGCCAAGCCTGAATGACCAGTTCATCCCATGTAGTACTGTCACGTGGCAATTCCACAGTGCGAGGTATCTCACATCTTGGATGGTCATGGCTGTTGAGGAACCATGTATCGAACGGTACCACTCTGTCCTCCCTGGCAGTGGTTCGTGCAGTTGGGGAGTGTGCACAAATATGTTGGAGACTCGCATCTCGTCGCAATTGGCCAGGACGTTCTTGAGGAAGATCAGGACGCCGATCGAACGGTTCATCTGCTTGAATACTATAGTTGGTAGCCATAGTTTGCTGCCAAACATCTACCCTGCAGGTCTGCAGAGGTAGCTGTGCATAAGCAGGCGACAGCTTCAACTCATCAGCCAGCGTGGCAAACTGTTGAAAAAGAGCCATCTGATCGTCACGAAATGCATTCCAGTCTTCATCTTCAGTGTGACTACTGGCAAGGTCTAAGTCAGGCAGCTCAACATCAGAGAGACGTATGTTCTCGCAAGTGCTGTCACCGATAAAGACCTTGATGTAGTCGCCATCCTGTATGTTCAGGACTTCAGGTTGTTGATCTTCTATGAGACAGTGATTGTGCCACAACCTCGTCTGAGAAGCATACTGTTCCGCAATGTGCTCGAGGTCAAGCATTCTCAAGACTGACGGTCGATTCAGTGTCTGGGGAAGCCATTTCGTAAATCTCTGAAATGCTGATGGCTGGAGGAGATCGTCCTCATACGTCTCCACATCAACTAGGACCAGTCTGAGAAATGTTGACGGTCGAGGTTCAAACAGTCGCTGAAGCAGAAGCCCTTGAAGATTTTGTAGTGCAAGATCTGAAGGTCTGTGCGGCATGTAGTGAAGATCTCTCACATCATGAGGTTGGAGGTCAAAAGCTTCCGCCACACGTTGAAAGAGGGCATCACCATCATTCCATGGCAAAATGAGGGATCGCGGTGCACCATGGATGGGAAATACCACAGCTCTTCTGGTATGGGGCGGGTCTGCGTCACTGCCTTCAGCTTGACAAGATTGACTTGTGGTTGAGCTGGAAGATGTCGTGGTACTATCGGAACTTCTGGGAGAGGTCTGTCGTGGTCGAGGTTGGCGTGCCATTAAGGACGTATCCTCAGGTTCGGCCTCTGGTTCATCGGCAGGCGCTCTCTCAGGTATTGCTGCAGGTCTCCGATGTCTGAGATCAACATTGTGTTCTGCATCTTCTTCACTCATGGGTGGGGGGACACGGATTGTGATCCCCAGCCCTGGGCTGATCTGTACTGGCTGCCCTGGATCAAGTCGCTGAAGACCAATTTGCAGAACGCATGGACCAAAGCCGTTTTGTTCTCGATGAAGGCATTGCTGTTCCACACCTGCGAGTCGTATGAGACTTTGTTGTGTGGCAGCAAGCTCCATGGAGTGGGCGGTCGCAATGAGTCTGAAGTCAGGGCTCAGGGGCAAAATTGCTGTAATAAGGCATGCAGCACGATCATGTTGAGGTCGCTGTTGCACAATCACGACAGCCATAGTGCCGCTGAACGCAAAGAAAGGAGGTGTCGGACGTACCAAGATGATGTCAACATCCACAGATGGGTCCGCATGGTCTTCCCAGATAAATCTGACATCATTTTCCCATTCCTCTGCGTTTTCATCAAACCGGAGAATTCTCGCTTGGTCATGGAATCGATGTCGATGGTGATCGATGAAGTACGAAGTGGCATAAACTACCTGCTCCCCGTCTTCGTCTTCCGCCTGTCCCTCCTCATTCAACAGAAGTCTGATGTCATGATGCCAACCAGGAACTGGTCTCGCCCCCTGACGAGAAGGATGTCGGTCATCTTGTGCACCAGATTCAGTGTGAGGAGCTGGAAGTGAACTGTCCGGGGCAAGCGGTATTGGTCTGAGCTGCCAGGGCTTCAAATCCCATGTGGATAGAGCCTCATGTTGAAGACAAACTGGTTGGAACTCCATGTTTTCCTCATCGCCCAGAAAAACTTGAACTTCTTCACAAAACGTGACCTGATAGCTAACGGACTTCTTCCGTGGCGGCAAAGAGAATGTGTCAACTCGTAGTCCTTCTTGAACCCCAAGTTCTTGGACTAGATCTGACGCATCTTGTTGTGCCTGCCAAAAGGAGGTGAAGTTCTTCTCACCGACTATGGAGTGGGACCAATGCATCACTGCAGCTTCAAGAACAGCTGCAGGAACTGTGAGCCCTAGGCGCTCATACTCTGGAGTCATGATACGCCGGGCGGCCCAAAAGGCGGCTTGGCACCCATTTCCTCGTCTGGGTTCTTGCGGGGGCGTTTCACCCGTTGTTCCAGCTGATCGGCCGACTCTGAAAGCACCTGCAAGCTGGTAACTATCGAGGTCATGCCCTGGTGGATCTTGCTGGCTCCTTCCGCATTGTACACATCCTCCTCCTTGGTGTCCACATCTTCGAGCTCTTCGTCTGAAATCACATGTGTCTGGGTTTCCTCGTCCGTGATGATGGATCTGGACGCATGGTCGAACCTTCTCTGCGATCTCCTCACCTGTAGTCTGGCTTGATGTATGGCAGTTTGATGGGCAACTTCCGAAGCTTGAAACTGCGATGTAAATTCTTGCCACTTTACCACAGATTGTTGCAGGAAAGTTTTCCACTGGGAAAGCAGCTGAGCCCTGGCGTTTTCCGCCTCTAGAAGTGTCTCTTTTGCATCTCCTAGCTCCTTCGCTGCAGAGATGGTTTCCTGTGTACTGTTGCGCTCGTCCTTCTTCTGCATGTCGTGTGCCATAGACTGCAAGGTAGGCGAAAGAGTGTCCTCTTCTTTCTTCATCGCAGACAAAAGCTTGTTGAGCTTCTTTTGGGCCTGGGAATCCGACTTTTGTTCTCCAGCAGGACCAACTGAAGCTGCCGGTACCGACGGAGGCACTGGAATAGGCATCATCTGCATGCTCTGATCCCATGTGGGCACTTGAGCTGGTATGGCGCTCGTAGATGGCTGCATTGGTGGTGGTGTCGAGGGTGGAGGCATTGGCGGCAAAGGCGCTGGGTAGCCTACCCCTTTCCCATGTCCCTTGTCCGTCATCATGTGCATCATAGGGGGTTGATGGTATGGCATCATCATGGGAGGCATTGTCGGCATCATAGCAGGCATCATGTGCGGCTGAGGCTGTGGAACATAGCCACTTCCATGATGTGCATGCGAATCTCCTCCTCCCCAATGAGCATCTTGTTGCTTGTATTTGGAACGTGAAGGCTTTCTGGAGCGAGTTCTCGGACTTTTGGGCTTCTGTTGTTGCCAGCCCGAGCTGCCCCAGGAGGTCGGCTGACCATCTTGCTGCTGCTGGTCTGGCGGAACATAAGCTCTGTCGACGCAATGCGCCCACTCCAGTCCGCACTTCCAACAGCGCGGAAAGGTTCCCTTCATGATCACATGGCAATGGGCACACTTCCACGGAGGCCGCTTCTGTGATGCCATTTCTGCTTGAATATTCGCAAGAAACTTCTCGTCCTTCGAATGATGGGTTCCCAAAACTGTTTTGATTCTGGCCAATCCCTGAGGTAAAAGTCTCTTCACACCTTTGCGATGTAAGTGCCAGGCCAACCGAGCAGCGGCGCGCAGTCTTCGCTGTCTCCGACGCTGTGAAGGTGTAGCCGTTGTATCCAAAAAGGCAGCAAAGGATGAAAAAAGATGCTCCCAAACAGATGCGCATAAAAATCTCGAACGTTCCAGTGAGCTGCAAACCCAAGCAAGCTCAATCAAGGATGAGAAAATCGCACAGTCCAGAAATGAAAATACCCCAGAGCAAGTGAAGCCAGCCCGAACACCCAGTCAAACTCAGAGACGAGGAACCAACAGTTTAAGGCAGAGAACTGTAAACCAGAAGGTGGTGCCAAATCCTGCCCAAGGAAGATGGTAGAGCACGATGCGTAGGCCGCCGGCCCGCGGGCTGCCAGACGTTGCCCGCTAAGGCTATGGCTCAGCGAGGGGACCGTAAAGCGGTCCAAAACCCTCCTGGAGCCAATGCCTTAATAAATATATATATATACATATATATATATATGGATGTATATATATATAAACTACAGTATCTTTCTGCATCATTCAAACCACTTCGGACTTAGATGGACCATTCGGGTATGACTGCGGCAGTGTCTCTGCATCCGAGGCCAAGTCCGGCCCCCTCCTCCGTTTTGGAAGAGGAGTCGGTCCGAGGTCACCGTCTCCAGGGGCTGCGAAGTATCTGGCGGATGCACCAGGGGCGTTGAAAACTGAAGGGGAAAAAAAAAAACAATGGATTTTAATGGTTATTAATAGTTATTAATGGTTATTAATGGTTATTATCCTTGTCCCCAATACAGATGGCCTGAGGATGTTCAGCGGCAATGACATTGCCATGATCAACTTTTAAAAAAAGTTGTATCTTGATATGTCTACTGGGATTTATGTATATGTATGTATAATGATTACATGTATAGTGTTTAGATGTACAATGGTTATATGTACAACCTTTATCCGTAGAATGTGTATATGTATATGTTTATAATAATGTATAATGTATATGTACCATGTAAATGGTCCATCTATGGCAAAAAAAACAATTCACTAGCCCATTCACCTCCATGCTCACAGGTTTACCCACTCAACTTCTTCAAGGATGTCTATTGACTGATCAACCACCCACTGGGAGAAGGGACATCTATCTTTTCTGCGAAGCGTTCTGGTGGAACGCTAGATGTCTATTCCTCCATATGGCGCCATGTCCGAACCAGCATAGGATACCCCCAAATATCAACTTACCAGTACTGATGGCCACTTGAAGAAGGAAAATGATGATGAACCAATGGATCTTCATGGTTATCAATGGTTATTATCAATTGATTCCCATGGTCTATTCATTAATGGATAATAACCATTAATAACCAGTGAAATGGGATTCCCTATTTTCAGACACAACTATTTCCAGCCGCAGCTGTGCCGCTGTGCCTTGTTCTCGTTCCGCCTTTCGCTGGCTGGAACCTCCATCAGGGGCGTCAAGCCGTCGAAAAGGACCTGGCCCCGGTGCCACCACTGGCCTGACCCGGTTGGTGGCTAAGATACCCCTCCAAAAAGAGTATGTGTGTGTGTGAGACTGGCATCAGCAGCATCAGCATCATCGCATCATCATCATCATCATCATCATCATCATCCTATCTTCAAGGATGTGAATCCACCAAGCAGTTGGAAGGAACGCGCTGATAAATCTAATTCATATATATATATACAATATATATATATATGCACATACATACATACATACATACATACATTACATTACATTACATTACATTACATTACATACATACATACATACTTGCATTGCATTGCATTGCATTGCATTGCATTACATTACATTACATTACATACATACAATATATACATACATAAATAACTTATATTATAGATCAATATCATTTAGTTTGTTGTGTCCCGTTGATTACTGGTAGGTGCCACCGCCTTGCCATGTTTCAGGCGCACTCGCCCTTCCCCACCTTGGTCTCAGAGCGGATGGGATGGGAAAGAGGTCAATCTTTTGCGAGGGTGCGCGGAGGAACGATTTGCACTATTTGTTCATATATGATCTCATGTGAATACGACGAGTCTATGTGTATGATTCTGTATGATAATGTTTGATCCACAAATATCATAATATGATTAATATATATATATACGTACGTACATATTCTGTATAAAAATAATATATATATATATATATACATACCGGGTTCTTCAAAAAAAACAGCCATCCACAGGAAACCACAGAGATACCCTGCTTACCCCCGCAACCCCCAACTTCAATGTTGTGATCGGAAGTGCCGAGCATCATCAACAGAAATGGCTGTTTTTTTTGAAGGCCGCCAAACACAAAATTCAGAAGACAACATTGAATTGGGGGACGGGGGGTGGCATGACCTCTCTGGTGTGGTACTTCATGGGATGGCTGTTTTTTTTGAAGAACCCGGACTCAGAAAAGACACAGTAGGATGGACCCATGGCTGCAGACAAACGCGAGAATGATGACGACACTGTGTCAGAGAAAGCATCGGGATCAGTTTGGGCGGGTGTTTGTGTGTGGGTGTGTCTGTTTGCTTGCGCGGGCGCATATGTGCTAATATGGGTTGTGCTAAGTGAAATACATGCAGCGACAGTCTTGACACCTTTTTGACCTGATTCCGCAATGTCGTGGGGTGCACTGGCTGTCGTTCTGCGTGGCAGGCGCACCACTTTGAGAGCGTGACTGCTCTATCCTGCACACCTGCCATGCAACGCACATGCAACACACATGCAACACACATGCAACACACATGCAACACACATGCACACGACATGCAACATGAGCTTTTGACCTGTAAATTTACAGTCAACGTGCAGGATTTGACGTTTGCAGCCCCAACTCCGGTCTTAGAATGGAAAGTGTAGATTTTTGCCCCCGCGGCCACTTTGCTTGGAAATTTACAGGGAAAATGCTCGTGTTGCATGTGTGTTGCATGTGTGTTGCATGCATGTGTGTTGCATGTGTGTTGCATGTGTGTTGCACGTGCGTTGCATTGGCAGCCGTGAAGTGGGGAAGTAGAAAACAGCGTGGCAGGCGCAAGAGTTGTAGGTGGCAGGGGCGAGACTTTGGAAGCTGAGCGCCTTGGATATTACATTGTCGTGGTGGCCCGTAGCATCCACCTTTGTGGGGTTGTCGCATATTATACAGAATAAGTTTTGACAACCATCTTGGGTAAATTTCACAAGCTGATGGTTAGCCCTTAGCATCCACCTTTTTTGGGCTGTCACAGATTACAGAAGTGCATGCTTTGACAATGCGTAAATTTCAGAAGCTGATGTTGTCGCATCGATGTGTGTGGATGTGTGCTGATCTACATCCACATGCATATTAACAACAGTTAAAATGAACTCGGAACCAAAAAAAACTCACCGGGTTCTTCAAAAAAAACAGCCATCCACAGGAAACCACAGAGATACCCTGCTTACCCCCGCAACCCCCAACTTCAATGTTGTGATCGGAAGTGCCGAGCATCATCAACAGAAATGGCTGTTTTTTTTGAAGGCCGCCAAACACAAAATTCAGAAGACAACATTGAATTGGGGGACGGGGGGTGGCATGACCTCTCTGGTGTGGTACTTCATGGGATGGCTGTTTTTTTTGAAGAACCCGGTATTATTACATATTATGTGGATGTACTGTACTTCTGTTCATATATAAGAAAAGCACAGCATAAAGAGAGCAACAAACATGCTCCGTTCACTTCAATTGAACAAAATGGTCTTTTCTTAATGGAGCCATGAGCTCATCCAACCAGTGACGAACCGCTGACGCCGCTGAGATTCAAGCGAACCAACAGCACTGTTCGAGGCCTTGGCAGTATCGGCACCAGAACCCCACAATCGCCGTGGTGGATCTCAAGAGGGTACTGATTGATACCCTCTGGTTATTTAACATAGCCATGGTATAGATGCCCCATTGAAATAGATGGTTTACCTATTAAAAATGGTGATTTTCCATGGCTATGTTAAATAACCAATTGATACCTGGTTTCAATCCTTGAAGCAACCATGTGGAGCCGTCTCTGGAGGATATGGTCCTGCCAAATAGTGGCAGTGATTGATGACTAGAAATGGTAGCATCATGTAGCAGTGGAGGGGTGGTCTCTCGGAAATAGAAGTGGTTTGTGTATATTACATAAATTATCTACATTGTCCCAACAAACGGCAGCATAATCCCTTGCCTTAAACTGATAAACTGACAACCAGCAAACTCTGGCTGTCCCGAAATAAGGACTGGTGAATCATCATCTTTCATCATGTTTCCACCTACACATATCATCATATATCTACATAATATTACATAATAACTGTGATTTTTTTGTATACCATGGTATACCGAAAAAATGTCCCATCTTTAGACACCTTTGATCCAGTAGAAGCTATCCTCTGGTAAGCCAACATAGCTATTGAAAAATGGCCATAGAAATAGTGGATTTTCCCATGAAAAATGGTGGATCTTTCCATAGCTATGTGACAGTTTACCAGAGGGTACTGCATCCTGGGCCTCCTGGGCCTCCCCGGCACGGCCCAGGCGGCACTGTGTCTGGGGAAGCTTTGCATCGACCGCTCCGCTTGCTCCTCGGACGTGTGAACGAAGAAACCTGCGCCACAACTGGAGCGACTGGAGTAGAAGAGGTACCCCTCTGGTGAACCAAAAAAAGCCATGGAAAATCACCATTTTTAATAGGTAAATCAACTATAAATGGGCCATTTTCAATAGCTATGTTAAATTACCAGAGGGTATTTGTAGAGTTTAATCACCAGATGATTGCATTCGGAGTTGAAATCCTTGGATTTTTTTTGCGAATTTTGGGATCAAGTCTGGAAATGATGCATAACTCCAATGTAGATGTCATGTGCCCTTTCATCCAGCCTCCGTTTCGATCGTAGATCGTCATACCCAACTTGTATCGGGTTGTGCCATCATAGATGGACAAAAAGCTTCTGCCATCCTTGGGTGAGGTCCCCGTCCACATCCTCTGACTCCCCAGCTTCAACATGTCTTAAGCCACCACAAAAAAAGCAGCATTTGAATCCGTTTGAGGGATTTTTAGAGACCATGATGTAGTTTGGCTAATCAGCTGCCATCCAGAATTCCCTTGGATTTCTGCAGTTGAGGCTCGCCCTCTGGGTCTCGGGCCACCACCTGCAGGACAAGTTGAGGTTCCCTCAAAAACCATGGAATTCCTTTAACTTTTGAATCCACATATCATCACTTCATCAGATGTGGTGTTCATGTTTTTCAACATCCAAGTTTACACTAATTAACAGATGGTAAGTATATCCAACAATATGTGACAATATCTAACACCCCATCTGATTACCTATCGCATTCTTAGATGTGGGGTACTTGATTACTACCAATATCTATTGCCCATCAATAGTATATCCAACAATATATATATATATTGCCCATAGTATCTAACAATATCTGATACGATATCTATTGCGGATATGATATGACCCATGTATTATATATTTATATATTATCTAGTCATTATCTAACAATCTCTATAGTATTACTAACAATATCTACACCCAGTAATAGTATATTGTATGTCATACATCTAACAATATCTATTACCCTGCAGTAAATTAACATAGACCCTGCCAGATAGGGGTTGGAAGATTAGCTTCCACTAAAAATGGGTTGTTATCTGGGTCTATGTTCATTTACCAGAGGGTAACAATCATTACTAATGTGGCTTGGGAAGCTCTGCCCCGGCCTTGTAGAAGGCTGTGTGCCGCCGGTGCCTTAGCAACTCCTCCAGGGATGCCTCCGCCAGGCGCAAGTCCTCTGAAGGAGATGCGCAGGGGAACCACCATGGAAAATGCCATGGAAAATGAGGGGAAACGGGAGGAAAACAAGGATAAAACGGGGGGAAAACAGGAAAGGAGGAAGAAAACTGTGGAAAACAACACAAATTATACCATCAAATGGCCAGCTTAACCGGGCTTCTTCGTTCTGGAAGACAGAAAAAGGCCCACAAACCAAGTCAAAATGCCATTTTGAGCAGAGAAGATGATGACCAAACCATCAGATCCATCAGTTTTTTGGGGGGGTACTCCATTTTCAAACCCAAAAATCCCAGGACACGACCCGCTCTCCTTGGCAATTTCCAGAGACACGAGCTGTGCGTCCGAAGTCTTCAACGAGCGCTGCAGTGCTTCAGCCGAACGAGCCACGGAGACCTGCGGGCTCCCGCAGGGCGCCATCTGGGGACGGCCCCACATCCTGGAAACAGGGTTCTATCTTTGTTGGGGGTGCTCACGATAACACCATGCACATGTATATTATACATTATTATTATTTATTATTATACATGATACCTCTCAAATCATCAAGTGGATAACATTTGCTTCTGGTGATGCTTAAATCTCCTGGAGTCTTATCATGTCATTATTCATCTTCAGTGCGCCTCCATTAGCAGCCGCCGCTCCACTGAGAAACTTTGGCACAGGTCGCAGGGGAGATCCTGCACGCCAGGTTTTTAAATGGCGTTTAGCTAATTTATGGCAATTTTGATATGTTTTAACCATTGGATTCAGGGGCTTCAGGGGGGCCAAAAACCATGCCAAAAAAGAAACCATGGTAGTCAAAGGGACCAGGTATTTGGCCTTGATTTCCACTGTATTGATGCAAGCCTGAACCCTGGCTCAGACATCTGGCATTTTTGGTGGATACAATAGACTCTCTTCTTGGTGGATGTCCCAAGATGGAGGTCTTGATACATAATGGACATGTCAGCCAGAAATGGTCTCACCAAAACTTGATGGATTTCACCAAAGTTCACCATTCCCAAATAGCACAATAGTGGGATTATCAAAGGCACCACCAAGCAGCCGGTGGTTTTCCCACCCGCCTCCAGAAACTCCACCAGGGCGACACAAGTCGCCATGGCAGGGTGAAAATATGGGTAATGAATAGGTATATAAATGTATAGCTGGAGCATATTATGGTGTTGGAAATGGTTTGGACATGGACCCATCCCAAAGTTCTTGCAAAGGAAGTCGATGTGCAGTTCCGTTGTTCCGTTGTGCGGGCGCCGTTGATGCTTCAGAGTGCGCTTGAAGCTGCTTGTACTTTGCCAGGGTCAAGCAATTTCCCACAACACCTGATGTTTCGCCATGTTGCTCTGCAAACAGTTAGTCTGATTGGACATTTTTTCATATTCCTGTCCTCCTGTGCGAAGGCAGAGGCCAAACTGATTGGTGGTATCAAGCTGCCAAAAACAAATGCCTGGAAAATAGTCAGGGCAGAAATGGATATGATGTCTTCAAACAGATCCACATAGAATTGAATAGAAAATATAGTTTAAACATGTTTAAACCACCAACCAGTGAAAGCCCCCTCTCAAGGCACAGGCCAAGCCGAAAGCAATCATATGAAACCTGCGATGATGCAATAGAGTTCCACTTGACACGCAGTAGAAAAAGTCATCACTGCCACCAATCTGCCCAAAGTGCCTGCAATAGAACAGACCTCACTGTGCTCCAGTTTGAGAAGATGCATATCTGTCGAGGACGGAAAAACCCTCAAAAATTGTGGTGGTAAACCCAATTATATATAATATACCGCTATGAAAAGCCATTCCTCAAAAAGTGGTTTGTTCGTTTGCCAAATTGAAGAAACGACCAGCAGAGAATCTGAATTGCCACACAATCCCAGCCCCGACCCTCCGACCCTTCGCCTTGTCAAAGCAAGTGTCCACTGCCCCAGCGAAGAGCCCCGCAGTATCCAACTGAGCGACCTTGGTTGAATCTGAGTCGCCTAGCATCATGGAGGGTAAGAACGGAACAAACATTGGGGGTACAAAGCAAAATCAAACATGGGGATAGTCAGGAACCAAAAACGGTAACATTGAACATCCGCAATGTGGGAGTTTAACCAATTGAAAATTGGAAGTGAATCGTTGACCAAAAACATCAAAAACCATCAAAGATATACAAGCAACATGGGGATCTGGCCACCCATTGTAGGGGATGTAGGTATTTCATGGCAAACAGGAGGATGGCACCCTGCCTTCTAAAGCTGCACTCCTCGCATCGAAAATTCCATGAACATGTGGTGCGCTGGAGGTCATCTAAACCAGCCTGAAACTTACGGTCACTACCCTCTGGTAAACTAAAACATAGCTATTGAAAATGGCCATAGAAATAGTGGATTTTCCCATTAAAAATGATGATTTTCCATAGTTATGTTATATAGTTTAGCAGAGGGTAATTACTACTATGCACAGTAAGCCACTTCCGTGCGCAACATAACTCTTTTTGGTTCGGACTGACGTGTCTGAGATAGGCTCATGCAACGAACAAATGAATTTGAAGAGGCCACAGAGCGTTGTGGATTTGAAGCTGTCAACTCTCAGAATTTCAAGCTTCTTTGGATCTGATTGCACTCACCAGCAACTTGGACTTTGAGGCCTCCTTTCCAAACCTCTGCACTGTCGACTCCCGTGAATTTCATGCAAATCTCAGCCAAAAAGTCAAAGCGGGCTGCCGACTCAGCATGTCCAGACCATGCACCTGCAGTGACCCCAGGAGGTTCTGAGATTCGTGTTGCCCTTACCAAATCGTGGCTTGGTTTGGGGATGGCTGGGGATCTTGAATCTTCCCTCAAATTACGAAGTTGATTGTATTCCTACAAGGTGATGCGTTTTTTTGGAAGAAAGTACTTGGTGCTCAAAAACATTTGGGTATGGGTGAATACTGGGGTACAATATGATACAATACGGTATAATATGGTACAACGGACAACAGAATTGGTCATACAGTACCAAACCAGCCATTTTGGGGGTTTGATGATTTTGACCAAGTCAAATAATTACTGTACACTAACCAACAAGGGCTTTTTACCCAGCAGCTTCACTTGCAACAAGCCATCATGGTGGGATATGTTGGGTCATGTCCACACACTTTGTGCATGTCCTGCACCGCCTCAGCCGCGACTGCAGCACTTGGTGCGAAGCACTTGCAGCTCCGCCTCTGGATTTGGTGTGCAGGACACACACCTGGCAGCCGTCGCTTGTGACGACCCTGCCCATCTCCATCTCTTGATATGCGACTTTGGCTTTTGCTACACTTGCATTCTTGATGCTTGAGGACTTTCCAAGTCAAGAAGTATGATCATTATGATCAATGATTTTTAATCTTATAATATACGATATGAAAGTGTATGAATTGTGAGTTGCAAAATACAATACCTTGGCATCCACGTTGTCCAGAGGCTTTTGGAGGCAGCTTTGTCTCAACTCCACCCTTCCATTCACAGCTCGGAGCGTACCAATAGTTCCACGGCAGCCAGCTCTGTGGCGCTGCCTCGGCGAAGCATCTCGATGACTCCATAAATGCTAGGACAACAGTAGCTTGCTGGTCTCCTGAATCAGTTTGGTCTCTGATTCACATATATCACACTCTACATATGGGAAAAAAGTAAACTGCTGGGGTGCAGCATGGTACACCCATATTCCAAACATGCCCGGTTAGCTGGGGATCATAATCCTGCTGGGGATGCTTAAATAACAATACGAAAGGTCGCCAAGCAGTCCCAGGGAGATCATTTCTTGATCGTTGAAGTCGCCCTGTCCATCACAGGGTCATGTCTGCCAGATTAAGCAGCTTCATCAACTTGTCTACTTCTGTTGTCTTCAAACATCCTCAAGTTATCTTGAAATTAGTCTGAACTCGGAAACCAGTTTGGCTCTAGACCTTAAAAAAACACGCTGGGTGGCTTCCAATGCCTCCCAACGCCTGGTTTTGGAGTGCCAACACTTAGGGAGATCTTAGGAGCACCACCTGAGTTTGGGCATCTTGAAGTCGGCTGACCTAGACACAGTCGCGGGCATGGATTGGACTGGCTTGCCTATCTCATCTTATATCCCCACGTTATCCCATGTTTGGTTTTTTTGGGGTCAAAAACTCGCAAGAATCCCCAGTGCACAGTTTTTCATCCCATGTCCGATGGTCCAAACCATGTCCTATCCCCACCATCTCCACCCTAGCTTTTCCACCTCTGCGCGGAGCTCATGCACTTCTCTTTGGAGTTCCTACCATTGTCCCAAAAGGACTTGAAAGGTTATTCAAGACGCATCTCTGGTTCATGTGTTTGTGTCGTTGTAAAACCCACCCGGAAATGAGATCACATGAGATCACCCTAGGAGGTCCTGTTGGCCTGCGTTTGCCGTGATATATGCAAATTGGCATAAACCACCAACATTCTCAAATCCACTACTATTTGATGGCTTATTCAAATACGAAAAAACTACATACTATCTGAGATATTATGAGCTTGGCATCCAAGAAGAAAGTTTTGCAGGCAGATCCCCATCCGACATGTTGAGAAGTTTGAAAGGCATCGACCAATAAGAGCCCATGCGACCCGATCCTGCTTTTCCCTCTCTGACTGTCGCAGCACCTGAGTTTGGAGGCGAGTTTCTCATTGGCATGGAGTCCGCATAGAGGTGAGGGAGATCCTCATAAACTCACAATATGTTTGCACCAAAAAGACATCAATCAGAAGCATTGTTTGGACCTGTGGATCAAACTATTAGATCTACCCTACTATTTATTTTCAGCTATCTACTATGATGATCCTGCTTCTGGCTGAAAAATCGCATTCAATCATATATCATAAAATATTGTGGCTGTATATACTTGACTTGTATACGGATGCTGATAAGTGTATATATAGCATGGACCCGACTTGGAACTGTCGATGCTCCAACTTGATGCAGTTTCCATCTGTTTTTAGTGACGAAAAAATGTCTCAAAATGTGTGCATCATCAACTGTTCATGTGTCATCCGCTGTTGTGATGTCCTTTCTCACATCAAGTGCACGTCTCGTAACGTGTTGATTTGTTTTTTTCTATGTCATTGATTGACACTATTATTGCCTGCCCGCCACACACCATAGGATTGCTGTCCATATATAGTTCTAAGGGGTGAGAGAAGCCTATATATATATACACAATTATATACACATATACACACTCGGTTTGATTGTACATTGTATATACGATACATTCTCTGCATCTCTCTATTTCCATATCATGGATATGGGATTGTTCTAAAATATCCGACATGGTATCCATAATTGCATGGGATCAATAATTTCGAGTGTTTATCAAGTTATCATCATGTTCACTCTTGAAATTGGAATTTTCAGGGACTACCCCATTTTCGGACAACCCAAATAATGTTGGCTAATGTATGTTGGCTATGTATGTGCAAGTATTTCGATTGTAGTGTATCTGGCTGAATGATATTAATATATAATATTATTAATTATTATTAATTCGCTCACCTGAAAATAGCTGAAACTTGCGGCCACTTGGGATGATTCCTCCCTACTAACCATGATTCCATTGACGTCGCCACAGACGGTGGTAATTTAGATGAAACTCCACGGCTCCACCTCGATCGCTTCTCCATCATGAAGGTCGATGGCCTCCTCTGCCTCACCGGGATGGCCACACTGTGGGGTATCCCAGACATATTGGGATAAAACCCAAATATCAAATGATGATATATAAAATCCTAAACCCAATAGTGTTACCCCAATAGTGGATAGATAAAACCCAATAGTGGAAGACATATAAACCATGATAAACTCTAATATATCGTCCACTTCTGATCGTTTATGGGTCATACATGGTCATACTATGATCTGTGTATCAAGGCTGAAAATGACAAAGCTCTAAGCTACCATTCCGGTCGTAACTTAACACATACCCATATGAAGCAATATGTTTCTAACTGTACCCAGTCACTCATCCTTTGCTAACTGGATGGACCTTCCACCCCAGCGGTAGGCCCGTTGTCTTTGCTTTTTAATGGAGAAATGGAAACGGCTCTGCAGCTGCAAAAAGCTTGACCTTTGGACAAGCGGACTGCGACTGTCCTTTGGACAAGATTTCTTTGGGTGACCTCAGTGGGCTCAACCTATTCCGGCGAGGGGTGCGGACAAGATGTTCTTTCTAAAGCAAGCGGAACAACAGAAACTTAGTGACTCTTGGTGCAAGATATGGAATTCGATCTCAAGCAAAACTGTGTCCAAGACCCTCACAGCATCTCCTGCAAGCATCCATTGGTAATGGACGCAATTCCGAACGGGAATTTGTATGCATGTTCAAGGGTTTCCATGTCCAATGCGGTCCCCCTCTGCACACTGAAAGATTCCCTGTACAAATCGAAGCTTCATGAGGGGCTAATGGATTATCCGCTCAGTTCTTCCAGTCTTTTCATCTCCACTGAGAGCTGCTCTTCCGGCTTTGAGCCAGATTTGAGCCTGTCCAGGACCTGCTGGTACATCTTGCGCAGCTCCTCGTCACTCATGATCTCATTCAGCCTATCAACACTGACTTCTTCCCCCAGAATCGCCCTGGATCGAACTTGACGGAGAAGATAGTATGACACAACAGCCAGAGCAAAGGTGCTGGTGCAAGACATGCCAGCATCAACAAGCACTCCCGCCGCAGGGAAGATCACCTTGACTGCCTCGCTCGCACAGAATGCCAGAGATGAAGTACCACCAGTCATCACAATAGAGGCCATGTGAAGAGCTGCTTTCTTCGACAAGACCACCTTGTATATCTTCGCAATGCACAGAACCATGAATGCTTGGACGGGTATGACGCAGACTGCTCGGGAGAACGGGATGGGAACTGCAGCCACTGCAGCTGCGAGCGCAGTGAAGCCAAGAATTGTCTTCTTGACCTCTGTGTCCAATCCTTCTATCCAGGCATCTTGAGCTCGTAGGAAGGACTTCGCCACAGCGTCAGGCAGGCACTTGACCGTCTCTTGAATCAATTCTGACACTCCATAGTGCTTCTTGAATGCCACGGTTTGTTTGCCTGACATAGTGACGCAACACATAAAAGGCCCAGGTCAAATGAGGGAATTCCATTTGGTTGCTTTGTACTGCTGACATCTGTTGAGGTTTACTCCTCTGGAAATGACAAACAAGCCAGGAACAAAGACACACAAAAGGAAAAGGCGGAACTTGCATCACCCAGTGGCAAACGCTGCAAAAGTATGATCTCGTGCTCGCGCTAATGAAAATGTTTGTGGAGCCACACTCGCAAGAAAGCTTTGCTGGGCCCTGACGAGGATCAGTAACCACCTGCACGATGTGCTCAGCCCAAGGACATGTACTGTGAACTTCCTTCTCCACTTCTTCCACGTTGTCTTTCAAAGTGTCGCATTTGTTGAGAACCATGATAATGGGAATGTCACTATCACGGAAGAGTTTGGATACTTGTTGAATGTGCTCGGGGTTGAAACGACCCCCAGCGATCACATCAATGACCCACCAAACCATGTGCAGATTCTCCTGGCAGTGTTCCGGGTCGTCCAAGGAATGCTTTGCAGCTGCTTCCTTCCGCTCCTGGATGAGCTTCTGCAGTTGGTCTTGTGCTTCAACTCCACCCGTTTCAAAACCTATGGTATCATAGATGTGCACTGGACAGCTCTCAGAAGCCGCATACCTCGACTGCATCCCTATGACAGATTGGACGAACCTTTTTACAACAAGTATCGACAACTTCACAGATTTCTAGATACTGTGAATGCAAAGACTGTTTACAAGGCACGTTCTGAGGTGTCAAAAAAATCCTATGGTTGCCAATGCAGTCTTGCAAGCAATCTTGAAAAAAAAATACGAAATCACGAGTGCAGGTGCAGTTTGATCTCCTTCGTCACTGAACGGCCAACCCCGGTCTCTGCAAGCTGTCTACCAAAAGCAGCATTGATCAGGCTCGACTTGCCTGAACCACGATCTCCAAGGACTACAATGCGGGCGCCATGGTCCGCCAATCTCTGGTTGGCTTCATGTAGCGCAAATTGTTTGCGGCAGTTTCCTGATGGTCTCGGTCAAAAATGCTTTGGTGACTCTTCTGTTCCTGCAGATCCTTTACTCCAGCTGCGAGTTCATGTAAGGAATCCTCTGGAATTACCGAATTTAGATTCAAGCGGTCAAAATGTTCCCGCCAAACTGGAGCATGCAGAAGGATGATTTTCAAGCACTTTGTTGCGTGCAATTGGTTCTGCTGAACCATGGTCTGTGCTGTCAAGAAAGCCAACACAGTATTCATAGCCCCAGTGGCACACTCGGGTTCCGCATTCAAAAAATTGATGTGTTCGGCTGATGCAAGCTCCTCTAGGGTCTCAAGCATCTTTGAAAGAATCGCAGGGGATTCATCATCATTACCCTCTTCTCGCAGAACAGCTCTCTCCTCCTGTTTGAACAAACGAGCCAAACACTCTCTCCATTGCACCTGTAACTGATCACTGGTATGATCGTTGGCCATGATGTTGCCTCCTCGCACCGCTTGAAAATGCTTCAAACGTCTGAGCCGAAAAAACAGGAGACAGGAAGTTGCAACCTCTGGTGAGTTTTCGGACTCAAAGCTGTACCTTAAGGACACCCAACACGACGCTTCTAAACCAACTGCAACTGGCCAACCTTCACCAGCGAGTCGTGAAGCGCTTGCTTCAGCACGTCTAAGGACTCCTGCGAGTCATGAGAAGGTTGGCCCTTCATTGGGAAGTCCTTGTGATATACGTTAAGTCATATTATGTGTATATATATATATACCTAGTCTATTAACATTACGTATGTATATATGATATTATAATATATATATATATAGAGAGAGAGAGATGTATATTATATATATAGAACCCTTTAATCTATCCAGAAACGCTAAAATTCATCAAAACCCATTTCCAATCCGCAAACTCAGGTGGAGGTGGGTAGCCCCTTCTGCCTAAGTTGGGGGCAGTAACGGCTAGTCTTGATCATCTCACGTTGCGGTATCAGCATTGACTGTGCGCCATGCACTCCAACTCTAGATTCCATGAATGTAGGAAATCCGTTTTGCAACATGTGGTCACTTCCCCCATCTCTTGCTAATTGCACTGGTCCCCCCCCCTTGGTCCACCCTTTCGAACTGGGACCCTTCCTCCACAGATGGCGCCATCATCAGGCGTCACGCAATTTCGAGTCACCGCTACTTGGTTGAAGTTTCATGAGTTCGATCAGCCAAGGTGATTTGAACGCCAAAACTGGATGTCTGGATGTATCTTCTTGACGGATTTCTGCCAGGGGACGGGTGGGAAAGTGCAAACGTTTAAACGGGTCTGGACCTGTCCAGGAAAATCCTTAAAAATCCATTCATCGCTGATCCACCATTATCTAGCTAAGCCTGAGTACGAGGAGCAGCCACGCGTGCTTGTTGAAACTCTGCTGCCACGGTAGACTCACGCTTGAAAACAGGAAGCATCTCAAGGAATCTTTAATATTCTTTGTTAACCCTAAGACGGTAAGAATGTCATGTTTGCTGGTAGATTCTCGTGTTTGTTGCTTGCATCTACAGGTGTGTTGTTTGCATGCCCATGATCTTCAGGTTTGATCCTCTTCAGTTGCTACTGTACAGTAGATGAACGTAGATATGGAAAATCCACCATGTGTAACTAAATCTCCTTGGGGAATCCATGGATGTTCAATGTCTGTGGAACTGCTGGTCACTGAGGACAACTGCCCATTTATTGCGATTCTTGCTGCTGAAATCATAAAAATTTCATCAAATTCCATTGATTCCCCATAAATTGATGTGGAAAATTAACAAGAATAATAAACTGGTATCATAGTAGAACTCCCATCATCATAATAATAATAATAATATATATATATACATACTGTAACCATATAGTACGCCAATGATCCACTAAGCATCATAAACTCCCCATTCTTTGCTGCTGAAATGCCCGGCATCTCAGGCCCTGAGGCCCTGACCTCCTGCTCCGTCATCTTGGCACGTGCCAGGACGTGGCCCCCAGGTCTGCGAAGCCGGAGACGCGGCAGAAGGACCGGTGAATGGTTGGAAAAATTAAACAGGGACGAAGAATACGCGGGAAACCCTGCAAAATGGTCCATTCATTGGGACCATGGGATATTCACCAAGAAAAGTTGACCAAGAAAACCTAATGGTTTATGGATTCGTAAGGGATATCCGGGATATTCCCATGTTAACCAAGATATTTTGAGATGGAACCAACAAAAAATATGATCAATCGACCAAAATTGGGGTTGCAACGAACAAGAATGGGGGAATGATCGATAAACAATGGACTATGAAGGTCAAAAATTGGGTGCTGTATTTTTTTTAACAACCGGAAGGTAAGTATACCGGGTGAGCGACTGGTAAATGGCTGATGGCAGTTTGGGATCGGAATCTATTCATCATGGCTGATGGCACAAAAATGAGTACCACCGCTAGACCCACAAAAATTCTCATGCGAATCGTATCCGATGGATACTCTGGGCTAGTCACATGGGATAGATTCCCATGAATGGCGGTGGCGAACCTTTGAGAGACCATACATAGACCATACAAAAAAAACAATAAAAATAAGGATGTGAAAGACTCCCCAATCAAAGTGGCTAGAAAATAAGAGCCATTCAACAATCATTTGCCAGTGGCTTTTGTTCAATGGAAAAACCATTCTCCTCGATCCCTAAAGAACTGTAGGGCACAGCTGTGAACCTTCCAGACTGCTCAGAGGTGGGTTTCCCACCTCACCCTGGCCAAGCACAGCTGCAGGAAGTTGGAATCCAACGTCGCGTACTGGCGAGGATGGGATAGCAATGGATCGCATCACTGCAGCGGAAATCCTACAGGTGTAACATGGGAGTACCCAATGTTGATGCATCACCTGCTTTGGAAACCTCAAGGCCTGAGAAGCTTACAAGACCCCGCCTCAGATCGTTTGAATTGTTCAGACGTCGCAATTAACGACCGAATCCAGCTTGGATAAGCCACAAATGGCAGCTGCACCTTGGGGTCAGAGATGAAGACAAAGACAAAGCCATACTCGCCCTTAGCCTGAAGGCATCAAAGGAATCCTTGCCCAACCGCTTTCAGCTAAGTAGCATCTGTTGCTTGGTGCTCTATAGTTCGGATGGTATTGGATATGATGGGACTATGTCATGTGTGCTTCCCACTGCACAGTTATTCTTCTCATCATTGCCATCTCCTGAGCCGATGCCCTTCCGTTCACGGATCAAAGATGCAACGGTTTTTACAGAGCACTGGGGCCTTCTGGAGGTCTTCAGGAGAAACCAGCGACGCTGCGCCTGGCAGGTGGCAGCTGGGATGTTCCGAATTCAAATGGCAAGTTTGGGATTGTTTGGGTACCCTCTGGTAAACTAACATGGCTATTGAAAAATGCCATGTATAGTGGATTTTCCCATCAAAAATGGTGATTTTCCGTAGCTATGTTAAATTAACAGAGGGTATCCTCAGTGTCAATTTCAAAGGCAGCATCAACCCCCAATGGCATCTTTTTCTGGTCCACTGCTCTGCATCACCGCTGTGAGCTCCGACTGCCCAGCAAGCCTTGGGTGACTTGGGTGCTGAGGGGTGGCTCCAATACATTACGATACCAATGAATGAATCCACCTGTCACTGCTTACGTGGTTGCGTTACGTATAGCTACGTGATTAAATGTTGTGTCTCGTATTTCCCCCATCCAATTTTGAGGAGCCTCAATGTTTTGAGGCGTGGAGGCCATATCTACTAGGATGATAATCCCACTTGGGAAGGTCGGAAACTTCAAGACCTTCCAACGTTTTTTTGCCCGTCCTGTTTTGGTGATCATTGGCATGGTGTCCCCTTCAATCCGAGCATGGCGGCTCTTCCAGGACATCCCCTGGGTCCCTTTCTGCCCGAGGTGCTCTTTTTCGAAGGATCACCGCCCTTGAAGCAGGCGAACACTGCCTCAGCTGCCGACAGGAAACGACCTGCTGAGGAACGAAGCCCTAGGCATTGTATCTGTACCATTCTGTACCCTGTAAGTAGACGTCCAGGAGCTCTTCACCAATTTTAATACAAGTAGTCTCCTGCCAGATAAAAAGCAGGCATTCGTGCTGGGGGACTCCAAACTCTTAGATTTCTCCGAGTTGCTCCAATCCGTTGGCCCAAGCTCTTCTTCTTCTTTTTCCTGCCAACTCGAAGCATGTGGCTAGCTGCGGCTAGCTGGTGGTCAAGTTTGAATAGTCTAGAACGCAAAGAAAAGCTCCATGGTACCGAGCGCATGATTCATGAATCATGCTCTCTTCAAAGCGTTGGATAAGGGGCAAATGTTTACTTTATTTTAAGTCCCATTGAATCCCATAAAATCTTCAGTGAATAGTAGGCCTTTCACCCATTTCACCCGCACCCCCTGCAGTCCCCGTGTAGGGTGCCGCGGATGATGCCGTCGCGCCAGCGGCACTGGGCCCGGGCGCGGGCCGCGGTGCAGCTTTCTGTTTGCCGGGCGGCCTAGATGCAGCGCAGAATTCCTCTGGGGATCCGTGAAGGTGCTAAAGATGAAACTGCCAAAATAGTTCTTGTTTGAACCACATGTATCCAATTGTATCCATATGTTCATTATATGTGTTCAACAATGTCTCTCTGGAATCATAGAAACTTTGGTAATCATTGTATGTATTGTACAACAAGAAGGTGGATGATTGGAAATCCTTCAATGGTGAAATCACAACGCTGATACAGAACAAGTAGGACTTAGACAAATTGATTGCCCTCTGAGTCTCAAGCAAATGAGAAGATTTCATATGCCCAAGGTGTTCTGGCTAGGTCTTGAAACTGACATTGAACCAAATCCTAATGCATGCGCCTTGGGCCACCCGCGCCTGCAGTCATGTTCCTCCTCATAGCGGTGGCGCAAACACACCGTCTGGCCACACTTTTGGCAGTCGAACTTGTTGGAGGGGCCCAACCTTTGCGTGATTGGATGCAGGGCATTCCAGATTCCCACTACCAACAGAGCGCATATCAAGTTGGTCAATAAACAGAGCCCAGCTCAGAGTACAACTGAGCCCACCAATTCCTGGCACTTGGCAAAACCCTCACACCAGCCTTTCTCTACGGTGAAATCCAATGGAAGTCGAGGCACTTTTCTTTGCAGCCAGCAACTGGACAGCGCTTCGGCCCCGTCTTGGACGGCAGGCTCTTGGCGCAGCCTTGTCGAAAGTGCCGATCCCAGGTGACGTTTGGGTCCTCGACAAAGCCAACGGGAGCTACCCAGTGGATCCCCACCACTGGTGGATTCACCCAGGGGAAAGTGCGGAAAAACGGGCATCAAAATGATCTTAGCATATTTCCCCACGTTGATCCATGGATGGATTTTAAGGAAAACCCTGGAAAACCATGGAAAACCATACTTGGTCAAATGGGATTGGTCATCCCATAGCTGTCTTGGTGTCCGCCAGGCTATAAGGCGACCCATACCCATTTGCGGAGATTTGGGAAGCCCAGTTTCTCGTACTGGGTCGATTTGAGGGAAAATAGTGGAAGGTATACCGGATTCCTGTACTGCTTCCATATGAGTTAATCCAAGATATCCAAGGGACATGTTACCCGCTGATTCACCTGGAAAATAGAGAATCTATACCTAGCCAAAGGTAGGCATAGGTAGGCATTCCCTATCTGAAACGCCCGTCCTCATCTGCCCTTAGTCGCACTGCTGCTTCACACATCGGACAAATGATCACCTTCGCTGACCAGGACTTTTTGGCTGGGCAATGGAAACAACAGTGGCATTGTGCAGCCAAAAGGCCATACCCTCTGGTGAACTAACATAGCAATGGAAAATCACCATTCTTAATGGGAAAATCCACTATAAATAGCCACTTTCCATTGCTATGTTAGTTCACCAGAGGGTATCTCTATCTATAGACAAACTAGAGGTCAAGGGGCCATTACCAGGAACTATACACAAACTTAGTTGCGAGGTGCAGGATGGTGATGGATACATACATGACATGACATTACATTACATGATATGACATTACATTACATGATATGACATTACATTGCATTGCATTGCATTTGTTAACATTAATATATACATAGATATGTAGCTGGCCTTTATTTGCATCAAAGTTTTCACACATTTAATGTAAATCCCCGATCAATGAATCCTAACTATTACTTGGAGGGCTATGCCCAGAATAGTCATGAATTGCTATTATACAAATGATAAATGTGTTTCCGCCAATTAATACACTGGTGTCTTATGAATCACGACAAACTGGGGGCTTATTAATCATGGTTAACATTGGGTGCATGTCAAGACTTGGGATGCCCCAAAATGGCCATCTTGGGGAAGATCATCAGAAAACAAAATACCATCTGGTTATTTAACATAACATAGCCATAGAAAATCCCTCATAAATATGGAGGTATTAATGGGAAAATCATCTATAAATGGGCAATTTTCCATGGCTACGTTAAATAACCAGAGGGTATATGTTGGGGTTCTAGGGGTTCTAGCTGTAGCTGTCTGGAAAAATGTTCAACCCCATGAGAACCAGCATCTCATCTGCATCCCGGCCTGTACAGTTTTCTGATCTGCCCGGGCGCAGTTGTGACTGGTATATGAGAAATGTTCCTCCGATCCGTGCAGGACAGTTCCGGGGCAGTGGGATTTCGACATTGGAACAGGATATATCGAAATGCGATTTTAATGGGATTATATCGAAATGCCCCATAAATTATGGTACCCAAACAATGAATAAGAATATGAATATACTGTACTTTTCTTGTCGATACTGATGATGAGAAAGAGGAGGAGGAGGAGGACAACAACGATAACGACAACGACAACAACGACGACTCCGAAAACGACAATCGTGATGGTCATAAATGACCGTCATCCTCGCAAAAATGTGTAGCTGCCTTTTCTGTGAATCATGTCAGTTTTTCAGTCCGTGAATCATCCACTTCCTCCACTCGTAGATCTAGTAGTGCCCCCAGACCCGACAGTCTGAATAGATCCAATACATTTCACCTTAAGTCTGCTAATCGATTTATATCTAAGTATCAGGGGGAAAGGGATTAGTCAAATGGCACATGTTTAACATTAATTATATTACTATATGGTACTATCTCCTCTAATGTTATTACTGTTGAACCTATTTATGAGTTTCCCACATATCAATTTTGGCACCTTCCCTGTAGCCCGTCCTGGCAAAAGACCTGGTGGCACGCATCGCATTTGAAGGGCAAAAAGTCCAATTGATGGCCTCAGGCTCAGATCCAGATCGACTGGTACAGGTCTTTCAGACATAACCATGGATTCGTCATTTATGTATCATAGGATTGAACAGTCTATAGGGTATCAAATTGGATAAGCATTTGATAATTTCCCCCCAGCTTCGGAAGGTTTCCAATACTATATTGATAATTAATATGATAATATCTAATATGATCTAATCATGAACAAACATTGTGGATTTCCAATGGGCCCAAAATGTTGACCCTTTTGGCACCCATAGCCAAACCATTGGAGGGGTCTGAGTCCCGGACATCTGTCAAAGCTGCAATGAGCAGCGCCCTTCACATCTACTTCCATCTTCGCCCCTTTTTTTGGTGCTGCTGGGCAGATGACAGTTGGTAGAATGGTACCACAAAGGTTGGATGAAAAATGACCAGGCAATCTGGTTGAGGAACCCCCTGACAGATAGCAAAAGATCTGAAGTGAAAGGGTACAAACATATTTGGATATGACGCGAGTACAAGGGGTGTTTCCTACACGGTCCGCGCCCTTGCGCGCCCGAAGAACAGCTCTATCAGGTTTTTTTCAAAGGGGGCTGCGGGAACATGGAATGACCGTGAACTCCAAAGCCAACCCCCGAAGCTGTTGGGAATATACTCCATCTATGTATTGACTAAATAACAAGTTGGGAACCATCTATGTATTTACAACATGTTTGTACGGGTCTACGATTGTCTATGATATTGGATGTATGATGATGTATATATATATATATGTATATACTATATACACCAAAAAAACTGTCCTTCCATCTGAGTGTACCCTCCATCTGGTCGATCTGATCTACCAAGGACTCTCTTGTCTGACCTCCATGACATACACTGGACACATCTGGACGCCAAGCCCATGTGGCTAGATCATTAAGATTCATCCTGTATATCAAAGGGAAAATTGATGAAAATTGAACCAAACGAATTGCCAACACCACTCTTGTCAGAGATAAGTTCCAACATCTAACCCGCAGGGAAAATCATTCATACCCTCATCACTGGTAGTTTCTACAACACCCAGATCCATCCGAGGCAGTTTATCAGAAAATTGCGGGTAAGTTTAAACCCCACCAAGTGGAACCTTCACGATCCACATCCCCTTCCACACTCATGCCTAGTGGCAGAGATAGCAAGTAAGCCTGGAGTCTGGAGTCTGGAGATGGCATACCCACGGTGCAGATACATCGATATCCCCAGCATAGTGGGTTCTTGACCCTGATTTCGATAGATTCATGGCTTAGTGTAGTGTGCTCAATCGCGTTGTTGTTGGCTGAATCACATCATATGTCTATTCCATTTATCATTTGTTTTGATGGCTTCTGAACTCATTCAAGCTTCCAAGTTTCTAAGCCCAGCCGTGTTGATTTATGTGTAGCGAATTGCAGCAACACATCATTGCTGGGCGGCCTCAGCACTTGCGAAAGCAGAGGCATCCTTCGTAGAGGCAACCACCAAGACCCGTCCTGACACAACGGGGGTGAGTCACTTATTCGTATGCTTATTAAGTACATCACAGCATGTCACAGTATATCAGTCTACTTCACTTATATCCATTTATATCCATTTATATCCTATATTCTAAAAATCTAGTCTGGAAAATCTGGGAATCGTTAAAACATCCCAATCCACCTGGAAATCTGCAACGAACTTCGTGGGATCATCCTGGCCCCCAGCCTTGAGTTCGAAAAAGACCTGAGAGCAGCACCATCTCGCCCCAAACCTCGGCTGTCTGCAGAGTCTGGGACTCAGAGCTGGGGATTGAATCTGGTGGTGAAAAACATTGGATACCCATTGGATATTGGGTGCCCAACCTCATTCCGGGGTGGGCCAATTTAAGAGATTCTCCGCTGCAGAGCCGGCTCCTCTGAGTTTGTCGCTGGAACACCAGAAACGAATTGCAAGCTACGGAGCCCAAAAAAGCAACGAGGATATGCCACAGATCAGGCACATCTGCCAGATCGAACCCCAAGTCGAAAACTTTCAAGTTGAGATGAAGGAAACGAACTGGAGGATTCAACCCATCACAAAATATTTCACTCTAGTAGTTTATTGAAGTCCATGATCCAATTTTCAGGCATGAACAATAACAGCATTAGAAACCACCAGTTCATCTTGCAAAGCCTCGGCCGAACAAGTGATCTTTGTGCCACCCAAAAACAGACTCGTCAGCCTTCCGGCAATGTCCATCAAATGGTTGTCGGAAAATGTCGTATACTCCCCAGATGTCCATCAAATGATAGGAAAAACGGCGCTTTTGGGTGTTCCCCTAAATTTTCAGATCAACCCACCGCGCAAATTCGCAAAAAACTTTGGACAGGTGATTTAAAAATTTTGTGTGGTAAACCATCCCCACTAAAGCTTGATTATTGGCTTTACCACATTATTTCATGTTCTCCATGTTCTCTCCATTTTTTGATGCCGAGATCCAAGAATTGCGGGGCCCTCAGCAGTGATACTCCGGTGGTCGCCGTTGGACGGTCCGCCGCAAGCGGCACCCCAGTGGTTGGGTTCGTTGGACGAAACCCCAGTGGAGCACCGAACGACCAGACCGAGAGTCTGGTAGTTGAGAAGGATCTATGGCTGCAATGCAGTATCTTTTCTTATCTGATCGAATCCTGTCTTTTCTTTTTGGACTCTCAAGTGCAACTTGAACCTCTGCCTTTTACTGCTATCAAACGTTCTAAAATAGTCCGAGAGATTTACAGTAGTGCGGAGATTTATCAAACCTGGGCAACAAGTATGAGTTTCATTGTGTTTCATTCAGGCATTCTATTCATTTCTTGTTGTTTCGCATCTTTCTGGGCACTGCATTGAAGCGTTCCCAACCACCAACTGGCCAGGGTCTGCTCGGGCGTGGCAGCCCTTCGCAGAAGAAATACCGGGCATTGCCAGCATCTTTGGGTGAAACGATGGAGTCGCCACCTGTCGCAGGCTCAACTGGCGCTTACTAGTGCTATTCAGAAGGCCATATATTCAACATCTCCAAGGCTAAATACATGTGTATTATATACGTCTATATATATATGTGAATCTGTGTATATACAGTTGTATATATACTTGATGTATGTGAATGTTTCTTGTATACATATACATATATATGTATATATACATATACTATGTGAATGTTTCTTATGTGTATTTATATATATATACACAAATGTTGTTGTAGATCCAACAATATGACGTGGAATCATGGGGATGTATCTTGTGGAAGCAGGAATATCTTGCAAAGCCAGCATCTCATGGTCCACTTTAGCGACTGAGACAGCTTCAGTATGCAAAGTTGCAACAAAAAGCAGTGTCAGGTACAGGTGGTGAAGTGATGGAGCATGTGGTTGTGGATGACGCTCCCTGCAATCCGCCTTCATCCAGTTTGCCCCAAACGTCTGGGTGCAGCCTGAAAGAGGCCAGGTAGCTTCAGACTCAAGACTCACCCAGGTGCTAAAAAGTTGTGGCCAAACGTGTCAAAGAATAAGGCCACCGCCACCCCCAAACTGTTCCCATTTCAAGCCAGAAAAAGAAAATACCATGACGTTTAAACAACTCCTCCTGCCCCATCCCTTCCCGTTTCGTATCCGCATGATCGTTGCTGATACATAATGGCTAGTTCTTGTATGTCCATGCCTTTTTTGACAAGAAAACCCAAACATCTTGGCAAGAACGTACCAAAAGATACATCAAGATACATCAAGATACATCAAGATACATCAAGATACATCAAGATACATCAAGATACATCAAGATACATCAAGATACATCAAGATACATCAACAAATACTTGAGTATATACTTGATTATATACTTGATTCATCTCCAGAAATATGTCCGTCTGATCTTGGCAAATTATACCCCCCCCTTTTTGGCCCCGGAAAGCCCCATCACCTCGATGCGGGGCGTGCCCTGCTTGAGGCTGCTCTCCAGCTCGCTGGCAAAGCTCCTGTCAAACCCATGATGGCATTGGATTTTGGATAACTTAATGGCTTTTAATTTGGGAATGCTGATTAAACCCATTCTTGCGCTTCAAACTTTGAATGTACCCAGTAAAGTTGTGCTTGCATTCAGAACAGACACTAAGTTTCAAGGTGTTTTGGGACCATGGCATTCACTTTTTCGATCCGGACAGCGGTCCTGAAAAGGCCCTTGACGCTGACCAAGTCCTGAGGCTGACCGTCAGAAACGAAGTCATCGGGAAGCAACTGGCAGTTGTAATCCCATCTATCCATCATGTGTACATACATATAGTTTGTATATATATATATACTGGTTGGTGGTCCCAATATATGGAAAAACAAGATGAAGCCCACGAACCCGAATGCTCACACGTATGTCAATGGTACAGATGTCAAAACACATGGTTATGCAGTCACGCACAATACTTTCTGCAATAGTTTATTTGAACAGTCTTGTACATGTTTCCCGTGTTACCAGTCTGCAGTGTGGAGTGGAAAGTGTAGAGTGTGGAGTGTGGAGTGTGAAGTAAGGAGTGTGGAGTGTAAAGTGTGGAGTGGGGAGTGTAGAGTGTGTAACGTGTAGAATGCGGAGTGTAAAGTCTCAGATAAGGTGTGAGGAGTGTAAAGTGCAAAGTGTAAAGCGTGGAGTGTAAAGTGTAGAGTGTGGAGTCTAAAGTGTAAATTGTGGAGTGCGGAGTGTAAAGTGTAGAGTGTGGAGTGCGGAGCTTCCCCCATGGACACGGCGACGCCACAGGAAAACGAGAGACTCGCGACAAGACACGTGGATGCAAAAAAAACAGCATTTCCTACGAGACTTCCTCCAATTTTGACATTTTGTGAACATCATCAAACAGGTTGGAATGTCAGAAAATGTCACGTCTGCCACCCAAAACCACATGACAACATCCTCGGAAACATTCGAAAAGGACAGGTTTTCCAGCTTCCTCCATAGACACGGCGACGCCACAGGAAAACCAGCGACTCGAGACAAGACACATCAATGGATGCAGAAAAACCAGCATTTCGTACGAGACGTCCTCCAATTTTCACAGTTGGCAACATGACAAAAGGACAAGTTTTGCAGCTTCCCCCATAGACACGGCGAGGCCACGGGAAAACCAGAGACGCGAGACGAGACAGGCGGGAGCACCAAAACGAGCATTTCGTGCGAGACTTCCTCCAAATTTCACACTTTGTAGCTTCAAAATCGACGTTTTCCTACGAGTTTTCCTTAGAACCCGAAAATTGGCAACATCAAAGTTTCGTGCGAGGCTTCCGTCAATTTTCAGCACATCGCAGAAAATGCCACGCCTGCCACAGAATTTGCACCTTGTCGCCACTTGACGCAGCCCTGCCAATGCGATTTGCAAAAAACACGCAACGCGACACGTCGAAAGTGCTGCGCCTGCCACGAAAAATGACGATGGACACGCCCAAAGTGCTGCGCCTGCCACGAAAACTGCAACACATCTTCTGAAAACGTCGCAAAAGTATTGCGCCTGCCACGCAAAACGACGTTCGACACGTTGCAGAACACGTCTGAATGTCACGAAGTGCCACGCCTGCCACGCGAAACGAAGCAACCAGACGTCTGAAACCTCCAAAAATGCTCCCTCCTGCAGAACTTCCCATAGGCACGGCCATACGGGGATCGCGCGAACGGTTGCGGACGGTTGCGGACGGTTGCGCTCGCGAACGCAACGTCGAGCGAACACACCCTCAACCCCCAGACCCCCAGATTGAAACGGGAACCCTTGCTACGCATTCGGGAATAAAAAATGTTCCAAACCACCAACCAGTATATATAATATATATATATATATGGTAACCGACAGAATTATGGAAAAAAAAAACGTTCAACTTAGACAGGCGGCGCCTGCGTCCGATTTTTCCATAATTGGATTTTTCCCCATAAGGGTTCAAAATATCCCGGAAGTGATCCGAACCTTTTTTTTTTCCATAATTCTTGGAGGTGGCCATTATTTCCATAATTGATTTTTCCTGTGAAATCAGGGGGCTAGGGCAGATTGACCGTTTTTTCCATAATTATTTTTTTCCATAATTATTTTTTCCATAATTATTGTTTCCATAATTAATGTTTGGGGCTCCACCTGTTGGACATGTCATGGATCCACAATTCAAACCCGTTTTTTTTTGGGGGTTATGGCAATATGTATGCAAATGCAAGTATGCAGTATCAACCCAATTGAAGGCTTGGCAAAAGGAAACATCCAGATATTATGTATATCAATGGCAGGCTTTAGGGGCATATACCAGATCTTTAGACACATATTTTCTATAATTCAATATTCCCCCTTAAAATGCATTCAAATTGCGAACATCACATGATATTATGTATATCAATGGAAGACTTAGGGGCTAATATACCAGATCTTTAGACACATATTTTCTATAATTCAATATTCCCCCTTAAAATGCATTCAAATTGCGAATCGATGGACATACAGTCACCGACAGAATTATGGAAAAAAATAAGTATGGAAACAATAATTATGGAAAAAAAAAGGTTCGTAACTTTTCTATCATAGACAGGCGGCGCCTGTAAATTGAAACGTTTTTTTTTCTCCATAATTCTGTCGGGTGCTGTATATATATATATATTATGCAATCAATCAATCACAATATCTTATGAACTGTTATGTGTCTTTTTAATATACATACATGCATAATATTGTACATATCTGGTACGGCTCCATCATTAAACCCACCTCAAGAGCATATGTCTAGTGTTTTGCAATTCAAGGAAAGGAAAAAGGCAGGCCACTTTCAAGAAGAAGCATCCGCGACAGCATCGAACCCTGCCCGCAGTCCCACCTTCTTCCGCTTCTCGTTTCTTTCTTTGCCATATCGACGCATGCGCTCCACTTTGGATTCGCGCCTGGAAAAAAGCGATCCCGGAAAGGCAGCACGGCAGCACCATCCCTTTTTCGAGGGTTGACTCTTGACATCAGCGTTCCTTTCATGGATTCAGCTGGGTCCACAACTTCCAGATGCAGAAAAGGTAGGTGGTGAGCTCCTGATCCCGCCAGTACGCCGCACCTGAGCGATCGGAGGGGATCCAACGAATGGCTGGGAGTGACAAGGCTGAATTCAATGGGGGATTGATATGGATTGATTCCTAAGTTGATATTTAAAAATCTGAAGGTGTCCTAAGTCATAGGGGTACCCCAAATCATTCAAGTCATGGATGACCATGAATTAGTACTGAAACAACCATGCTGACTTGGGGTACCCTCATTTTAGGAAAACCTCCACATATTCCATCTAATCTACAATATCAGAGGATTCAGAAGTCCACATCGCACTAGTGACGGCTTCGTGGCCACTTGAAAGGAATGTACTCCTACAGTACTACATTCCACAAACAAAAATGCCAACTCCACAGAAGAATGACATGTTTTCCTTGTAATCGTCTCCTAAAAAAAGAACGAGTTTTTTGTGGCCCTTGAACCCCCAGCAGGAAACTTGCTGCTCGGTAGATGGGATCACAGTAACCCTACTGCGTTGTACTGAAATTCACCTGCATAGGCATCATAGGCATAGGGAATACCAGGGGGTTATAACTATTTAGATGATATTATAATAATTATTAATAATATCTAAAGATGGTGATGAAGATTGGGCCCAAAATCTTGGTTCCATTTGTGCAATGACCAAACCTATGGGCCACTGAGAGGATGAATTCATCGACAGAGGCCGCCAGCAAGACGGTGGAGTTGACATCAAATGGGCTCCCAAACTCCGAATATGTTAAGTCAGTTCCTAAAAATGAACCCACATGGCATTTTTTTCAAATGTCTATTTTCCCAACCAAAATCAGATCCGAAAAAAAATGTTGGATCCCAACCATGACAGAAGATTGGCCCCGGTGCCGCTGAGCCAGGCTGAGCCCCGAAACGTTCGCTGGCGATCATGGCAGAGCCCTTGTTCCTGCGGTCGTCCGCTGGATGAGTGGCACTGGATTGGTCTTGTTGGGAAAATCTTCACCGGAAAACCATAGAAAAAAAAACATCTAATATAGGGCTTTCCTGGAAATTTTCCCATCATCCAATTCTATGATTGTGATATAAGAATCATCATCGTTACTATCATTGCATGTATACAATTCCTTCCGAACACATCCGAACCCCCCCCCCGCAGCTTGCCGCTTCATGCAGAGCCCCGACCTCGCAACGAAGTTGGACACGGTCGCTTTCTTGGTTTTGTTGACCTCCTCCATTTCAGCTTCTCGCTTCTGCTCTAAGATGGCCTGATCCAATGACCGAACGGGGGTTCTTCCTGTGGTTTGCCCATTCAAAAAAACACCATGTTTATATGTTTAAGGATGCTGTGGGGTTCCCCAGTTTTTTTTAAAAAAAGTGACATACCCACAAAGCTCATGATGCGCAGTGATTTGTTACAAAAAACCCTGCTCATTTTGGAGGGATCCAACAACGAGCAGTAGCTGTGCTGATATCTTGGATAATGACATCTGGCAAAATTGCAATCTCCAATCAGCCTGAACCAGAAGTATCATTATATTATAATTATATACATGTATAAACTGTATAAATCATATATATATATATTGTCAATATAGATCCATATAGTAAGAGTGTACTAATAAGGACAATATTTTGCTATTTTATCATGACTATTCCTATTTCTTGTTGTCATTCTTCATGTGCCCATTTTGGTTTACATCCATCCTGCCTCACGCCAGCCCTGCATGGTCAGCTGAATGAGGCTGATGTCGCTGTTGCCGCACATGCGCTGCATGACGGCCTGGAAATCATCTGATCAGATGTTGGTAAGGTGGTAAACCACCCATGACTGGGAATGGTAAAGATACCACCTACAATATATATATATATGCTGCATGCTGATAACTGGGGGATGGTTTATGAAATTGTTTTACCCACATTAATCCACAATCCCCAATTGGGGTCTATGACCATCCCAGTGCAGGGCGATGCTCTTCAGCAGGAGAAGTCCACGGCTGTGTACAAGTGGCGAATTACCATTCTACATACACATGTAAATAATTATATACATACACACAATCATACGTATATATATATATATGGATAACCATAGTGTAACCCGATTAATGTATTTATATATACATATATATATATATATGCACATACATATGGAGCAACCTCTGGAGAGAAGTGTAAGTATTAAATTATTGTATATGCATAGTGTTTATGAGTTGTTTTATAGTGTTTATCCAGTGAAAGGAACACAAGCCCTTCCAATGCATCCCAGTCAGCTGCGCCTTGGCTCCTTCAGCCTGCTTCGCGGTGAAGGCAGCGAACTTATCTACGGAGTCCTTCGCAAAAAAAAAGGCGCATTGGGACGAGGTCTAAAAAAGTTGTGAAAATACCAAGTTGTTCTGTGATGTTCTGTGTCGTTATATTTCTTAGTGGTTCCAGGGGCATGAAAACATCGTTTCTGGAGGAGTTTCAAAGGCTCCTGGAGGTTGAAAAAATGTGAAAAATGCCGTTGGGATCTTTTGCTGCTTGGGGATAGCCCAGTGCTTTTGCTCTCCTTTATAATGTCCAAAAGCAGCTGTCCAGTTGTTCAGGAGCAGCCCCGAACTTTTAGTAGGATGTTGATCCCTGTCAGTACATTACCCCCTACCAAACAGCAGACAAATGTTTCCCTTCCCTCCAATGCGAAACAATCCACCAGTTAGAAAGTGGTGGGTTGTGGGTCTCTTCATTTTGGTGTCCCATTTTGGTGACCCATTCAGTTGGGTGTTGATGTGCTACACCATGGCCCCCATGGCCCCCATGGCCCCCATGGCCCAAGAATTTGCCCTAGCTCTACCAGGTGGGAGCTCAGAGAAATACCCAGCCTTAAGGGCAACATTGATCTCTCGCTCAGATCTCTCGATGACTTTGAAGTCCATCCAAGCCTTGAAGGTGAAGGCCTCGTTTCGCAGCCCACAAATGAAGCTGTAATGAGGATTTCAAAGGGATGTTTATTGATTTATGTGTTTATTTATTTGTTTTGTTGTTTGTTTATATATATATACATACATATATTACATATATATATATATACATATATACATATACATATATATATGTACATATACATATATATACATACGTATATATATATATTATATATATATATGCTTGCTCCAGGCCCTACCACCCCCCCTCCCCCCCATCGGATAAGGTACACCCCCTCCCCCTCTGTGGTAATGGCTGTGGTGGTGGGGGGTGGTAGTTATGTAAAAATTGGTAGTCAACAGATATTAGGCGTATAGTGTATAATATCAATAGTATTGGGAATTACATACGGTTGTATATAATGTAGGTATATAGGTATATTGGCATGCAATGGGTAGTACATTAGGTATGTATTAGGTTATACAAGGTATCTATTAGGTGTGTAGTGTTAGGTATGTAGTGTTAGGTTTTCTGTATGTAATATTTAGTAGTCTTAGGTACGTATAGTATATGCTTTATATACAACATAATAGATACATACATATATATATATATATATCCATATGCCCCTATATGAGATCTTCCCCCCCTGTGGCTGGTAGTGCCCCCCCCAACCCATGGGGGGTGGAGAGACGGAGGACGGGACCATATCAATATATATATATATATACATGTATATATATATATATACATTTAGTGTATATGTCATTGGGTATAAAGCCAACAAACGGCTGAACATGATGATTTAATGGGGGTTTAACCGCCAAAACAATGAGGGTATAATCGGGCTGCAATGGAGCTATCCTGATTTCGGGAGTGTCTGCGGCTATGCCCATGAGAGGCTAATTCTTCTAGGGAAAACGATGCTAGATTTCAGAGAGACCCAAATGGACTTGGATGAATAAGATTGAGAACTGTTAAACCGTGCCCAAAATTGGAATTGATTCAAAACACAGGAGCTGTCTCAAATCAGTGGCATCTCATCAGCTCAATCCCGGGTGCGATTCCAGCCTTCAGTCCCTCAATGTTGCCATCGGTCATCCTACTGAAGACATTCTTGGCCTGACCCGGACCGGGGCTGATCCAGCAGCTAAGAGCTGGCCCCGTTGTGGCTCCAAGATGATTCATCCAGGTGCCACATGGTGGTTCGGCCAAAATCGTGGTGTGCCTTGATGATTTTCTCCAAATGTTGATGGGACCAGTTTCAGACAAACTCATTTCATGCAGAGCCGACCTTCACGGCAGCTTCATCGGCGAAGCCCTGCAACTTCCTCACAAGGTCCTGTGGCAGAAAGACATCTGGAGTACGATTCTGTCTACCCGCACCAAATTATATTCTACATATACATACATACATCGTATACCCATGCATCTTGATAATATCTATGTGATTCAACAAATAGCAACGTAGAGGTATTGACATACTTATTTCAAAAAAAATGTCCAATAAATATCCATACTGATCATGCCTGGTTCACCCTTCATTAGTTCCCTCCCAGTCCTCAGCCTCTGCTTCAGTAGTCTTGGACTCCTTACTGTTGATGGCCTGGCCAGGTGAATTGAGGAAACAGTGGAAAAGATGAGTTGTGTCACTGTTTATCTTTTTGGTATGGCATATTTGTTGGTTTCTATGTTTCCATTAAAGCAACACAATCAATAATACTCAGCGGCATAGAAAATAGTTAAATGAAAGAAAATCCTGCATTTCCCATCCAAAACCCCAACAGTCTTCATATCTGCACGCAAAATCCGAAACAAAACTAAAACATGAAGAGCTCTTGTCCATTCTTTGAGAGGCGCATTCGCGAAGGCTTCATTGAGAACTGTGGAGTCCGCTAGTGATGTTCGCACATTCTCTTCCGGCAAGTCTCAACAAGCCTCAAATCCCAAATTAGGGAAAAACAAATTTTGCCAGTATCATATATATATATATATGTTGTATATAGATATATAATGATATATATATATATCTGTGTGTGTGTGTTCTACCTGGCTGTAGTACCTTCATTCATTCACCTTAGAAACTCCCAATCCCTGGGTGCGACAAAGGCCTCCCCCAACATCGCTGCGAAACAGGTCCCGAGGAGGGCCAATTCTTTGTCCTCCGCATGCGGCCGCTAGGGCTACCGTGTCGACTAGGTGAAAACATGGGCTACTATTGGAATCATCATTCTAAATTGGAATATTTGAGACCACCCATCCGGTGTATATACTTGAATATAACTAAGATACATTACATTACATTACACGACATGACATTCCATTCCATTCCGTTCCATTCCATTCCACACCACACCATACAATACCATACTATAGATACCATACATTACATACATTACATACATTACATACATTACATACATTACATACATTACATACATTACATACATTACATACATTACATACATACATACATACATTACATACATTACATACATTACATACATTACATACATTACATACATTACATACATTACATACATTACATACATTACATACATTACATTACATACATTACATACATTACATACATTACATACATTACATACATTACATACATTACATACATTACATAAATCACATACTACATACAGCATACATACCTCTCGAAATGGGAAACACATGAAAGTTGTGGGAAAATCAGCACAGCTTGAACCGGAACGCATGGGAACTAAGAATCCGCGAAACTCGAAGCAACAACCAGCCCAGTTGTCACCGATGTTTAAACCTTTGCCTAGGGCAAACGGTCCTTGATACCATTGTACACTACGGTATGTACTCGCTGACGTTGTGCTGACTTGTAGTCGTTCAACCTTTGGCTGGGGAGTAGATTTTGAAGTTGATGGGCTACACTGCAGCATTGAACATAAAAACTGTGGCACCATGAACCATGAACCCATGCTTTTGTATCTTGAATTGACCCGAACATTCGCAGGTCACCAAAAGTGGGATTACGATTTCATCATGCATCAGCTGTATCCTACATGTGTGTATGTACTGTATGTACCTTCTTTAATTTACATCAATAAGATCTTGTTCATGTCAACCAAGAAAATGCACATCTGGATAGGAGTGGCAACAAATCTACAGCCTCTTTGCAGCTTCAGCCTTCTTCTCCTGCGCAGATTGATCTACGGTCACAGGTCTGTAGCCGGTGTGACAAGAGACTATTCTGAATGCACATGGGAAGTGCAGAAAAACGTCGCGGTTTCCATTTCTATCTCGGTCAAAAATACAAATCCCAATCGGGCCAATTGCTTCGCACAAAGCAAATAAAGTGAAGCAGAGAAGCACATAATCATATAAGCTAACTTGTTTTATTTGTTTTTATTAGACAATATTCTTAGGTGACTAACATATATCATGGGATCAGCTGACCCCGGCCGAAGGCAAGGGGGCAGCGCGTCAAAGGGAAAATGGAATCCACAAAACTGTTCAAGCCATAGGTCAGTGGGGTAGCTGACGTGCATGACGTCTGAAAAAATAGCAAAAACTGTGGGTCTGTTAACAGCGCCGGCAGCTGAAACTATGGTACTGACGCAGGTTTTTTTGCCTCTGACTGCGCGAAAGAATGTAAATTACAATACTGTCAGATCTGTCAGTATTTTTTCAAATCTTAAAGCCAGCACTGCTATTCGCAAGCTCCTTGCATTTTTCACAAAGAAACAGATTGAAATATATTGAAAGAAGCTTTCCCGACTTGCACCCAAAATAGAGAACAGGCAATTCCAGGCAATTCCAAAAGAATTCCAATTCCGTCAAATCAAACTTGGTTCGATAAGAAATTGGGAGCATATTTCTGGAGCAGGTCCCCAAACAAAAGCAATAGCATTCAAGCCAACCCTGCGATAAAATGGTAATTAACCTACGTGAAATAAAGCAACAACTGGTACGGCAGCGCCAATGACGAGTGTCAGAGTGGCCCTAGGAAAAGCCAGGTGAGGAACTCACTTACATCTTTGCTGTAAATACCTTCGAACAAATACTGTGTTTCATAGTGGCTCAAAACCATTGGCATTTACAGCCTTTCTAGTCCTGAAGGTGCCAAAAAACATCGCAAATATCGTGGTTTCTGGGGATCTGGCACGCCAAAAACATCGGCATTCACAACGTTCTGTGTGCTGAATGGAGTGGCAAATGGGGAAAGCATCGCCATATTTCCACTTTCCCGTGGTGCCAACAATTCAAAAAAATGCATGGTATCTATATTATATATATATAGTGTCTTGAAGCGACAAGAGAGGAGAAATTGCGTGAAAACTCATGGCTGTTGGGGATCTCAAACATCTTCCCGCCAACCTGCAAAACTCGCTCGCGCTTCATGGATGACGCGCGCTCGCGTCACGGGTGTGCGACGTGCGAAGCTCTACAATAATTATAAGATATTGGAAACTATGGGAAGTCTTAGAGTAAAACCATCCTCAATTGGGGCTTGTGACATACCCCTACTGAAAAATCTTGTAAAGTGGCCCACAATGGTTGGTTAGGTTGGTTCCTTGGATGGAAAAAATGGCATTGGCTTTAGCAGAAACCCGACCAGGAAGCCGCAGCGGAACGCCTCCCAATCTTTCTTCACCGCGGCTTCTCGCTGCTGCCACTTGACATGCTCCTTCCAACCTGGCGGCTTGCAAGTCAATGATGGCCTATGGCCCCACCCAACAACAGCAAAGTCAAGTGAATTGAGAACAAATGCATTCAGTTTCAGTTTCACTTGGAGGAATCGTCTATATTTCTGGACAGTCAATCATACTTTATCACATCAACACGATAATCATAGCAACGGGTTGGACCAGGAGCAGGTTTTGATGGTGAATCCCCCATGTTTGGACAACCCCAGGAAACCCATCCAGTTGTTGGACCCTGGTTCCGAACCTACAAAGGTCTGGACCAAGGTTGCCTGTCCAGAAAGGTGGGCACGACTTGGGAACCGCCAAGGGGTGACACCATTTTCACTGTGACACCATGGTTTGAAAGGAAAATGTTAGAGGAAAATAGAGGAAACCATGGTTTTTTCCCGTCAAAACCACGGTAATAAGGGCGTTAGCCTGCAAAACTGTCGCTTCAACCAATTCTCGAAGCAGACTTTCAAAGGAATTCCTTTACCGGAGCAGATTCAAGCTGCTATGAACACCTGCCGCCCATCAGCCTCTTCAAAACTATCCAGCATCTTGGTCAGGAAGCCCCCTCCACACTCCTGGCCGGCGAGATTTGTCGAATTTGATCCGTCACCCATCTCCAAATGGCTTGGTCATCTCAAAACACTCGAATTTAAGGACACCTTATGGTGTTTTTAACATGTTTTACGGTTTAACATCACGAAATATCCAACTTTCCCCGAAATGTCCCAAGGCTTCTCTGCACCTTGGTCTGAGTCATAAATCCACCTGGGAGCGGCTGAATCTCGTCGTTGAATAATTCTATGGATGTGATTCTCGATTCTCAAGCCATGATTTAATAAAAATCAAAAGTATAAAATACATTCATTCTAGTTGATGGTTAAGGGGATGAACCATCCCCATATTGGTTTATTGTATTGTTTAACTAGATATACCGTGAAATACTGATGGTGATATGGTTTTCATAGTGGAAACTGTGGGAAGTCGAGTTTTTCAGCATCCTCAATTGGGCTGGACAGTGAATAGCCTGGAAGCCTGATGGGGCTTTATTGGAAAAAAGCTGGGGTATGAAAAGCCTGGTTCCCCACTGGTTCCCCACTGGGTGCCCTTGGCCAATCAGCGCCCGCGCTTGTGCCAGGGACTTCTGGGTGGCCATCTGGGTCGCCTCGGGCTCCGAGACATGATGGGAGGTGACCAACTGGGAAATTTCAGTGTCCTGGGAGTCAAGATTACAGTAATATTCAAATATATTCAAGATATTTCAACTATATATCATTCATAGATCATCCCATGACAATTTCATATCATTGATATGTAACAGAGTTGTCAAGGTATCACAACCACATTGACATGATCATCTCTCTGAGGTGAAAACGCTAAGCATGTGGTGCAAGAATTTGATGATGAAAAACCGTGAAAATGATTAGAAATTTTGCAAAAAAAATAAGAAGAGTGTCAGACATATATATATATAATTATATATATATAATTATATATATATAAATATATATATATAAATACGGTACGTATATGTATTGTAATCCAATTGTATCAATGTTATTGTAATCCCTGGAGTCTAAAGCCATTTTATGGGGATCCATGTTCATTTCGGAAGGGTCCATACGTGTGGGTCACGCGTGGTTGTCCCAACGCCAGTGGGTGGCTATCCTGGATGATGTGGAGGGTTCCATAGCCATGGTACCCTAATAGCTGGATGGTTTATCATGGAAAATCCTATTAATTCAAATGGATGACGGGGGGCTACCCCCATGACTTTGGAAAATTAGGAAACCTCCGCCCAACGCGCAGTGCCGGTGCTGCCTGCGCTTGCAGCAGCGGCATCATCCTTCTTTCGGTGTCTGACAGCCACTGGTCGTGCAGCTCTCCGATGGTTTGCACCTGGCCACCAGAGCGAAGTTCGAGACCGGGGAGAAAGAAAACTTTGGAAATCTGATGGCTTCCATTTCACACAATTTATGAAGAAAGAAAACAACTTGTTTCTTCCTAGAATTGTTTTTGTTTTACCATTTCATACAATATCGTGGGAGAAACAAGTCTCCATACGGTTCATCTAGTTGGTTCCAACCAAGCCATATCGCCTCAGAACCTGCATGCGAGACAGCCATTCTCAAGAGGTATTGCAAGACCTCGGAGGTTCAGCGGCTTCAAGTTCATTCTGTGGGAGGTATGTTTGGATATTGGGAGTTTCTTGAAATGGGAATTCCCCAAGTCACCAGGCTTTCAATACTAAACCGGTCTAATGACTTGGATGCTTTGGAGTACCTCCATGACTTAGGAACCCCCCCTATGGAAAATGATATGTTGTTGCCGGAAAAGCAACGGCTGCGTTACAATGCAACTACAAGTTGTCCAGTAGTTCTCCCCCGGAAGTCTGGGAAAGCATCTACTGAGAGGGGAAGTTTCCAACATGTCATGCTGAGTTGAATTTATCAAAAAAATAGCAAAGCAATTTAAAATAATGTGCAATGATTTCAGTTGGATTTCTCTTTCCAGTGGATTCCTATACCTTTTCTTAGGGTCTTAGCGCTTGCCGCCGTCATCGAAGACTCTAAGGTGATGACCCCCACATTCTCCGCGCTGTCCAGGGCTTCTTCCACCACATCCGGATTGCCCGTCTCCAGCAGAGCAGCCGGTGGGTGGATTTTTCTGGTAAACCGCCATGAAAATTAAGTATTTACCCTCTGGTAAACTAACATAACTATGGAAAATCACCATTTTTAATAGGTACACCATCTATAAATGGGCCATTTCCCATGGCTATGTTAAATAACCAGAGGGTAAGAGTCACCATCCCATCCATCCCCAAGTTTGAGGTTTATGAAATTGGGAAATGGCAGTAGAAATGGGATGATGTTCAGACCCCAAGTTATGGTTGGATTTTTTGGGGGATGAAACCAGGGATGGTTAAATTTGAATGGTGATCTTGCACATATATGTTGAGAAGGTATGTCCTTATATCACAGTGTCTCATTTTAAAAAAAACTAAGCAAGAGTAGAGATCTTGCAAGGTTTTCAGCGGACATCAAACGACTGATGCCAAAGTGAGACAAGCTTAGTTTGCGAATTTGAGGTATGATAAAAACCATGAAAGGGAGATGCTGCACCACTCTCCCCTCATTTGACTTGTGTCGGCCTCCAGGGCAGCCCGCAATCTAGTGCTCCTGAGAAGTACCACCAGCGGACCGACATGATTGTCACAGGCAAGAGGCCATGGTGCGTCTTTTCTGTGCACCTCCCATGTTTCTTGATAAAATTCCCACTTTGCTGGCAACTGGGGAACGCAAAAAAAAAAAACTTTCCATCCAAAACTTCTACCAACAGTTTCTGCAAGCCATTTGACGCGCAAAATGTGGCCAGGCTGTAGCAACACAATATGGCTCTTCTCAATGATGTCCTTCTGGGATAGGTTCTGGTTGGTTTGGTATACCATCTGCCGATATATGCCATAAATTTACATCCATTGCCATCCATTGACATGTCTATATTAATCTATATTGGTTGTTTCAAACCGCTCCGAGCTAGGGAAAACCCAATGGCCCCATGGCTCGTGGCTCAACATTTCGCCGGGCTGCGTGGATGCGATGAAGGAGAGCTGCAGGAAGAAATGTTCATATTGTTCCCGGCCTCGCCAGAAATCCGAGGCAGGGACGGAGCGAAACTCCGCATAAAGCATCATACAAGTATATAGATAAATCATATATATATATATCATGATAAAATCACTAAGAATCTATATAAGATGTTGCAAATGTTTGCACATTGGGCAATTTCGCGACTGCAAAATCTCTGTGGCGCTTACCGCACAATCCCTAACACCAGGTCCCTGGCTTTGGTTTGGCATGCGCATGACCAAGGCATCAATCATTCGCTCCTGGCGCGCCGCCAGAACGTCACGCCAAAGCATCTGATGGAGATGGAACATGGATGGAATATCGGAAATCCCTTGGGAATGATGGGGTAGTAGATAACATTGCATACACTCTATATGTGTATATATATATATTATGTCTATATTATTTTCTTTTGTGTATATATATATATGTACACTGCAACTATCCCAACTTCTGTAGGAAAATGGATGGAAAATGATGGAAACATATGGAAATGCTCCATCCCCTGCTGTTCCCGGTCTCCTCCGAGAGCCCCTGAAGCCGTTCTTCCTCCTCGGGGGTGACTTTGATGCCATGCGCCTCGCGTCGACTGTTCGAGGATTGGGATGCTCGGCACAATCATCCATCATCAATATCAATATCAACATCAACAATGATACTAGGAATAATAGCAATGAAAGTATTGATAGTAATAATGGTAATAATATGTAATAATGATAATGATAGTAATAACAGTAGTAATAGAAATGATAGTGATAATAGGAATAATAGTAATAATAGTATGAATAGTAGTAATAGTAACAATAGTCGTCGTCATCATCATCACCACCATCATCATCATCAATGATAATGATAACGATAACAAACATGATAATGGTAATGATAATGGCAATCATCATCAATAAATAACATCGTGAGAACAGCATCAGCATCATCTACCCACCAGCTGGGTCGTGGGTTAAGTGCAGCGCCGGGCCGCCGCCCCCACCCTGGCACCTCCATCAATCTAACCACCGCCGTTAGAGAGTGTGTGCCAGCCCATTGTGCCGAAAGGATCCTGGTTGGGAAAATCATATCTGGTTGCTGGTTGACCTACCCATCTGAAAAATATGAGTTCGTCAGTTGGGATGATGACATTCCCAATGTATGGAAAAATAAAAAATGTTCCAAACCACCAACCAGATATGGATTTCACCCGGTAACATATGACCAAAGGGCAACCTTTTTTGGGAAATCATAATTCACCAGTGGATAACTAGCGCCCGGAAAATCCTGTATAAATGGAGGCTGTTTTTTGGGAAAATCGTCAATAAATGGTGGATTTTCCATTGCCAGGTTTGAAAAAACCAAAGGCATTGGAGTTACCTACAGAAAAAATGGCCATGTTTGTTGGCAAAAATCGCGTTTTTTTGAACGGCCTTCCATTGTGACACCTCAACTCCACAGGTGGCTTTGGTACCTGAAAAAGAAGGGAAAGCCTCAAAATCCCATGGTCTCGAACTTCATTTTCCCTTTTCAACTGGCCATAAATGAGAGGTATACCGCGGTATACCCTATTTTCAAACACAGCCAAGTCCTGTTGAGCTGTCGATAATGTTTCTCCTCCAGAAAGGTTTTGACCTTGCATGGGTTTCCCGGGGCCATGGTCATCCCAGCATGAAATGGATTCCCTGTACCCTTTGGTAAACTAACATAACTATGGAAAATCACCATTTTTAATGGGGAAAACTCACTATAAATGGCCATTTTCAATAGATATGTTAAATTACCAGAGGGTAATTGTAATGGGATGTAATGGGTACATGAATCCCTATGAAAATTCATTGAGGATCATCCCCCAACATCAAGTTTTGACGCACCTATTGCACCTGACCTGGTAGGTTTCGACACACCAAGAAAGAACATCTGTCCATGGGCATCACCATCCCAGCTAATTAGGATGAAGAAGTGGAAAAGAAGCGCTTTTTGTGCTCACCAACCACCAACCAGCCACTTTGAGCCAGTTTGATCCCAAAATACCCCATATGGGTGTGTCTGAAAATAGTGTACCCCTAAACCCAATGGTTAATGATCATTATCCCTATTAAATGGCTATAATTGGGAATATACCCTATTTTCAGACAAACCCATATGATCATCATATTCAAATTATGTCCAGACACTACCAGTGCTTCCCCGCCGGTATCCGCGAAGGGTCGCCGAGTCTCCCCACGACCAATTTCACCACATTCCCGAGGCCACCAGAGGTGGGTTGCGACGCCTGCTCCAAGTGGACTGGGACAGAAGCCTAGTTCTGATTATATATATATATATATGTATATATGTATATATACATATATGTATATATATATGTATATATATATATACATATAAAAAAATGATTAGATCCCCCAGTACATAGTTGTGAATAGCACATGTGCATGTAAGAATTTATGATCATGACAATGTTGATTATGTAAACTATAACACATGATGACTGAGTTTGTAAGGACCCCATTGAACTGCTAGTGGATAACATGGGGTATTGATGACTCTCCAGGATTTTCAGCGGCCAGGGAGGTTGATCTTTCACCAACGAGATCTGTCACTTCTCAGACTTGAGCCGATCTGATTCAGGCATGATGTTTCAGCCATTGGCACTTCGTGAAGACTACTCCAATTGCTTCAATGGCTGATCGCTGTGACCATTTCTTCCTGGCCGTCCCAACTTTTTGGAGTTTATCCAGTCAATCCAGTCAACCCCATGAAACCTTGTAGCTACAACTGGCCATGAAACCCCCAATTGCGTTGAATATTTGCAAAGCCTCAAGTCGAATGGTTGCAACACCAACATTGGTTGGGTATGGTGATCCTATAACCCATGGTTCGGCATATATCAATCCATCATCTTTGTGGTTGGACGGGTCCCTTCCCAATGAACTCATTGGGTCTTCTGTAGTACTAAGTCATCCAATTTTTTGAGGATTGATCATTTGGAGCCATCGACATTTATTTGTAGATTTGATCTACTGCTTATGGTATATAGCTATTTTATAGTATATTATCCTATCCTCCTGTCCATCGATCTATCTGCCTGCTGCCTATCTACCTGTCTTTCTTCCTTCCATCTACACAAACATGCATATATTATATAATATGATATGTAGATATACCATTTATATATATATACATATACATATGTACCCCAGAAAATGGGTCAGAAATGGGCTGCAATGGCACCTTCTTCGCCTCAGCTTTCTCATCGTCCATGGTCCGGACGCCTGGAATGATCGTGGGGGTGATGAAAGATATGAAAGATGGAATGTATGGTGGTTTTACCCACGGAAATGGTGGTTCTGCCATGTTTTACCCACAAAAAGAAGGGTTTCACCCACAGAAATGCTGGGGTTTAACCAGCAAACATTGCGATTTCACGAGCATTTCGATTTAAGCAACCGTCACTGGGATTTCAACAAGCAAAAAGGGAGATTCAACCAAAAAGTACTAAAATTTGACATAATTCAACTGTACCCAACCATTGGGATTTGTTGGGGATTTGGGTTTGTCCAAAAATCCCCAGCGGTTTTGATGGAAAGCATGAGGTTTTAATCCATTGGAACTGGGGGTATCCCATGTTCAAACAAACCTAATGATGGATGGTGGATGCAGTACGGATGGTTAAGAGTGTCTCTTTAATGTATGTATGTATGGATGTATGGATGTATGGATGTATGGATGGATGGATGGATGGATGTATGGATGTATGGATGTATGGATGGATGGATGGATGTATGGATGTATGGATGTATGGATGTATGGATGTATGGATGTATGTATGTATGTATGTATGGATGTATGGATGTATGATGGATGTATGGATGTATGGATGTTTGGATGTATGGATGTATGGATGTATGGATGTATGGATGTATGGATGTATGGATGTATGGATGTATGGATGTATGGATGTATGGATGTATGGATGTATGGATGTATGGATGTATGGATGTATGGATGTATGGATGTATGGGATGTATGGATGTATGGATGTATGGATGTATGGATGTATGGATGTATGGAGGTATGTATGATGTATGGATGTATGGATGTATGGATGTATGGATGTATGGATGTATGTATGGATGGATGTATGGATGTATGATGTATGGATGTATGGATGTAGGGATGTATGGATGTATGGTATGGAAGTATGGAAGTATGATGATGAATGTATGGATGTATGGATGTATGGATGTATGGATGTATGGATGTATGGATGTATGGATGTATGGATGTATGGATGTATGGATGTATGGATGTATGGATGTATGGATGTATGGATGTATGGATGTATGGATGTATGGATGTATGGATGTATGGATGTATGGATGTATGGATGTATGGATGTATGGATGTATGGATGTATGGAGGTATGGATGTATGTATGTATGTATGGATGTATGGATGTATGGATGTATGGATGTATGGATGTATGGATGTATGGATGTATGGATGTATGGATGTATGGATGTATGGATGTATGATGTATGGATGTATGGATGTATGGATGTATGGATGTATGGATGTATGGATGTATGGATGTATGGATGTATGGATGTATGGATGTATGGATGTGTGGATGTGTGGATGTGTGGATGTGTGGATGTATGGATGTATGGATGTATGGATGTATGGATGTATGGAGTGTCGGATGGATGTATGTAGTAGTATGGATGTAGGTAGATGTAGGTAGGTATGTATGTATGTATGTAGGTAGGTATGTATGTATGGATGGATGTATGGATGTATGGATGTATGTATGTATGGATGTATGGATGTATGGATGTATGTATGGATGTATGGATGTATGGATGTATGGATGTATGTATGTATGGATGTATGGATGTATGGATGTATGGATGTATGGATGTATGGATGTATGGACGTATGGACGTATGGATGTATGGATGTATGGATGTATGAATGTATGGATGTATGGATGTATGGATGTATGGATGTATGGATGTATGTATGTAGGTAGGTAGGTATGTATGTAGGTAGGTAGGTATGTATGTATGGATGGATGTATGTATGGATGTATGTATGTAGGTAGGTAGGTATGTATGTAGGTAGGTAGGTATGTATGTATGGATGGATGTATGGATGTATGGATGTATGGATGTATGGATGTATGGATGTATGGATGTATGGATGTATGGATGTATGGATGTATGGATGTATGGATGTATGTATGTATGTATGTATGGATGTATGTATGTATGTAGGTAGGTATGTATGTAGGTAGGTATGTATGTATGGATGGATGTATGGATGTATGGATGTATGTATGTATGGATGTATGGATGTATGGATGTATGGATGTATGGATGTATGGATGTATGGATGTATGGATGTATGGATGTATGTAGGTAGGTATGTATGTAGGTAGGTATGTATGTATGGATGGATGTATGTATGGATGTATGGATGTATGGATGTATGGATGTATGGATGTATGGATGTATGGATGTATGTATGGATGGATGTATGGATGTATGGATGTATGGATGTATGGATGTATGGATGTATGTAGGTAGGTAGGTAGGTATGTATGTATGTATGTAGGTAGGTATGTATGGATGGATGTATGGATGTATGTATGTATGGATGTATGGATGTATGGATGTATGGATGTATGGATGTATGGATGTATTGATGTATGGATGTATGGATGTATGGATGTATTGATGTATGGATGTATGGATGTATGGATGTATGTATGTATGTATGTATGTAGGTATGTATGTATGTATGTTTATAATATATATATATATATAACATATATATATATATACCCTCCAGTAAATCAAGATTACCCCTGCCATTTAGTTGGGGGAAGACCTGCTTCTTTCCACCGCCCAAAAGGGATCCTCGCGCTGCAAACGGCAGCACAGCACTATCGCTGTACTTTGGATCCAAAAGGTCCAAGCGGGTAAGCACTGGATAGACATGCCATGGGGCGTATCTGAAAACATGAAAATGGAAAATCCGCCATGAAGATTTTTTGGGTTCCGAAGGTCCTACTATCCAAATGACACAGGGGATATTCGTAGACCATGCGGGATCCTGTCAGCAACACGGATATCAACGGTGCTTGTCAACCCCTTGCCTGCAAAGGTTTGTAACCCATCATTGAAGTGGTAAATCCAGTGATGTCAAATTACCAACGGGTGATCTCCCACTCTTTGACATACGTAATCGGGACCAGGAGCCGCGGGCGCCCAAGGTGTCATTTCCACTGGAACCCACAGCATATTACACGATAACACCATAGGAAAACATAGGAAAACACGACTGGTCTTGTTTGATGGCTCGTATCATTTGTTTGGAAAACCCACAGTATCAAGCAATCCGCAAGCACGAATATGGAGCGGGGCAGCGGGGCACTGCTCAGCCGGCCCTTTTGCTAAGCAATGCTAAGTGTAACAATGGTCAGTGCCAGGCATTCAGTCTGGCATCGTTTCTTCAAACTGTTCAGCTCCTCTCGCTCACACGACGACACCCATAAAGTCTCATACGTAGGGCATGGCCCCCAGTACTTGTGTAGGCTGCCAACTTCCATTTGGGGCACACTGAATCATGGGTCAAGTCAACCTTAATGTGAGGACCAGTGGCGCATGAGTTTCTGGCCTTCTGGGCTCGAGCCAGACAAAAGTGAACATTTCTGGTGGCCATTGACGACCATTTCACAGCCTTAAGATGGGCTTAGTTCTTTCAGTTTTTGTTTCAAGCTTGACTCCTGAATCATAGAGGATCCGTACTACATTGTAACTACATACGTGGAGGTTTCCTAATGTGGAGTTACCCCTAAATCATCCAAAATTAATCAAAATTAGACCATTTTAGAAACCTCCACATGCAAATACTTCATCTTGTGGTAGGAACTGATATCGCAAGAGCCCATCTGAAGGCCATTTCACGCTTTGCGTCTACATCAGGCCCATGGGCGTGCCACGGTTCCTCAGTTTCGGATAGTTTCGGCCCAGACAGACTGGTCTTGTCTGAGGTTTCTCAGGGTCCCGAAAAAGACTGACCCATAGCAGTTCCTGTTGGTTCACATCCAAATTGTCGTTGCTGACGTTGGAGCTGCATATTATCCAACTTCATTGTTGGTTATCCGTCCTTGGTGGTGCATCTTCCCCATTGTTGGCGAAGACTCGACGTATCCTCATTTGTGTTGGGTTCAGTATATCCGCACATTTTACCCTCTGGTAATTTAACATAGCTATTGAAAATGTCCATTTATAGTGAATTTCCCCATGAAAAATGGTGATTTTCCATAGTTATGTTAGTTTACCAGAGGGTACACAGACTCTTGCTTGCGAAATCCTATGATTGTTGGCTGATCTCCATTTTTTGCAGTAAATTTTGATCTCTCGTCTCGCTGATACAATCCCCCGTGGCTGGTTGATCTTCCAAGTTTCGCTGTTGAAATCGACATGATTAGCCTACTGAAAGCTCGCTAATAGATCGACTCCACCATATTTGTAGATCGCCTTTTCATGTGTTTTTTCCGCAGGTAACCATAGGTTTTCCCATGTTTTTAAGTGTTTTTGACACGTTCCAAGCATCCCCATCCCTGAGACACCACACTGGCTCGAGCCTTGAACCTCTGGAGTTCAGGACCCATTCTATGGCCATCAAGGTGAACAAAAACCATAGGTACCCTCTGGTAATTTAACATAGCTATGGAAAATCACTTTTTAATGGGAAAATCCACTATAAATGGCCATTTTCAATAGCTATGTTAGTTTACCAGAGGGTAAACCGTTCGGGAAACCGTTCGCTAAACCACTGGATTTTGGAAAAATAGTCGCCTGGCGTTGCTCCAATGAGAGGTTGGCGACCTGGCCGTGGCCAATGATGGATTGAAATTGATTGAAACCATTTGAAACCATCGACATTCAACGTGAAACGATGACAAAATCACACCATTTGAAACCATTATTGAAATTTATGATGGATTGAAATTATTCAACATGAAACGATGACAAAATCACCAGATGTATTGATAAAATTGTATTGTCAAATGTATGTTTGACCCATGTAAAAATCACCACATCGATGATAAAATATGCTAAATGTCAAACTGACCAGCCAGTTTGAGTGTCGATTCAGATGCCTTCCGTTCATCCCTAGGCCTTCGAGGGACCATCTACAATATCTTGGGATGTCCTTCGTGTGTCTCACAATGGTTTGGGAAAACCCCCAAAGGTTCATTTAAGGTAACCCACATCATGTTCCGAAAAAAAAAAAAAAGGTTGCCATGAATTGGGGTGTCCTGCATTTTGAGACACACTCTCATATCCCGTATAATTGTAATTTATATCTCCCATCAAATACAAGAAATCACCATGGTTCCTCAAAATTTCTGATATGATCCCATCATAGAATCCCATCCTGAAAACCATCACAGGCCATCAAACGCCCAAGCTCACCACCGTCACCATCAAGGTGCTGCACTTACATTTTTTCGTGGGGATCATTGAGATGGCTCAGGAAAAAATGCCAGAACTTCATGGCTACGAAGTGACAGCGGCTACTGGTCGGTGGTTGCAACCGGCATGACCGGTCGTCCAAACACCTTTCGTGTCACTTGCAACCGGTTCGTGCGTGACCTTGTGACCTTGGGAATTCAGTGAAATCTCAAAGTGACAGCCATGGGGCCCATGAAGCCACTTTGCAGGCAGAGCTCCAAAAACTACGCATGTCGGCTCTAGCAACGGGGACACTGGCGAATGCCTGATTAGATTGGTGCTTGATGAGTGGGATGGTGATTAATCAGATGTCACCACCCAAACGCTGAGAAGATGGGAAAATCAGCTTAATGATCGAAACGCGGTCAACCAAAAAGATTGAAAGCATCAACCATTTTATTGTGTGTGTTTCCCCTTATCAGTGCCACTGTTGACCATTGCTGCGCCTTCTCCACAATTGGAAACCGAGCTGTTCTGATCCAGATACATATAAGGCCTCCCTTGCTCACTTTGATTCCGTGGGGACGGAATGTTTCTGGGCACATTTGGAGCAGTCTAACTGTAGAACCGCACTTCGCGCTTCGCCCACTTGCCGCGCTCCGCACACGGGACCGCTTCCACCAGTCTTGCAAGCATTCCACATGAGCAACTGCTCTGCAGGGCAGCTCGCGACACTCGTCGCCAGCAACACTCTCCGAGCAAAGGAAGCACGTCTCCTCAGCAACGTCTGCAACAGCTGAGGGTCTTTCGGTTGCAGGCGATGGGAGTATCAGCCGCAGGCAATGCTGTTGTTGCTTGCCTGGGATTTGCTTTAACAGGGCCAACAAAGCCAACAAACAAATAGAAAAATATTCACAGTACATTCTGCGGGCATGGAAAATAAACCAAAGAATTTGGGAACGAAATCACTCAGCCAATTCAGACAATCCCCCCCAAAAATGAATGGAACCAACACATTTCACCAGGGTTTTGTTTGGAGGTATTGAATCCTAGAGGAAAGAAATTCATCTTTTTCTCCGTTGCTTCTGGGCCCTTGGGCCCTTTGCCCAGGGTGGTCCTCAGAGCTGGTTAGTACGCCACAATCCGAGATGGAGATCTCCATGGGCATGGGCAATTTGGATCAGAGATGTTTTCATTCCATGGGACTAGGATTGAACTGGAGCTATAATATCATGATTAAATATGTTAAATAACAGTGAACAACCCCATTTACAACTGGTAGCAGCTCATCACTGCGCAGGTTGGTCCCAAAAAAACAAGTGACTCTTGAGCCGAAAAGGCAAAACCAAGGTTGGTTGCACTGTCAGCAGAGCAACCGCAATTCATGGTATGCTGCTAGAAGGCTGAAATACAGTATCCGAAAAGGGTATGCAGATATAGTGCTGGGGTCATGATGGCCAGGATACACTGGTAGGTGGTAGATGGCTACTAGTCATAGAATGATTCATAACATCGTTTTTCAGGACCACGAAATTGCAAGCTTCTGTTCCCGAAAGGAAAGTCCTGGTCAGTTGCCTGAAGCGATTGACTTATCATGCTGTGAAGGTGTAACCCGTGAAAACCCTTGACCCATCATTACAGTTGGATGACCCTCTGCAAACCCGACTTGGAGGTGTTTTTTCTGTTTCCCCTCTCAGAAAACATCCATGTTGAATGGGTGGCAAGTCCATCTGACACCAAATGGAAGTTGGAGCTGTTCCCCCATGATCTTCGTAACTGGCATCGCACTTCCCAGCTGGGCCCCCAACTCCCGCCATGGTTTTGGACATGAGATCCTCTGCCTGCGGAGCTTTTGGACATCCAAGCTTGGAGCCAAGAAAACCTCAAAGACCCCCATGTTCCTGTGATTTACCCGACCTATCTACCAGTTTTTATCGTCTTTTGTGGTGGTTCCCTATGGAACCAATCCCCATTTGGCTGCTACAATCAGCCATCCCCAACTGCTCCCCTTGGCGCCTTGGCACCCGGCATTGCAGGCATGGCAGGTGACCCTGGCCACAATGATCATGGATATGAATGATGATCAAAAGGATGACTATGTCATGTATATTGTACAAACCGCCAGACTTTGAAAGAACACCAAAATAACCTAACCCTAAGTAAACCCTCATCAAACCCTACACCAACCCTAAATCGACAACGAATACCCCTAAATAGACCCTAAAGAAACATGGAATAAAATAACCCTAAACAAACCCAAAAGGAAATCTAAGAAACCAACCCTAAGAAAACCCTAAAACAATCTTTAATTTTAATAAATCCTAAACAAACCACAACGTAAGTAAACCCCCAATGAAACTTTGGCGAACGCCCGCCCCGGAGGGTATATATGTTTTTTCATTGTGTTTATTTAGTTGTTTTTAGCGGTTGTTGTGGTTAGATGATGTGTTGTTTTGTAATTGCTAGTTGCAACATAGATGAATGACGAATGGAAAATCCACCCTTTGTAGAAAATGTGCCTGTAACTTATAACCGATTTCCACTATCTATGTTAATTTATGTTAATTTAACGGAGGATGTACAGAGTAGCTAGAGATTATTGTTGGATCTACATCGATTTATAGTACTAGTGGCTGTGATTATGATTTACCCAACGGCTTTGATCATCACGGTGTCGGAATCGATCTCCAAGGACTCCCAGAATCCAGCTGCCCAGCCTCGAGCGTTGCCAGGCCTCCAGTGTGGGGTCCCAAAAAGTGCCAAGAATGACAGGTTTTTTGCCAATCCCTGAAGTCAAAGCTGAGTCTTGAGAAGTTTCAATTTCTTATTTTCAACATATTTCAACTTCAACCATTTCAACATATTTCAACTTCAACCATCCTTCCACCCAAAAGTGCTTCGATCATCGAACAATAGCTCTGAACTAGGCATCCGGCGCATTGCTCATGCCGCCGCCAGCCATTCCCATGCCACCCATGCCGCCCATGCCGCCCATGCCGCCCATGCTGCCCATGCCCATGTTGCCCATGCCAGCCATGCCCATGCCCATGTTGCCCATGTTGCTCATGCCACCTGGCATTCCACCTTGACAGCCTTGCGTGGGCATTCCCATCGGAGCCATAGACCCCATAGGTGCCGGGCAGCCACCCATGCAACCGCAGCCACCCATGGCACTCATCTGGCCATTCATTGGACCCATGCTCATGCCACCCATGGATCCCATGCCACCCATGGATCCCATGGTACCCATGGCACCCATGCCAGCGCCACTTCTGGCACAACTGCCTGCCGGAGCAGTTGGGTAAAAACGTGCGTATTTTGGGAGGGAAAATGACGATTATCGGATTTAGGGGCACATAGGGGCACCCTATTTCGGAGAAACGCATGCCCACCCCTTCTGGTCTCCTTCCTTGAGCGTCACACTTCTGTTCTTGGGAGGGAACCCGTTTCTGCTGATGAAAACCCTATATCTATTGATGAAAGTACCCAGTTCCGTTCATGAAAAGTCATGAAAATCTCGGCCATCAGCCAACCCTCCCATCCATCGCCTGCATTGGGGTCAAAGGGCGCCTGGGCACTGCTGCCGGTGCTGGGAGTGGAGCCTCAAGCTGAAAGACACAGCTTTGGTGAACATGAACATGGTCAATAGAGTGCATTACTATATTGCACTAGTCATTAGTCAGTAGATTGACCATGTTTGCCAAATCTTGGAGAATGAAAAATCATTATAATGTTGATGGTGAAACATCGGTAATTAATGTTCCAATAGTATCATACTGACAACATTATTATTATATATATATATTAACTCCATGTGTGCAATATTTGGAGAAGTCAAAAAAATACGTGCTTCATCAGTGAATGTTTCATTATTGGGAAGTCACATCAACATTACTATACTCCAATAGTATCATACTAAAAGTCAATGATGGAAGCATTATGAATTGGGATATTGGGGATGTCGGGAGATCAGGATAAGGGAACATGAAAATCTAGAGGAAGTTGGTTGTTTTTTCCTAACTATGGTGGTTCCTGCAGAATTTCCCTTCAAAGCAATTCCAGGAGGAAAGGAAATTGCCCATTTATAGATGGTGTTCTCACGAAAAACTACATGTTCCATTGCTCTGTGTGGATCTGTCCAGAAACGGCGTATGCACCGCAACCTATAGGTTTGGAAAATAACTGTAAACAATTGTTGAAATGGCCATGAATTGGTGAATTCCCTATATTATGGACAAACCGACCAAGCCATTTGCCACTCTTTCATTCTTGATTATTCTTGTTTCCTTTAAGTCGAAGGTGTTTGTTGCTCACCTTTCTTTCAATGTACCCCCGGGTAATCAAACGTGGCTATGGAAAATCATCCATTTATAGTTCATTTTCCCAGCTATAACCTCTGTTTATAGCTGTTTTCCCGGTCATAGTCGATTTTATTAAAATAGTTGATAAATTATTCCATTAGATATTCCATTAGATATAGTTCATTCCCGTAGTCGAATTTCCCATCACATGTTCCATTTTTTCCCGTTGATATTTTGGTGATCTCCAATGCCACGCTGTGATCCCCAAACCGCTCTGGAAAGCGTCCCATGTGGCAGGGCTTTGCGACTGACCTGAGGAAGTCGACCATGGGGCCATGACCATTTATTTTTTATTTGTATATATATATATATGTAATCATATATATATCATAATTATATATATATTAATAATATATTATATTGATTGTCAGCATAAAATAGTCTAGTACTGGTAGTCTATTAGTTCACTATGGATTATGTCCATGATTTTTGATTTCACTGTTCCTTTCCAACTAACGATGGGTACAGTTTGATGGGTACAGTTTGATGATCCTGATAATTGGTTGAAGGGAGAATTCAAACCGGAAACCCCTGCCTTTGGGGATAAAACCATAGTTTCCCTTTAAAAATGACCCATCAACCAATCCATGAGATGGAGAAAAAGAGTGATTGGAAGCAGAAGAAGCCTCTGCTGTACATGGTTTGGATGCCATTGGTTTGGATGCGATTTCCCCCTGACCTATTGAATTGGTGGCATCCCATTCTAGAGATGGAACTCATCATTTTTTGATATGGGTATAAAACCAACCATGCCAAACAAGTTTATGGAAATACCGATCAAAACTGGGATTCATAAGCATTTGAAGTGGTTTTGAATTGAATGGATACACCCTCTGGCAATCAAAGATGGACAGTTTGTAAGTATGCATGTTTTACCCATTAAATCCCTATTTACATAATTTTACATAGGATGCTTGTTCAATTGCCATCTTTGGTTAACTGGATCTGAGTCAAATTTCAAAATCGGGACCCACAGCGAGGTCATGGCGCTGCTTGGTCAATAGGAATTCAGAGAAGTAACGATGGAGTACTCATTATAATTACCAGATTAATCTCGACTAAATAATACCCAGATTAAGAGATATATATAAGTTGTATAAGTACCTACTTATTAACTTACAATCAGGGAAATCCTATTTGTTGGATAAGCAATTTACTGTGAAATAACAAATTGGTAAAACTGTGTAATTTAATATATCACCATTACAAAACAAGTTTGTACAACCCTACATAACTATGAACCCTCGTCTAACCATCATCTATGGTCTCTATCCCCATGTTTGCAGATTGATATTCCCCGCTATGTTGCTGAATATCCATATTAAATCAATCAGAACCGTATAACTTCATTCATTTCCAAATAAATAGCTAGTGCAACCTTGTCATACAATCATACAAATATATGTTTCTGTTTGTTTCCATGCTTCCCCGGTATAGGCCCCCCCCTCTTTGGTTCGGCACCTCCGCCAAAGGCTTCCCAGGGTGCCGCTCCAGCTGGAGCTGCGACAGTTGGAGCAGCCGAGGCGGGCCCTGGGCAAATTATTCCAAGATCACTAAAGAGAAACCAATTTTGGTTCATAATTTCACTATCCATCTGGGTGTGTCTGAAAATGTCGTGTACCCCTTTTTACCCAATGGTTTTGCTGATCATTATCCCGTTTTTAAATGGCTATTTCATTGGGAATATACCCTATTTTCAGACAAACCCATCTAAAAAAAAAACATCTCCATGATTTGCGGACGAACTAAAACTATCCGATCCATACTTTCCCGAGGTCCTTATCAGGTCACCAAAAAAACACCGCGCCACATGCTTCGTTGATCGAGACCGCGCCTGATTCAAACGGATCCCAGGAATTGGCTCCACTGGGCGCAACCTGCACCGATGGCCATGGGGGTAGCCATGAATTAGTAGTAACCCATGATGACGACTTGGGATCCCCCATGACTTAAGAAACTATACTTGAGGTTGCTGGTGAAAGCCAAAGCCGACAGAACCACCCACATGTTTTGTGCTGAAATCGACGTTTTGGGGAAGGCCCTTGGGTGCTTTTGCAGCCCCTCGAGCCACATTTCTCTAGGCCCCCTGAAGCGCAACAGCGCACCTGTGGCTCATCCATGCTTAAGAGATCGGCGCTGCCCGGGCCGCCTGTTGGTTCTGCCGCACGAACTGTCATGGAAAATAGCGGAAAACACCCTCTGTTGTTTATGGGAAAAGTAAAACTAACAGGATCCCCTTTATGGGACTAACACATGTTTGGTGTCTGGAATCATTGCCATGTTTGATTAGCAGTTGATAACCGTCCCCATGTTATGATTAGAATAGGGCAAAGAACACCATATCCACAGTGTTCCCATCCTTTACAAGGTAATTGTTGACCCTAGCTGCGATACAAACAGGATCTGTCGCAGTCATAGTTTGTTACGCTTTATTCTACCCTTGAAAATCCATTGCCCTGTTTTTGTAGGTCCTGTAGCGCTTCATTCTTGGATCAAGCCCCTCTTTATCAACCAATCTAAAGCCAGCTTTGTCCAACATTGGCCGGTTCCTCACTTCGTTTTTGCTGCTTAGACAGGTTGTGGAGTGTTCCAGTTAAATATCCAAGCAGCCACTTGAAGGTGATTTGTCAAAGGTTTACCAAGATTTGGGTTTGTTTCCCACATCATGACTGAAGGGCGATTCGGTTGCCCTCTGGGTATATCAACCAACAGCGGGGTTCACCATCAACCAACCAAAGGGGTTTACCATTACCCAACCAGATCACACCTCCCACCCACATGGAACAATGAACCAAACAACGCTTGAGATCCCTAAATTGAGAGAAAAGGACGGCTGATTCCTGCAAAGGGTCACGAATTCCGACTAGAAATCACAAATTCAAGGAATGACATGGGTTACCCTAGTTATCCTTCAAAATAAGACATGTTACAAAACATTGTAAATACGCAGTAAATACGTCATGACTCCAACATGACAACCCCTTATCCTGCCTACTGTCGGTTTACTTGGGTTTGAAATTTAAAATAGGTGTGTCGGGGTCAATCCCCCATTTTCAGACACACACTCACGAGCCTCATTCTATCCCCATTAAACCCTGATTGAGTCACCATGATATTATATATGTATAAATATATATATATATAAACCACCGTGAAATCACCCCCACATCACTTCCCCTCCAAAAGAAACCATCAAAAAGATCTAGGGCCACCTGTTGGAGCGCTGGAAGGCGCATTTGCTGGCCGCGGCGCATCGATGACCTGTGAAGCCATAGCAAACCATCCCCAATGTTACAATCAATTTATATAAGGATGGTTTACAACATTTGCTTCACTAACATTCTTGGTGTTATCATTATCGTTATTGTCATTGCTATTATTGTGAATATTACAGTAGTTTTGATTGTTGAGTGTTGTTGAGCATTGTTGTTGCTGTTGCTGCTGCTGCTGCTGTTGCTGTTGCTGTTGTTGTCGTTGTTGTCGTTGTTGTCGTTGTCGTTGTCGTCGTTGTCGTTGTCGTTGTCGTTGTCGTTGTCGTTGTCGTTGTCGTTGTCGTTGTCGTTGTCGTTGTCGTTGTCGTTGTCGTTGTCGTTGTTGTTGTTGTTATTGTTATTGTTATTGTTCCTGTTGTTGTCGTTGTTGTTGCTGCTGCTGCTGTTGACGTTATGATTATGTTTGATATCACGTTCATTATAATTTGGTGTAATTGTTATCATCATCGTTATTACTATATTGTGCTTTTCATGATTACTACTAGCGCCAATTATTGCTATTATTATTGCTGCTATTATCATTGTGTTTATTCCACTGTTTATTGGTACTGTTCTTGAGCATTGTCATGTCCTCTCACCGGCGCTCTTCGTCGCAGTCAAGGCACAGAGGGGCCAGCTTTGGAGCCCGGAGCAGCCTTAGCATTGACAGCGAAAATCTCGATGTCTCGCAATGAGAAAAAAATGGAATCATTGAAATCCTATTTATAATATGTTACAATCTGAAATATACTATTTACAGTGATACAAATTTTAAATGGAATGGCGACATGTCCCATTGACAAGAAACATTGCATAAAAGAATCAAATTGATTCAAATTGGGCCAGGTCATTTCCATCGGACATTTGCCAAAGCTCTGCCTAAGGGTTGAAGTTCCACGCTTCAAGGTTTACCACTTTATGCTGAAAAACTTCAAGTATCCCCTACATCAAGGGATCGGTTCTTGTCGCTCGCACAAAGCCTCATGCGCGTTCTTCTCGCAGAGGTGTGTGAGGTGCGGATGTCAAGATTTGCTGGTCAGCGTATCGAATCTAACATAAATCTCCATTTTGTTTGGTTTTTGATGGTCAAACACCAATTTTTTCTGTTGTCGACTGAACTAACAATCCTCTTTGCATCTGTTTCTCAGTCCAGAACTCAACCCATGCAGCGGCGCATGTTTCGGTCTTTGTGCCCGCCGCTCCAATTTCGGATCAGTTCTTGGGTGGTCCCTGGGCCATGAACTCCAACGGCAACCGAACCTGCCGGGGGCAGGAAGGGATGACCCATCTGCTGCACAGATCCAGTTGTTTCAAGATGATGCCAGGGTCCATCCAAATCTCACTATGATCAACACCCAAAAACTGACCCCTTCCAAACCTCCAGTTGCCATGTATCACCATTTCACATCATTTCATGGTGTCATTTATGCAGTAAAACCCCATGGAAAACCCATGCTTGCCCTACTTGTCTCTTCCCTCAAAATGGGTATGGTTCAACAGTGCGAATGAACCCATGAAATCGGTCATTGTCCCCTATCGACCCTCCATTTTTTGTGATCAAAAAGACATGTGAGCCATACCCGAAGATAAAAATATTATGTATATATATATATATATATATATATTATATATATTATTATATACACATATCCCCGGGGTACCACCGTTTTTCATAGTTAAATCCCCGGGAGTTCACCGCCAGATGGTCGCCACCGGCCCGGCCTCCTCGTTCGCCAACGGCCCCCCTTTCTCCGCCAGGAACCGTAGGCTCTCCGGCAGCGACGCCTTCAGGGCGCCAGGGCCTAGGAAGCCCAAAGATCCTCAGCGCGCAGCCGGGGGGGATTGCGGAAACCAACAACCAAATGCTCACGTCGGGATTCACTTCAAATGCCAGAAATCCTCATTTTCGGGGCCGAAAGATGTTGAAATCCTATAAATCCCATCCATTTTGGGGAAGTTACTGGGGATGGTTTGTCTTTATCACCAAGAAAATCCACAAAACATTGAGATTTCACTAACAAAACTGTGGTTTAAACATGTTTAAACCAACAACAACTTGATTTAGCCTAACGTAAACTGAGACATAGATGTGGAAAACCGATGGGGAAACCACGCGAAATCATCTGTGAAGTTGGTTTTGCCATATTATCTATGTTCATTAACTATCACAAATTTGGCATTTAACCATGGGCATGATGGACATGATAAAGATGATGAGGGGGAGAATAGGGATGATGAATGGGTATCATTGGAGTGGGTTTCAGGAAACTTCTGCAACTGGCAGGTTTGAACCTGTGAACATAAGGGTTTCCTGCAAATTTGGTGAGAACCATTGAAAACCCATACGAAAACATCATGTAGAACCCATTAAACCGTTGAAAGCCACCAATTCGCCACCTCTTTTTTCGTGCTCAAGGTGCGGATCGACGGTGCTGGGGAGCGATCAGGTCCATAGACTTCCTGAGGCACACGACAAGACAACATGGAAATCTTGGCCAAATTTAGGTGATTTATGTGTGTTGAATGTTTTTTTCATGGCCATTTCACCCACCATCGCTTTCGAGAGTCTCGCGCCACGGAGCCCTCCATACCACCGTCACGCAGCTGGAGGTCATGGGCTGTTTCGGCCACGATGCACAAGCGCCCGGTGAGTCCTGAACTCAAAATCTGTTCGCTAATGGACGGACACAATTTAGCATTGTTCATCCTAAACCAACCATGCAATGCAGCATTTTGGAGAGTATGTTGACCAATAGCCAAATGAAAAATAGATTGGGGATAGGAATCAGCAACAATTTGGGATATTTTGATATATTTTGCATACTTATGCCGTAATTGGGTGAAGTGTCTGTTTATTGGGCATTTCGAGCCCCAAAAGTGAGGCGTATTCTGGGGATAGCCAAACCCACTTGCATGAGTACCAAGCCGCATACATCACACGTTGCCATTGCCCCCACCGGTCTCCTGGTGCAGTGACATAGGGCGGTTTCCGATACTTCTCCTGTAGAGCTGAGATTTCAGTTGGCAGCATGGCACGGTGTGGCATCAGCAAACAGCGGAAAATGTGCGGCAGGTCAAACAGATATAGGGCGGCAGAATTCCCACTACACCAATTCACGAAGGTCAACTGTTTGTATATTTTTCAAATTTGTGTATCCCAAACATGACTATGAATTAGCGTGTCGTTAAACAACCCAAAACTGTGGCCCTTGTTTAGTTGTTATCTGGTTGGCAGTTTCAAGCCAGGCTGAAGTCATTAGGGATGATGCTACCCTCGACCCGTGGATGTCCATATCACGAGTCCATACATTACAGTCTCCCCATGTATTCATTGATTGTTGGTTGGAAAATTAAAAAATTGAAACCACCAACCAAATACCATCCAGCAATGAACATAAAGCCTGAGAGTTTCCCATTTTTAGAGGAATGGTCGGAAAGAGTTGTCAACCAACCCCTGACTCGTAGCATGATCTCTGTTCCTTGAGTGATAAAGCCCATCCTAAGGGTGGTTCCCATTTCACTGCTAAATCCGCCGACCCCGGCTGCGAAAGGGGGAGCGCGCAAGGGAAGAAGAGCAATAACTGTTGAAAGCTCTCCTGCTACACTAGAGCTTCCGAGCAATAGCGGGCACCTCAGTCAGCTCTCTAACAGCAGGCTGTGGAGTCACACCCTCAAGAATCGGTAGTTCTTGCGGGAACGGAGAAACAAGAACCTAATCTGTCACTAACTTCTGACCAAAACCGGAGCTATACGATGTATATATATATATTGTTTTTTTAATCTATCTATCTATCTATCTATCTATCTATCTATCTATCTATCTATCTATCTATCTCTCTATCTCTCTATCTATCTATCTATCTATCTATCTATCTATCTATCTATCTATCTATCTATCTATCTATCTATCTATCTATCTATCTATCTGTGTATCTGTTTATCTGTTTATCTGTTTATCTGTTTATCGGTCTATCTATCTATCTATCTATCTATCTATCTACCTACCTATCTATCTATCTATCCATCTATCTATCTATCTGTCTATCTATCTATCTATCTATCTATCTATCTATCTGTTTATATGTTTATCTGTTTATCTATCTAGCTATCTATCTGTTTATCTATCTATCTATCTATCTACCTATCTATCTATCTATCCAATCCAATCCAATCCAATCCAATCCAATCTAATCTAATCTAATCTATCCGTCTATCTGTTTATCTGTTTATCTGTTTATCTGTTTATCTATCTATCTATCTATCTATCTATCTATCTATCTATCGATCGATCGATCGATCGATCTATCGATCTATCGATCTATCGATCTATCGATCTATCTATCTATCTATCTGTCTATCTGTTTATCTATCTATCCATCCATCCATCCATCTATATATTTATCTATCCATCCATCCATCCATCCATCTATATATATTTATCTATCTATGCATTTACCTATATGTCTTTCTTTTTATCTATATATCTACATACTCTGTGACTATACATTTTCTTGCATGTGTGCTTCAGCTCGGAGGACACCTCCTTACTTCAGTTTACTTCTTTGTTTCGGAGGACACCTCCTTGTACTGTCCTTTCTCTGTTCCCTTGCAAATCTCTGCGCGCAATCTTGCTTTCATCTGCTGCCGAGCTTGCCCCGACTGTCACCCCACATTTTCACAAAGGTACTTCACAATGGCGGCAGCTTCTTTAGGAGGATCCACGGTGTAATGTGCGTGATGTAAATCTTGGCCAGTCGTAGTTTTAGTAAGGGTTCAAAAAGCACGTTTGGCCCTTTTCCCGGTTCGACGGATTTTCCAAAAGTAGTCCAAACGATTTAAAATGCACAGTTTTCACTTCGAACGGCACTGAAAACTGTGGCCTACACAGGTATCAAGTCATATAGTAATATAGAGTCTATGACTTGTGTTCTGGGTTGGCGACAAGTTGTGTCAAACAAATAGAAAAAGTTGGGCAAATCTGGTACTTTGCAGGTAGTTTTCATAGGGTTTCAGAAGGCACGCTTCGCACAGTGTCACAATTGCGTCAAAAAGGTGGAAAAAGGTAGACAAATGTGTTAGTTTCAGTAAAATTTCAGAAGGCACGGTTGGCACTTTTCCGTTTCGACAGGCTTCCAAAAGTATTCCAAAATTGTTCAAAATGTAGGGTTTTCCCTTCTAACTAACGGTTGTAGCAAAGAGGTGGGAAAACATAGACAAATGTGGTAGTTTTACTAGGATTTCAGAAGAGGCCTTCGGCAATTTTTCCCGGCACGAAATTAGGTGGTATTTTGCCGCTTCGCAAGCGTCGCAAAGGCATATCATTTCTGCTTGGCGGGTTTGTTGGCTGCAAGATGTTGCAGAAAGCTGGAAAAGTTGTTTTAGTTTTCGCAAGCATCACAAAGGCATATCATTTCTGCTTGGCGGGCTTGTTGGCTGCAAAATGTTGCAGAAAGCTGGAAAAGCTGAAACTAAAATGTCTAGAGATTTTAGTATGGATCCAGAAGGGACGGGACGTTAGACACTTTTTGGGGTTCCTTTTGCTATGTTTTGAGCACGAAATTAGGTATTTTGCCGCTTCTGCCTCTTCGCAAGCGTCACAAAGGCATATCATTTCTGCTTGGTGGCCTTGCTCGCTGGAAGATGTTGCAGAAAGCTGGAAAAGCTGAAATGTCTAGAATTTTAGTAAAGATCCAAAAGAGACTTTTGGGCAGGAAATTAAGTGGTGTTTTGCCGTTTCGCAAGCGTCACAGAGGCATATCATTTCTGCTTGGCAAGTTTGTTGGCTGCACTACTACTACTACTACTACTACTACTACTACTACTACTACTACTACTACTACTACTACTACTACTACTACTACTATACCCATCTGGTGCACTCCGGAGAGTCCTGTCCTGGGAAAATATCGCGATTAATTTTTGGGGTCCTGGCCTTTTTGAAATTAAAATCCTGGTGCTTGACTTTTCTTGCCGGAATTTATAGTCTCAGACGAATAAAACTTGCAGGCACTAATTTCCTGATGCCTAAGGTTTCCAGAAAGGCATTTCTCCCCCTCTAATATCAATTAAATTCCTGGGTGCCAACCCTTATATAATGCTCAACAAACAACCCCTCAACATATGCTGTTAACCGATTATTTCCTGGGACCCAAGGTTTACATATGAATGTTTCGAGCCCATAACAGGTTCGAGTGGGGGCTATCTGAAGACGAACCCAAAAGTCAATTGTTTATCGTATAAATCACCACATTCCCAATTACTTAAGAGTATTTAAAATTAACAATTAGATGCTTTGGGGCTTACCGCAATTTCACAACCTCCCAAATTAAATCACGTGTTAACAATTTTCTGGGCTGCAAGGATCACAACTTTAGCAAATAACCCGCGCCTGGAACATATTAAATCGTGGATCCGAACGTTTCCAGCTCATTTTTTGTGTTGGCGAAGCTGAACATATGTGTTTGCACCCTTTTGCATGGACAAATGTATCCTCAGAAAAAAATGCCGGTTTTGCAATATGGGCGCGCGTTGACACAAAATTGTTGAATTTGACTCATCATTTCCTATCTATGGATGGTTGGCTTGGTGATGCGACTTTTTTCCTGTGGGGCCAACCTTTGAAGATCATCCGCATGCATTCAACCAAAAAAAGGTCCAGCCCCTTGGAATTTATTTTTGACACCTGCGCCTCGGCCTCTTCAAGTCACCTTTTTTGGTTGGTGAAGCTGAACATATGTGGCTGTAGATTTTTTCAAGGACAAATGTATGTTCAGCAAAAAAACATGTGTTTTGCATTTTGGGCGCTTGTTGACACAAAATTCTTGAATTTGTTCCATCATTTCCTATCTATGGATGGTTGGCCTGGTGATGCGACTTTTTTCCTGTGGGGCCAACCTTTGAAGATCATCCGCATGTATTCAGCCAAAAAAAGGTCCAGCCCCTTGGAATTTATTTTTGACACCTGCGCCTCGGCCTCTTCAAGTCACCTTCTTGGTTGGTGAAGCTGAACATATGTGGTTGTAGACTTTTTCAAGGACAAATGTATTTTCAGCAAAAAAACATGTGTTTTGCATTTTGGGCGCGAGTTGACACAAAATTCTTGAATTTGTTCCATCATGTCCTATCTATGGATGGTTGGCCTGGTGGTGCGGCTTTTTTTCCTGTGGGGCCAACCTTTGAAGATCATCCGCATGTATTCAGTCAAAAAAAGGGTCAGCCCCTTGGAATTTATTTTGGACACCTGCGCCTCGGCCTCTTCAAGTCACCTTTTTTGGCTGGTGAAGCTGAACATATGTGGTTGTAGCCTTTTGCTAGGACAAATGTATGTTCAGCAAAAAAACCTGTGTTTTGGATTTTGCGAGCGCGTTGGTGTTGACACAAAATTCTTGAATTTGTCCCATCACTTCCTATCTATGGATGGTTGGCCTGGTGATGCGACTTTTTTCCTGTGGGGCCAACCTTTGAAGATCATCCGCAGGTATTCAGCCAAAAAAGGTCCAGCCCCTTGGAATTTATTTTTGACACCTGCGCCTCGGCCTCTTCAAGTCACCTTTTTGGTTGGTGAAGCTGAACATATGTGGTTGTAGCCTTTTGCTAGGACAAATGTATTTTCAGCAAAAAACATGTGTTTTGCATTTTGGGCGCTTTGACACAAAATTCTTGAATTTGTCCCATCATTTCCTATCTGTGGATGGTTGGCCTGGTGATGCGACTTTTTTCCTGTGGGGCAAACCTTTGAAGATCATCCGCAGGTATTCAGCCAAAAAAGGTCCAGCCCCTTGGAATTTATTTTTGACACCTGCGCGTCAGCAGAGATGAAGCCCGGGCCTCGAAGGAACGTGGCCCCCCTGCTGGCGATGCGGTCCTGCAGTTTCGCAAGGTCTGCCTGCGTGTGCGTGTATGTTTTGCACAGGCCATAGTCACGAATGTTCCGGCTTCGTTGGCCCTAAGAACAAACAACGTTCATGTGTATGCAAATGTTGGTTCACATGACTTTCTGACACTCAAGAGATGTTTAGGGGGTTCGCAAAAATGTCGCGCTGCCACTCCTTGTCACCCAGCCGCGTGTCCGCGGCGAGACGCCAAGTGTTTCCACGAACATGCGAACCACACCATTAGGCATGGTCTGCGGCCGCAGGTGAAAACCAAAGACGGACAAACGCTGAATGACAAGTGCTTCGACGTGGCCAACCAAACAAGCCCACATTAGTTTTTCCAAAACGCAAACGCTGAACGTGGCAGCCAGCTCACCCCGGAGTTGCGGCCTCTTCTTGACAGCATCTCACTAAAGGGCTTGTCAGTTCAGCGACAACAGAACCTTTGACCTCGGAAGCGCGACATCAGCAAGCCCGATGCTGCAGTCACGTTTCGGACCTTTGTGGGCGCGCGCCGACATGCTAACTTTTTTATTCATATCTTCAGCCACGCGTTGTCATCTGACACTTTCCCAATTTTTTTGGGATCGCATCCAACCTGAGACATTCTGGCTTGCCGGTAGAAAGCCATGGCCTGCAACAGTGTTTCTAATCCGGGACTATCCAATTTTTTTTGCATTGCCAAAGGAATTATGTGTAACATCACGCGTGTGTGCAAGTGCAAGAGAAGATCTTACAACGTAACATCACGCGTGCGTGCAAGTGCAAGAGAAGATCTTACAACGTAACATCACGCGTGTGTGCAAGTGCAAGAGAAGATCTTACAACGTAACAACACACATGCACGTGTGTGTGTGCGTGTGCCCCCCCCCACCCCCCCCACCCCCTGTTCCCCACCCCAAAAATAATAACATGTCATGCGGGCACAACTTCTAACTGACGGGCATAACTTCTAACTGACGGGCACAACTTCTAACTGACGGGCACAACTTCTAACTGACGGGCACAACTTCTAACTGACGGGCACAACTTCTAACTGACGGGCATAACTTCTAACTGACGGGCACAACTTCTAACTGACGGGCACAACTTCTAACTGACGGGCATAACTTCAAACTGACGGGCACAACTTCTAACTGACGGGTACAACTTCTAACTGACGGGCACAACTTCTAACTGACGGGCACGTACCATCACGAAACACTGCCTACAGTGAGCGAAATGAACATAAACGCGCCCTGACAGGCAGTTTTACGCTCTCCCCCGTGCGCGCCGACAGCGGTCCGGAATGTATAAAGTCATGGGGTAGACAAATTTATTTCCACTCAAGAAAAATTTATCTTCTTCCCCCAGATCAGCACTCAAAAAAAAAAATCACTCGTAGTAGTAGTCGTAGTCGTAGTCGTAGTAGTCGTAGTAGTCGTAGTAGTCGTAGTAGTCGTAGTAGTCGTAGTAGTCGTAGTAGTCGTAGTAGTAGTAGTAGTAGTAATAGTAGTAGTAGTAGTAATAGTAGCAGTAGCAGCAGCAATAGTAGTAGTACCAGTAGTACTAGTACTAGTACTAGTACTAGTACTAGTACTAGTAGTAGTAGTAGTAGTAGTATCAGTAGTAGTAGTAGTAGTAGTAGTAGCAGCCCAGCGGCTTCAAAACAAGTTATTTGTCATGCTCTGATGTGTCCTTTTGCTGGCGATGCGCGGCAAACAACTGGCAAAATAACAAAATCCTGCCTGGGTCATACATGCCACGGCCTCTTCAAGTCACCTTTTTTGGTTGGTGAAGCTGAACATATGTGGTTGTAGATTTTTTCAAGCACAAATGTATGTTCAGCAAAAAAACATGTGTTTTGCATTTTGGGCGCGCGTTGACACAAAATTCTTGAATTTGACCCATCATGTCCTATTTATGGATGGTTGGCCTGGTGATACGACTTTTTTCCTGTGGGGCCAACCTTTGAAGATCATCCGCTTGGATCTTATTTTTGATACCTGCGCCTCGACCTCTTCAAGTCACTGTTTCAACGTTTGTCAAAATGAACACACCTATTCGTACCCCTTTGCAAGGACAAATGTATCTTCAGTAAAAAAACACGTGCTTTGTAATTTGGGCGCACGTTGACCATTTTTTTGGAATTTGTTCCTGATGTCTAACCTATGCATATTCAGCATTATAATCATTATAGCACCATTTCCACAGATTTAAATCCTGGTTCCCAACCTTTTGGAGTCATGTAAAGAACCATACCCCCTCAAACAATCATGGGACATTTTTTTCCTGGGGTTTGACGTACATATATGTTCTAGTGAACTCCCCCCCCAATGAACATGACTTTCCTGTGGCCGGACGTTTGCAAAATAATCTTGAAATATTTTGACATATTTTGAACCAAAATTGTTTTCCTGGGTTCGAAGGGACGCATAGGTTAGCATGTGCAAATCGGTGATTTCAAGATTATTAATTTTGATAGTGAACTCCCAGGAAAATAATCTGCATCACCAGATGGCTATACTACTACTACTACTATTACTACTACTACTACTACTACTCCTACTACTACGCCTACTACTACTCCTACTACTACTACTACTACTACTACTGCTACTACTACTACTACTACGACGACGACGACGACTACTACTACTACTACTACTACTACTGCTATGATGATGACTTTGATGGGAGATTGAAAACACGTTAGGGAGTTGTTTGACGCGGTTTAGTGGCTTGTCCGTCCTTCACTGCCAGTGTGTTTGAGCGTTCTAAGTCCTTTGTTTTGGAAAAGATAGATATTGTGTTTGAGCGTTCCAAGTCTTTGGTTTTGGAATTCAGAAGACACGTTAGGGAGTTAGAAGCAAGTGAGAGAAGAGGTTGAGCTTTTTGGGCGGTCCAAGTCGTTCATTCTCCATGGCATTCAGAAGACACGTTAGGGAGTTTTTCGGCGCCCTTTTAGTGGCTTGTCCGTCTTTCACTGCCACTGTGTTTGAGCGTTCCATGGCCTTTGTTTTGGAGAGATTTCAGAAGGAGAAGCAAGTGAGTAAAACAGATTGAGTTTTTGGAGCAGTCCAAATGTGTCATTCTCTGCAAGATTCAGAATAGGTGCATTACGCAGGCGCTGCAATGGATATGGAAAAACTGTTTCGGATTTACGGGAGTGTAACTCTCTATGCGATGCAAAATATGCAAAAAGAACGAGAAGCAGTTTCTAACGCATTGTAGTTGCATGCGTCTCCGCCCTTCACTGCCACGATGTTTGAGCTTTCCAAGGCTTTGGATTTATAAGAGGTTTCACTGCATTGTAATCACAAGGTTCAAACAGTTTTTTTCACGAAAATGTAGCAAGCCAAGCGGTTTCTTTAATGTACCAACTTTGTGTTCGGCAATTCCTGCCATTTGGTTGCTCATGTGCTGTTCTTATTTGGCCCGCACACTTGCAACTCTGCACCTGTTGCATGGAGGAAGCGACGGACAACCTGTCGGTCGTGTATGGAAAAACGCATCCCACAATGTTGCCGTGGCACGTCGATTTGCCGAGTTGCAACACGGTTTGTTACTTGAATGTGGCAATGGAGGCACTCATATGTAAATAGCGGTTTCTTAGGTGTTGCTGTTTTTTTTCGGCTATTGGCTCTCGGCGACATGTCATTATCTTTCATGTCAGTAGCTGCTGTTTGCGTTGCCGCCGCCGTGGTGGCATCTATCACAACAATGACAACAATGACAACAACTACAACTAGAACTACAACTACAACAACCACTACTATACTACCACCACCTATACTACCAACTACTACCACCACTACTACCACCACTACTACCACCGCCACTACCACCACCACTACCACCACCACTACTACCACCACCACCACCACTACTACTACTGCTATAGGATTTTGAAAACATGTTAGGCAGTTGTTTGACGCGATTTAGTGGTTTGACCGTCCTTCACTGCCATTGCGTTTGAGCGTTCCAAGTCCTTTGTTTGGGAAAAGACAGATATTGTGTTTGGGTGTGCCAAGTCCTTGGCTTTGGAATTCAGAAGACACGTTAGGTAGCTAGAAGCAACTCCACTTCAATGTCCGGGGTCGGCAGCAAGGGCGGCAGCCCTTAGATCCGGGCGCCGGCCACGGAGCCCGTGTCCTTGCCGGAGGCCTTCGGTAGTAACCGAAGGTTATAGGGGCTCCCCACCCTGCCGCCGACCCACCCCGAACTACCCCGGGACAACTCGCGAGGGACTGAGGGACCTGTAATTTACGGTGTATTTTCTTTGCGGTGTTAAAAGAACATTGTTTTTTACGGTGGTTCGGGCCCTTCGGCGGCAAGGGATTTCATCTTGGCCATGTTAAAAAACCTTTGTTTTTTACGTGGTTTTGGGCTCCAGGAGGGGGCCCGAGGCGGAAAAAATGGCATCTTAAGATCGTTTCAACATAGATGGCCCAAACATGGCCCCAACATAGCTCCCAAGAGGGCTCAACATGGGCCCAACCTGGGCCAATATAGGCCCAAGATGGGCCCAACATGGCTCAACATGGGTCCGACTTGGCCCAACATGGGCACAACCTGCGTTCAACATAGGCCCAGACTGCTTCCATACAGGCAAGCACTGCGCATTATGCCTGCCTCAGTTCTTCACATAGCCCTCCCTGGGTTTGCGCGGAGAATCTCGGCCCAATCTTCCCACACCATACGCCAAACGTCGTTGCTTGGCCGGCGCCCGGCTGTCAAGCGTAAGCCTTTGCATAAAATTGCTATATCCCCAATATTTTCCGGGAGGCCCGAGGCTGGAGCACCTGAAAGGTAACTTTTTAGTGGCCAACATATCCCCATGTATGTTGGCAAAATCCATATCTTGAAGCAATCTTGTTGGTGACATCCCTTAATGTGGTAAGCCATATGGGTTTGTCTGAAAATAGGGTATATTCCCAATTATAGCCATTTAATAGGGATAATGATCAGCAAAACCATTGGGTTTAGGGGTACACTATTTTCAGACACACCCATATGAAAAACCCAACAATAAACCATCCCCATTCCATCACCCTTTACCCTTTGCTCTCCTCCGCCGCCAGCTGTGCGACCACCCGGCCGGTGAGAAGTGGACTTTCGGCAGCGCTTTCCAGGTCTTGACCCCCGGCCACCTGGAGCAACAAGCATGTTTTTGTTGTTGTTTGGGAGAGAGTTGGTACATGATACAAATGGTTCAAATGGAAAACACTGGTCATGTTTTGGAGAATTTTTGGGCACGGAATGATTGACTTGGTGAAACTATGGAATTAGTTGTGTGCAATCTCAGATTGATTATCTCATGCTTGTTGTCAACATCCGCAAAATTATCTAGGAACATGAGGCTTTCCTAAAATAGAGCTACCCCAAATCATCCAAGTCATTAGGCCATTTAGTATTGAAACATATCGAAGCCCATGATTGAAGGACCACCATGTTTGGAAACCTCCATATTATAAACAAGCTATTCTTATATTGAGCTTGGCCACCTCTTCCAGCATCGCTGGGTCTTCTCGAATTTTCCTTTGCACCTGCCGCAGCCAACCACAGTCTGGCGGGGGCAAACCATCAAGTGCCCAATAAGACTCATGTTTTTGTTGAGCAGGCATTCCACGATTTTTGTGCTCCGAGTTTGCAATGTAGCGACACGCGCCCATAAGGTGAAGGGTATATAATATATCTCTTCAGCACACTGCCTCTACACAGGGCTGAAGCTGTCCAGAGTGAAACATACAGGCCAAAAACCCTGGCACTCCAGCGACCCCAAAACGCGCTGTCGCTTGGCCAAGAAAAGGTGGGTTTAAGCCTACAAATACTGCTGAATTCATGATCATTCATATTAATTCATCATTTACTACAATTCGACCGGTTGTCATGGCTGTCAATGGCCATCAATCAGCCCCAATTTCAAGATCTGGGTCTGAAAATGGTGTATACGCCCAAGTTGCCTCCAATGTTCATGGGAAAATTGATAGAAAATTACGAACAGTGGATGATTTTTGGGTACCCCCATTTTCAAACCCTTCTTAGAACATATCCAGAATCGCTGCCAGAAGTTCATCCTGTCGCCCGCGGCGTGACAGGAACCCCTTCATCAAGGTGTGTTTCCGCACGCGCAGCGGCTTCCGGGCACCTGTTTCAACACCTGAGCAGGGGCTGCCGGGAATATCCAACCGGTCAGAGGCGCGTTCCTGGTTGAAAATGGGGGGCTTGAATATGGGTTTGGTACTTGACAAATTAAGGATTTTGCCCCCATGAAACATGGGTCTATCCATAAATGGGGTACTGTGACGTGGCCAGAAATGTGTGCTATGTTTTTTTTATCATGCTTTAACCCATCCCCAATACGATTGGTTTACCACATCTTGGATTTACCATGCTAAACCAAAGTGGCCCTTTTTTTATGGGGGAATGATAGACCACTGGATCTTGGGGTACCCTACTCTTGAACAAACCCAGGAAGAAGATGTAGGAGACCTGTTAACAGCTGAAAATGTCAAGGTTCCCCCTATGATTTTGGAAAATTATGGATGTTTCTGATGTCTGCGGGCATTTTCCCAACATGTTGATGTGTTCCAATTTCCAAACGCATCCCAAAATAAAGGAATGGCAAAGCGATGCAAAAACGTGATGCAATCCGCCTTGAGCAATTCTCACCATCGACAATGCAGCGCGGTCGTTTACATAGTAGGCTGCCAGCTGCCTGCAGCAGCTGGGTGGGTACTGTTGGGTTTTGGTCATGTGCGAATATATGCAAGAAGCATCTTTTCAGAATCCTTCCCAATCTAAAAGAGGCCTCAACAAGCCAGCCAATTGCGCGTGTCAATATTGGCCACATCCATCAGTCCTGAGTTGCAGGCATCAAACATCACAGGAAGGAGAGCATCTGCTGAACTGGGCGCTGAAGAGGGATTGTGTGGCCAAAGCCAAGGCAAGATTTGAGGAAACAAAACTTAGGATGTTGAATGCGGAAAAATATCAGTTTGCACCGCCTGCACCATTCATGATTTCTTTTCTGTGTATCTGGAAATGCTGCCACACTTTGAGAAGCTGACAGAAGCTGAGGGCGTGTCGGCTCCGACAACTCCACAGACCCCGCATCCAGTCACAACTCATCAAGGAAGCTTCAGGAACCGATCCAACCTCCGGCCTGGAAGTTTCAATGATCCCCTCTGACTCTAACCCTCTACAGCACCCTCCGGCATACAAATGTATTATTTTCATTTATTTTCCACGTATGAAAAAAAAACATTTTTCATTGACGGGTGATTCTCCCACTACTTCCGTGGGATTTCCAATCAGACCAATGAGCAGGTTTGTCCTTAAAATGAGCAGGTAATTACCCGAAAATTGCCATTGAAATTGGAAAAATGCTGAGAACCCATATTTTTTTTTAAACACCCCATTTGAGACATACGAATATATTGATTCCCTGGATGTGTGCAACCCTCTCTGCCTAATATGTTAAGCCCCTCCCGGTCCCGGTATATGGTGCGTCTGATATGTCAAGCCGCCCAAATTTCTCTTGACAGAATTGATATCCATCCGAAAATTCCAAAAATAAATCATTAGCCAGTTGAATGATCTAGTGAATCTAGTTCTTCCATGTTTAGCCCCTATGGTTTCAGACATTTTGGGGCAACTCAGGGCCCTTTTGCGCCTCAAAGTCGTCTACTTCGTCCTTCCGCATCGGTGCGCCATCCACGGTTCCAAGCCTCCTCTGACTGCCGCAGCAGCTCTTCGAAGCGCCTGGAAACCGCCACGCGCACGGAAAGGTCGTCAGGGATGGCGACCTGGCGGAGTTGCGGACATGGCCAGCTATGGGCGAAAAAAAATAGCTATAGTCGGTATAGGGAACCCCCAAATAGATAGAAAAGGAATTTATCACTTCAATCGGATTTTTCTTTTCTATCTTTTTGGGGGCTACTATATGCTATTGGAGTACTGCATCCCTTATGGGAGCCTGTTTTTTGCCTCTCCCGCAGACCTGAGTTGAATGATGGATGCCCTCTGGCAATTTGACATAGCTATGAAGAATAGCCCCTTTATATGGTTTATTACATATCAAGAATATCCAAAAATTGTAGTTTTCCATGGCAAACGTTAAATGACCAAAGGGTAAATCCCGTTGAATCCCATATTTGCTTTGGTTGAATTAAAATGAATGAAAAATCCCATGAATATATCCATTAATCATCAGCTTTGTTGCTCAAAGAATCTAACATATGCTAAAATCACCATGTTTCTGTCCCCATTTGCACCTCAGCACACCTAAAATCGGCACCCGCTTTGGGACCTGAATGGCCTGGAGGAAGAGATTCCCGCGAGCCCGCTCCACCATCTGCAGTGGCGGCACATCAGCTGGCGTCGTCTCCTGGCGGCCAGGTTACTGTGGAAAAAAAAACTCATGTGCCTGGTGTCCGTCAGACCTTCAAAAATTTCTTGCTGTACTTGGAACAATGAAACCGGCAAACATGGCTTAAAATAGCTTAAAATATTTCGAATTATATTTGAAAAAAGATGAAAAAAGAACTGTTGATCATTAAGAAAAGATCATGAGGTTACAAAGCCGTTTGCCCATCTTGAGAAAACTGCTGCTCAACTTCCAACAGTGAACTGGTCCCCAGCCGCCTGCCAACGCGCAGAGGCTGCTCGGAAGAGGCCTCTGCAACTGAAGCGGAGCTCAACGGATTTCATGGTCCATGTCACCCTTTCAGGACACTTTGTTTGGGCAACGTCTCGGAACTCTTCGGAACTCTGTTCATCTGGGTATGGATCAATACCTATTAATACCATTTTGAGTGGGTTATTCACATCCATTTTAACCCAGCTTTTTTGATGTGAACTAAAAAGGGGTACTAGATGGTACTATTGGTTTTGACACACTGCCATCTCTTGGCCCAGCCCAGCCACCTTCATCTTCATTGACAATGGGCCTTCCAAGCACCTCCGCCAGGTGTCTTCGGAGCTGCCGGTAGCGACCCGTCTTGGGCCACAGCGCCAACATGCTCAGGTCACCGTGATGGGGGCAGCGCACCACCTACGAATTTCGAACCACCGAGGAAGGATCATCCTGGAAATTTGTCAATGGCCTATGTAAGGGAATATCCCCACAAAATATGGCCTTATATGGTACAGTACCTCCATTTTAGGATCCTGGAATTCCCAATTTGGGTGATTTGAAATGAATTGCCTCAATGATGTTAGACATATTAGACTCAGACATGTGGGAATTTGTTTGATGTTCTCTACTGATTTTCTGATATTGATGTTCCAGTGTTGGATTCTATCTACTCCGGGATGGATAGAGATAGAGATAGAGCTACGGATAGGTTTGAAATGGTTTGGAGGTTTGTCCTGAGAATCGTGGCCTCCTTTGAATTGTGGGTCCTCCTGAACCTTTCTTCAGATGTTTTGTCACGCTCGATGGATGTCATTTTGGAAGGACATGATGTTCGTGCCATATCAGGTCTGATGTGGCCCTCTCGGTCCTTCACATTCTCTTGAGATTTGCACATACCCCGGGCATATTCTGACATATTCTGACACATTCTGACCCTCTTTGGCTCCATCACCAGGCCCTTGTCATCCCCGGGCATCCATATATTTCTTGGCAAAACCTCCCCGTGGCGAACCTGCAGCACCTTGACGTCGGTGTGTGAGGCCTTTCCATCCAAGGGCTCCTCGATGGAAAACGTGTCACCCTCCTCCTTCACCCGACCACAAACAATGGCCCGATACTCCTGCGACGGTCCACATCTTCCGGATGGGGATCCAATGATAACGAATAGAAGATCGAATTATATGAATTATATATAATAATATATAGGATACTATAGGTAAATCCTATGCTACATCGGAAGTAACAAAAACAGGAGTACACAGGGTCATATGACATAATAATTATAGGACCAGCAAGATAGGAAGGGAAAATCAATGGGGGACTCGAATAAACTTGCATTAGGGTTGCATTGCTGCCAACCTGATGGGGGTATGAAAATGTGTTTCACAGCTAGGTGCAGTGATTTAGTCGGAGATCTGCAGATACTTTGTCAGGAAGTGGTTTCCAGAACAAAGAACCAGCAAGTTCAACTCATTTCAACCTTCCAAAATCGTAAAAAATACAGTATCATCTTCATATTCTGGCACCACCCACCCCATGGTCGCCGTCGCCACGGGCCGCCCACCTTCTCCACCCTCTGCTCCGCGAAGAGTCGCTTCAGCCGTCGCGCGGCCTCCAGGGATGTGGCCACCAGCAGGGGCCCAGCCACACGGAAGTCCAGGCGATGGCAAACTTTGGGGCCGTTGCAGGGCGTACCTGGACGGTGGGGGCGACCACCACTGGTGGACCAAAACATGACGTGCTACAGATACCACAGGAATTTCATGCTGTTGACCTGGTGTTGAGAGAAGAATTGTTGAAAAAATACGGCCACAAGTTGGAGGGAACAACAACTAGAACATGGAACAGCGCAGCCATTCTCCCGAGAGAACGGGCAGGTAAACATCTTCGTACTCGTCCCTTGTCGTGGTTGGCTGCTGGGGGTGTTCATAACCACCCGGCCTTCATCGGGAGGTGGAACCACCATGGGCAGGTAGTCTTGGAAGGTGAAGCGTTTCTTTTTGTGCGACTGCGTCCATGGCACGGAATCCAAACCAGCGGGTTTGTTCACCTGCAGTCATCCCAGTCATCCCTACTGGTTGAGAACAGGATTCCCATGATTTGTCAGGTCATAGTCATTCATAATCCCTAATAAACCAGGTATATTATGAACCTCCATACTTATATATAATCATCAACCAACTGAGGTTTTGTCGCTGCTTAATTGATGTGGTGCTTTCACTTTGGCAGTTTTGGGAGTCAGCCGAACACCGAGCCCGTACTCATGTATGATCCCCAAGGATAGCAGGTGGTCAGGGATGGGCACTGGGCTATTTATCGATTCCTAGCTTCACTTGGATACAGTAGTTTCATGTAATTCCCACAACCCAGCCACGCCAACTCTGGGATCCCACACCACGGCCAAACCCATCTTTGGATCGCTGTGAAGCAAGCGAATTTGCGCCTGACGGATCGCTGCACGAATCAAACAATGAAGCTGCGGCTGATCAGCTGATCGTCTCAGCCACTTTGAGCTGTCAAGGTGAGGTGAGGCTCGTACCGCTCCCATCCCCCGGCCTCCTCTCTTGTGCGGCGCAAGTCGTTCCAGTTGTGCAAGCGCTTCCTGAGAGCTTTCTGCTGTCATATTAAAGCGACAGTCAAACGACTGGGATCAGTTATATTCTCAAAGTTGGTATACCCCCAAAAGCACCAGTTTAGCGGGGAAAGTGATGATTAAGCAGTGGATTTCGGGTACCCCATTTTCAGCCAAACCCATCATCCAACATCATCAATTGTTCTGCTCTCGTTGTCAACATCAAGCATGCCACCATCCAACAAGACTCCATGGGAAAACCTAAGTCTGTCTGGGGAATTTGAGATAGACTCTATCTGCAAACAGCCAAGTACCCGGCAAAGCCAAGTCGTCCTTGACAACCCCTTGGGACCCTCCAACCGTCATTTATATCCCTATCCCAGTCCTTCTTCATACTTCTCGATCGTATTTGATGGTATTGCCTACTTACTGCCACATACTGCATTACATAAATTCGTTTTTGTTACTTTCACCCCTGATTTTTTCGGTCAAGATCCCCATTTCGTAGATTAGTAGCAGACCTTCCCCGATCACCACAGCCACACCGCAGCACCTCCGCCGAGTATCTCCAAGTCGTCGGCGATTCGGAGTGCATCTGCCCCCAGGTGCAAGGTCACGGCATCGCCTGAGGATGTCAAGGCATCCTAACGGGTGATGTTACGCAGGAATGGCTTGAACCAAGTCATTTAACCCTCTGGTAGTCAAACATGGCTGGAAAAAAAAAAACAACTAAAACTAAAGAGAGGTTTATTGTTGGGAAAAGCATCTACAAATGAGGGATTACAGTTGTTTATTGGATGTTCTTTACCAGTCAAGGCACTCAATGTTTGAATGATGCCTAGCCAAATGCCCGCAGGCAACTCGCAACTTATGTTGGCCGTGAGTCTTGGCACACCCAAGTACCCAAAGTCTACAAGTATTCACTGTCTATTCTTCTATATATGTATATACATGTTACATGTGCACATCTGCAAGCTGTGTGGAAAAAATGCATGATACACCTGTACATATATATATATTATTATTATTATTATTATTATTATTATTATTATTATTGTTATTATTATTATTGTTATTGTTATTGTTATTGTTATTATTATTGTTATTATTATTATTATATATTTTATTATATTAAATATATATATATTACACATATATCCCAATGATACTCCTCTTCATTGCCCCACCTGGCTGAGCTGCAGGGGCATCCGCGGCAGTGACCACGCAGCCGTTGACGTGAATCCGGCCCTGTCGAAGCGCTGTCCTGTCGATGGCTTTCCATGGCTTCGCTGCTGATGGTTCCCCTTCAAAAATCCAAGAATGGGCTCCGATCGTCATGTTCGAAGACTGAGTATTTCACCACCATCTAGCCACCATCTACCTACCATCTAACCACCAAAAAGTTGTGTTTAAAGTGTTTATCCCCTGAGAAATGGGCAAATTTAAAGATCCCAGTTCTATGGCACCAAGAAACGGCCACAAAGTTTGGCCCATATCCCATCTTTAGGCCCAGAAGTTTGGTAAACCTCAGAAAGCCAACCTACCCATAAATGGGTTCTTTTATTTCACTCCATGCCATCATATATCATCCCCATATCTCCATTTACACCACCATGAAGACACAACATTGTTGGTGGTTGAGCCATGCATCGCAAAAACAGACAATAAAGGGATCATTTGTGCAACAAGATGCAGATCTGTTGAAAGGCATGTAGTTGTCCAAAAATATCTACAAAAATGCATATTTTTCCAGTAATGGTCAATGTGGACAATGATGTTCCAAGCCATTGGACGTTGGGGGTTCCCACATCATGGAGGCCGCATGAGACAACGGGAGGCCTGGCTGCACTCTTCGTGGGCAGCTCATCAAAGACCATGACCAGCAGCTGCTGAAGGTAGACCTGCAGGACACCCGTGATCTCGATTTTGAACCCAAATCGTGATCCAAATCGTCTCTTTTCGAAGGTGTTTGGAGCCCAAAAACCACCTCCAAAAACAGTTTCAGAAGGTGTTTGGAGGCAGTAGGGATGGTGATTTTGCATGATTTTGCCACCAAAATGGAAGATGTTTGTCCCGACAGAAATGCTGCTACGAATAAAATCGTATATCGTCATCAAAATTCAGCCAACCCCCCCCCCGTCGGTGACCTGCCCAATGTTTAAGCTTATTAAAACCATCTATATACTAGGGGGTCACCTTGAAAAGGATGGTAAGTCCCCATGATTTTACCCATTTACATTTGGGGGATTTTGGGGGGGTTCTTAAAAGATGGGTATCGGGGTACCCCAAAATCATCCAAGTCATGGATGACCATGAATTAGTATCGAAACAACCATTGTGACTTGGGGTATCCCAATTTTAAGGAGACCTCCATGTGGGAAGTTCCCCACCTGCGTCTTCCTTCGAAACGTCTTCCTGGCCGCCTCCAGCTGCTCCGTCGTCACCACCGCACGCTGCACGCGGCCCGCGGCCCGCAGCGCGGCCCACTGCGCCGCGTAGCCGGTGGCACGGCGCGCCACGGGCGCGGGACGTGCTGGGGAGCTCCTGAAGGGCAAGGGATGCCGCTAAAACCCGCTAAAATGAGGAGATGGCTTCGTTTCAGAAAGGGAACCTGAACCAGGAGATCAACTCAGATCCACTAAGCTGATCTGCCAAAGTAAATTATCTGCAGACCTTGATCACCACACTTAGAAACGGATCAATGGGTGAACTTCCGAGGTCTAAGAAATGATTGATTTAAAAAATTATGTGTCTGAAATCTGGGGGACGCGGAATTGGAGGTTTTGCCATCCGCACTGGTTGTACTTTCTTGAAGACCCTTTAAAAACGCGTCAATCCGAGATCAAGATTCGTGAGACCTCTCAAGTAGAACGTTTTTTGGCCTACAGTACTGTACCAATTCTTGGCCTGCCACTACCATTCAACCTGCCGGAGTCAGTCCACCTGGCCTGGACCAACTCAAAGTGTGCTTCCAGGGCAAAAGCAGCATGGCTCTGAACGGTTTGATGTAAATTCATATCAGTCACAGCTGCCATCCTCCGATGGGAGGGACCCAGTGTTCCATCTGCCAGGCAAACACTCAGTTTCAATTACACTCAATTCGAAGACAAAAAAATGATGTATCCTCTGTAAACCTGCCATTTCCTTTTTGGAATGTTCGGTTTCAATCTCTTGAGATCTCTGCTCCTTGAGCCACAGGACCAATCAATGGGAATTTCAGGATCCTAAAATGGAGGTACTGTACCATATAAGGCCATATTTTGCTGGGATATTCCCTTACATAGGCCTTATATAGGCCTTATATATGGTAGGTACCTCCAATTTAGGTTCCTGAAATGGCCATTGAACCAACAAAACACGCCATGTGAGTTTTGAACCTCGCAACTGCTGGAGATACGATGCCAGGCCTCCTCTGTGAGCACGATGCCAGGCCAAAGCGACCTGAAAAAACACTCCATTTTTTTAGCGGGAAAATCACCAAAAATCTCTATTTGTTGGGGAAAAAAACAATTTTGATAGGTATATATGTTTATATGTGTTTATATCTATATACATATTCTATCTATATATATATATGATATAGTATGTTATAAGCCATCCCACCCACCCCATTCATATTCAACACACCCATAGTTGATGGTCCCAAATGTAAATCGCCTACTGTACATCCACCATGGTTTCTGGCATGTGTTTAATATGAACGGGGGAGGGGATTAGTGATTAGTGGGAAACCGTTGGTTTGTCAATCACCATCCAACGATATCCAAAGTTTACGAGTATACTCTTACCATACAAATACAAGAGTCCAAAGTTGGGAAGAGTTTCTCATTCCATGACTTGAGAAAACTGAACTATAGCTGGTAGGTCAATAAAGAAATCCCATCCTGGGTTGGGCCCAAGACCCATGATGGGCATAGTAGTGTGCTCCCCCGTAACCATCACCTTGCCATTCTGACTCATTGCACGAACAATCTCCATCAACCACTTGCTGGTTGAAGATCCACGTCGCAAAGATGGGGTGTTTCGCTGCGGACGTGATTATTAATCCACTCCACAGGTGAAACAACCTTATAACAGGAAGAAAAAACACACACCCTCCATCGTCTGCGGGACTGCTTCTGCCAAGAGACACGCAATCCACTCCAAGAGGACCAAGTTCCACTTGCAAGTCGCGAATTAGCCTTCCAAACAGCATGCTTGCACAGACAACATGCTTGCACAGCAACCTTTGGCTTGAAAAGCCAGCTTGCCTGCAAAAAGCAGCACGACCATCCAGCCCAACCTGGTAAACCCATCCCCAACTGGGGTGTATATCACGTTGTGTGTATACCATAGATATATATATATATATATGTGCATTATATCTACATGTATGTGTATATATATATGATTATATATGTGTATAGATATAGATATAGATATAGATATATATATATGTACATATCAAAAATCATCAAACTCATTTCATCATCCCCCACCTGTCCGTTGCTGCTTTGCCCACCCCGTAGGCGGTAGCAAAGAGATAGGTGACCTCAACAGCAGCCCGGCAGGTCCCAAAATTGCTATGAGAGAAGAAAGAAAGGAACCAAAGGATCAAAAAATCCTACTACTATTTTGTAGTTTGGATACGTAGTAATACTATTTGTTCCTACTACTAATATCTACTAATACTGTTACAATAAGTAGTAATACAAATACGATTCTCTTGATCATACAACTTGTCATAAAGTATTGCTATTTGTCAATAGTATGCCAAAAAATAGTGATATCATTGATTTTCTGTAGACCTTCCCTGCAGTCGTGTAACGTCTTTCCTGCCAAGTCACTCCACCAAACGAGGACACCGCACACAGCAATGGACGCCTCAGAAGCAAATTACATCATTGGTAAATTGTGTGGGTTTGGTAAGCTTGTACTATTGATCGTCCCAAGATTTGTCATTGTAACTAGTGGCAAAAGAAGTTTTTGTTAACCAAATTATACAGTTAGTATGATCCGATCCGTGTGTAGCACTTAGTATCTGTATATGTATGTATAATCCCGGAAATTTGGTTAAGACTTACTTCATATGGACGTGTTCCTCACTATTCAGGATGGTTCTTGAGTGAAATCGGACTTTTCCCATCCAGACACTGTGAAATCCACCCAGCCAAACAGCCCGCCTGGTTGGATTGGCTTCTCTGGCAGCCAGCAGCATAGGGGCTGCATAGTATGAAGCCACCTTTTGTATCGTCAGCTACAGTTGGAGCCAGAAGTATGACTGCTTCAATGGCATCCAAAAGAAGCGCTGGCAGCAAATTGACAGCTGGAAAATAGGGTGCCATTTTGAAAGCACAACTATTAAAATTGTTAAGTCACTAGATGGTCCCAGAAGATTCTGTCAATGTCATCATAGCCCTGTGCAGCTGGGGAGCGTAGTGGGACTTCAATCCCACCGTTTGCACATCATCCCAGACAGACAACGGCAGCTCGTAGAACTTGGCCCCTTTGGAGAGCTGTTGATCTACCTCCGTCTCAAAATCTTGGCAGAAACATCACCGGGGTTCCACTCTTCAGATTACATGATTACATACCGTTCAGATCCTTTCAGATACTCAATGGGAATTCAGGATCCTAAATTGGAGGTACCTACCATACGTAAGGCCTATGTAAGATCCTGAAATTCCCATTAAGATACTTGGGCAGCTGTCCCAAGAACTGGCTGCCCTCCAACATGGCAGACCCCAACAACCTGGTCCCCTCCGAGCACTGGCCTTTGGATCACTTGAGGCGGGACTCTTGAAGGCGTTGTTCACCTGGGAAATCCATGGCGTCGCAAGATATGGCTCTGTCTGAAAATATGGCCCCCATATGGCCCCCCATGTTTGGCGCTTCATCACGAGGTTACCTATTAAACTGGCATGAAATGGGGGTACTCTACAGCATTTTCAGAGTCATTGACAGGGAAGATGATAAACCATTGGCAGGGAAGATGATAAACCATTGGATTTGGGGGTACCCTATACCCATTCCTGAGATGCATGGCCCAACACCAACTCAGGCTGTCACACTTTAGCTGGTCCCTGTCAACTCTGATTGTCACTTGCTAAGGTTGGCGCCAAAATGTCGAGTTTCCCCCCGGTTTGCTTTCCGATCTCTTCAAATGCTCGGGCCACCTGCGTGTCATCACCTTGGCAATCCCCCACCGATCTCACAGGATTCCTCCGAGAATATCATCATTCACACATAGTCACACATAGTCACATCCTTTTTCCCCGAGGAGTTAGGTGCATCATCCAGAGATCAGTTCCAGCATCAAAGTCACAGGGCCCAGAGGCCCAGACTGTGATCGCAGAGGATGGGCACTCCTTGGCCTCCAGCTCGGGTCACCAGCTCGGCAGTGCTCTCCAGTCCAGTCCTCTGAAACAGCGCCAGGGGAGCTTGATGGATCAATCAATGGATTGATTTATGAAAAAATATAGAGGAAATCAGGAAATCATGGGTTTACACCCAATCATAGGGGGGGTTCCTGTAAGTCTTCACAGTTTCTGAGAAGAAATGGTTCTTCAAGTTGAAGATATGCATCAGAATTTGACAGACATGGCTAGTGATTATAAGCTTGGTTAAAATAGTATTGCCCTCCCTCCAACTAAGATAGACCCTGCTAGGAGTTGCGGCTTGGAAGATTCCACTTGCGACTGGTTCACGGCCTACGTTAGTTGGGGGATGATGGATGGTTCAAGTTCAGCATCAAAGAGTTTAGCAATTGCTGAAAAGAGGAAAACACTATGTACTGATGTGTATACGACATATTTGCAAAAATTCAATTCTATCACACGCAGTAGCAAGCCGAAAAAATGTCTGAAACAAAGGTTCTCTTTACTTTGTACTTCACAAACAAGCACCAAAAGAAGTTCCTGAACCCTGCCGGATACTCTACCAAGAGAACTGGTTTTCCATCATCCATTCATTTTATACATCCCTCCAACATTTGGTGGATATAATGTCAACCCCAGATTGACGAACCCTGGCTGATTTGCTACTAAAATGGTACCAAAACCCTGATTTTCACCTTGAACAGTTCAGCATATATTCATTTCAAGTGGCGGATGTGTGTACGTATAATTATACAATACATGTATGGATCAATATATATATATAGAGAGAGAGAGTGCGTGTAATATGTTATGTTTATTCATTACAATATTATCACAGTACATGTTGCAGCATAATTAACATCTACATCTACATCTATTATCATATATTTACAGGTGTATATATATATATACATAATATTTCATCATGCTTATATTATATATCTGGGAAATTACAATCTTTCATTAACCTGAAAGGCATTTTCTTTATGATTGTCCCTTACAAACAATGATTCCAAGTCTCTGTGAGGTCACTTTAATATACATACCCAGATTTATATTGATTTATCATATGTATACTGTATGAATATGTTTATTGATTGTATCATATACACCCTATAAATCCTCCCCACCACCCCCAGTGTCTCCTGTTTCTTCCCGTCACAAAGACCGTGGCCTTGGCTTCGCCTAGCCCCAAGGCCACCCCTTTGCCAATGCCACGGTTGGCGCCGGTGACCACGGCGAAACGGCCACGGAGGTCCGGGGCGACGGCGCCTGGTGATGTCTCTGGGGTTTGCGAAACCAGAGACGTGTTTCATGACACTCTGCAGGGATTCGGATGTCTGGTAGGATTGGTTTTCGGCTTTTTTTCTACACAAAGCCTGAAAAAATTGTAGAAAAACCCTATAGGAAAACTTTAAATTAACCCTCAAGAAACCCTAAAGAAGCCCTAAATGAACCCTAAAGAAACCCTGAACAAAGCGTGTGAAAGTGTATAGTGAAGTACCTGTGGGGCGTCGCGCACGTGCTGCGGGATAGGGTAGCTATTTACCAATATTTACCATGTATTGGTCAACTCCAAAGGTTTTTGATTCTTTTGGGATGGTCATCAAATGTTATGAAAAATTCCCCCGAGTCAAGGATGGTTTCTTGATGATTTTAGTGGAAGTTGGGGGGTTCCTTCCAAAGTTTTGTTGGGGTGCTGCCAACAAGGCGTTCCACATGGTGTTGGGTCACGTCCTGTTGAGTTTTGAGATAAAGGGGAGATGCACCAGGTGAAATGTGCAAAAAGTTGAGGTGGTTAAGTGGGCTGGAAGTTTTCCAGATTCCGGATTGTTGATGGTTGATGATCCACCTTCCTCCAGCAAATCGATGGCTCCAACGTCGCGCACATGGTCCCAAGATGTCCCAAGCCCAGCCTGCAGCCCAGCAAACTTCTGAAGCCATGGATGGGAGGGTTGCCTCAGATTTTATGATGTCCGTGGGTGTCTCTTCTGCGTCCGAACCCAGCAAGCGGAACATTCTGGGTTCGACTGTCAGCCACCCAAAAGAATTGTCGCCCGGCCCGAACCTCCGTCTTTCCCTCGCCAGATTCTGGCTATGGCTCAAACTGTCTTTCAAATGGGATGATCGAAATATTATATTGGCGATATAGCCGATATAGCCGTGTGATTGTAATGAAATCTCAAATGAGTTCTTTAAACTCAAAAAGAAACTGTTCTTTCTTTAAACCCCCACTTCTTGTAACTTAGATCCCTATTGTTGCACTCATCCAATCCCAATTGCTATTGTTCAATTCCCCATTTTTGCTGATTAAACTCACATCCCCAAAGCCCCAGGTACAGCCCGTAGCAGCTGCGCCCGCGACGTGTCCCGCGCTTGCCGCGCGGTGGCACGGTGGTTTCGGCGTGCACCGCGGCGCGCCCGTGGCAGCGCTGCGACTGGGCGCACTGCTGGTGGTGTCCCAAGCTTGGGCCCAAGATTTGATGAAAAAATGTTGGGAATGTCCCCAAGTCAGGCTTTGGGAATTGAATTGATGATTTAGAGGGTGACTTTTTGAGGTTCAAACGATGTATGGACGTACAAGACATCTCAGACAAGGCGTCCTGGTGGGGGTTCGGTGAGTGCCTCCACCGAACCCAGTTCCACCAGATGGCCTGGCAGAAGACATGCCACCACATCAGGGCCACAGCAGCGACTGCGCCACACCTGCGACAGTGGTCAAACCATGACTTTGATCAGCGAATATGGGTGCGTCATGAAAATTGGGCCCTAGATCTACCCTCTGGTCAACTAACATAACGATGGAAAAACACCATTCTCAATGGGTAAGTCAACTAACCTAGCTGCCTAGCTATGGAAAAACACCATTTATTATAGGTAAATCAACTATAAATGGCAGAAATAGCAGAAATACATATATAGGTAATTGACATCAATGCCATTGGTTATCCATGGTTTACCATCAATTTATTATAGGTAATTCAATAGGTAAACCATGGAAATACCCCTGGTCGCCTCCCGCAGGCCCGTCTGGCACGTCTGGCGGCCAGGCGCCTGCCATCCAAGCGACCAGCCCCACAGATGTGTATGTTGTATGTCTATTCGTGTAGATACTACTTTTGTACTACAAATATACTACATATGTACTATATGTCTACTACGTATATATATATATCCTACATATTTGTACATATATACATATATTTATCCTAACATGTGTACTACCTATACCAGTCATCTGGCACTCAGATCATATGCTGCCCATGCCCCTCCCATGCCCCTCCGGCTTCACCTGGGATTTCGGGGCTCGCAGGATGGGCGACAGATCCACGGTAGCCATGGCTGGGTGGAAGTTTTGCCATATGGGCATCATATGGGTCCGAGTAGGGTACTCAAGTTGGGCTAGGACTGTATAAATGCATATAAATGCCCAAAAAAAGGTGGCTTTGGTTGGCAGTCTTGATGAGCCGAAGACCAAATTATGGGAAATTCACCACTTGTCTTTCTATCTTGCAATCTCGGGGCAAACTTGTTGACAGAAGCCGTCGCATGGCTGAATCTTCTAGACCTCGATCCCTGGTCTATTCACCTGTTTCAGCCAAAGGTGGACTTCGGATAGGAGTAAAATGCAATCTCCGCAGATTCAGCTCTGGGTCCTCTACGTTCACAGAATCTTCACATCTGTTGGAAAATTTGGTTCTGAATCCAAGCTGAAGAGGCTTGGAATGTTGACCAGACCTCAAAATTCGCTGCTGGAATGAGGATCACTTCCTGAGTCCACAGGCCAGCCGGGGCACAAAGCCACCGGCCTCCTCCACCTGTTCGCTCCAGGACTTGGCTTACGAGGTTTTGCTGTAGCTCCAAAATAACAGTGATATCTAAATCCCAGGTACGATTTACCGTCGATTTTTTCAATATCACATGTTTGTTGCTACTTTGGATGCTGGCCATTTTCCCATCAAATTGGGAGCCCCTGGTGGATGTGAAAAGGATCCTTTAACTCTGCAGTGTGTCAAAACCTTGTACCCCTGGTGAACATCAAAATAGCTGGTAAATGGATGTTCATCCCACTAAAAATGGTATTAATAGGTATTGACCCATACCCAACTCTGCATTTGCAGGGGTCCTCGGGTCCTCAGTAGATTCCTCCTGGCCTTGGGCTTCTCGTTCCGCCGCTCCTCGTTCCCGCCGCTGTCCCGCCGATCATCTCTCCTGGCAGAATTGCACCTGGAAAACCAGGCTTTGATGCGCATCACAAGTTGGTATTATGTGGTCAAAATCCAGGTAGATTTATACTCTATGTGTATATATATATATATATGTATGTATATACATACATATCATACATACGTACAAATACAGACCTCATATCATCTTTATACACATATATGTTCATGTATATTATATATATATACTGTATATATAGATAGATATTATGATTATATAAAAATATACACATCATTATATATATATCTATATAATTGTTGTTTGATGTTTTTAAGGTTTGGTTCCGTTATCAACCAACTGGGACCGACATTCCAATGAGCTTGAACCAGAAAGGTCTTTTCTCAGGGGCTGCTATGAGAATCGTCTGGGCATGGCTGTCTCATCATTGTGGTTACTGTAGAAATTTAACCCACCATGAGTCCATGAGTTCATACCTAGAAACACAACCAAAAAAACATGGGGAAACCCGGTGGAGATGTATGGTGTCATTCCTTCTATGTATTGTCGCGACATATGTAAAGGGCTGCGCAAATTGTTGGACGGTTTTGTCAGCTGATAAAAAGCTAGCTGGGTTTTTTTTACGGCATTCCTGGCAACGGATTTCCCTAGTCTAGATTACTCGATTATCCGTTCCTGTGAATGCAAGCGATGTCCATTCCTGTCACAACCACCACCAAAATCATAAACATAGACACGGAGGGGTACAAAGGGCACAGATATAGACTAGAAAAATTGGCTCGTCATCGTCATAATCATCGTCGTCTTTGTGGTTGTCGTCAGGATCGTCATCATAATATGTTTCTTTTCTTCATCGTTTTCATCTTCATCATCATAATCATCGTCGTCGTCGTCGTCGTCGTCATCATCATCATCATCATCACGATCATCCTCATCCTCATCCTCATCGCCACCGCCATCGCTATCATAATTATCATCATTACCATCACCATCACTACCACGATAATCAGTCGTTCTATCAATATATATATATATACAATGTGGGGCCCCCTAGTTATAAGTTAAGTTATAACATGGGGTAACTCAAGTTATAAGTGGGGGCAACATAAGTTATAACAATGTTAACTTATGTATAAAGTTGGCCAAGATATAACTTGAGATAGCAGGTTGAAGCAAACACGAGTTAGACAAGTTAGACAAGTTAGCCTTTTGTTGTTGCAAAATGGACGCATCTACTTTGAAAAACAGAATATCCGTTGGTTTTCATGGCTCAAACCGGCTTCTTGTAGGAGGTGGCCATGGCGCAGGTTGAAAGCCAGCAATTGCGCAGGGCGAGCATGCAGGACTATAGGAGTTTTCCCTTATATCTGTCACAAGAAATTTGGGATGCTCTTGCTGATCGGAAGATGTCTCAAGTGAGTCGGGTTGATCGCTTGGTTCGGCACTTAGTGAACAACCTTGGAATGCGTCATCCGACGGAACCATCGATGGCTGTCATTGCCTCGCTGGTGGGACAGCAGGACAATTTGACAATTCCACAGCTGCTGACGTTGCTACAAACGGTCAAGAGTGTCTTGAAGACAACAGTGACACGGGCTGGACACTCTGGCATTCCATTGCCAGCAGGTCGCTATTTGGAGTTGTTGCCCAACCAGGTGGCAGAGTTGCCGAGCGATGTGGCAGAGGCGATGGCCCCTGGCGGATTCGCTGCTCCTCCCATGTCTGTGGATTTGAATGTGGTCTGGCAAACTGCCCGCACCATTCCTTTGCGGAACACACATCGCGAGGTGCAGTTGCAGAGGCAGTTGGGGAATCAGCAGAACACGCTGGCCCTGCAGGGCTTTCCGGATCCTCGCCTGGCAGGTTTGCAAATGGCACAGACGGTTGCAATTTTTGCCGTTGCCATGGGTGGGCAGACGGCAGTCAGGCAGCCTGATGCGCTATTGCCGAATCTGCAAATTTTTGGAGACGCGGAAGTGAAAGCTGCGGCCGCGCCTGAGGGCACGGGATCTGCTGGCGACAAGCCTGCATCAGCGCTGGTGAGAGCCGCTGCTCAGAAAGCTGTGCCACCGCAGAAGGCGGAAGGCAAAGCTCCTGGAAAGGCAGCTGCGGCTGCAGATGCCGCAGGGCACCACAAGGAACTGATGGTAGCGCTGCTCAAGACAGCCATGGAAACGGCTGGCAAGTCTTTCCAGTAGAAAGTTGCATGGACCTTTCTGTACAGACCATAGAAACTGAACCCGCGACGGAAAAAAGGGACTTTCTGGGAAACGCAGGTGTGTTTCCAGGAAAAATTCTAAAAAACATCGGAAACGCGATAGTGTTTCCCACTTTACTTGCCAGCAAGCTTGGGAGCGCGCTTGTGTTTCCTATTAGTAATAAAAAAGAAGGCTGGAAACGCGTATGTGTCAAAAATGTGTTTCCTTGAGATAACTCTGAGTCTAAGTTCGGGGATGTGTTTCCAGCATAGAAGGGAAACGCAAATGTGTTTTCAACTGAAACCATATGTTTGACCGGGGCACGCGTATGTGTTTCCGACCTATAAAAGAAGTGTCGTGGAAACGCGAATGAGTCAAAAATGAGTTTCTTTGTGTTTCCTACATGACCACTTTACCGCAGCTTTTTTTCAGGAATCGCAAGGGAGCGTCGCAATTGTCCATTGCTGTTCTGTTGGCTTACAATGACAGAGGTGCCAACGGTAGAGATTCCGGATCCGACGCAGGATGCCGTGGAAGTGCCTGCATCGCAGCCGGATGGCGCAGAGGCAGCCGCTGAGGCGCCTCCGCCTGAGGGCGCTATGGCGACGGACGTGCCTACGGTCGAAGACAAGGTGATCTGTCGACGCTGTACCTCGTCTGTGCAGAGGGATGAAGCCATCTGCACCCCCAAGTTTCGAGAAGACCTGCGTTGGACGTGCAAGAGTTGTCACGCTGTGAAAGGACAGCTCGCTCGTCATGGCATTGAGCTTTCCTCGTGCCTCACTGAAGATGATGTGGTGGCCTTTTACCAAGATTCTCGGGCGGAGCGCATGAACAGTGTGGACAAGAGGCTGTCCTTCTCGCAGGCCAGAGGCGTGCTGAAGAAGAACATGATTCACTCGTCATCCCGGGTTGACCGGGAAGGTGAGTGTGGTGAGTACCATCCTCTCGCTTATTGGGAGCTGAGAGGATACAATGTTGCCAGGATAGAAGAATTGGCCGACAGGCGAACCCATCCCATTCTGGGAGACTAAACGGCAAAAAGGTGGAGATTAAAGAAAACGATTGCCTTCTCTTCGGCAAAAACCTGCAAGAAGCCTGTTCACTTTTTCTTGCACAAAGGCAGCCGCTTGTATGTGTACATCACAAAGCTGGCGCCGATTCGCCATGGGGATTCGTACAGAATCTTCCGGCGAAGCAACGATAAGGAAATAGTGGACCACCGGTCCTTGGCGAACTTCCATGTGCCGGCCTGGACCAACATTAAAAGTGATACGGTCATGTGCCTTCCGTGATAAATCACCACCTGGCAGCGTCAAAAAAGCGCGGCGGACACAGGGTTCTCCAAAACAACCGTGAAACGACGAAAATCTCATAATCATGACCAAAAAACCATCCAAAAAAGTTAGCAAAGATATAACTTAAGTTATAAATAGTGCTAAGATAAGTTAACATAACTTCAAGTTAACTTCTCTAACTCGATTTATATGTATTTTAACTTCAAGTTAACTTGGGGGCCCCACATTGTATGTATATATATATACTATTGTTTAATAAATGATGAAGATGATGATTGCCAACCCCTGCCAACGTAAAAACGTCTCCTGTCATCTCTCCGATCTCTTCGGTCATCGTAGCCACGATCATCTCTCCGATCCCGCGCGTATCGGTCGTCGCGGCGGTCGTTGAACCGGTCGTCCCGGTCATAATGGTCATAGGACCTGGTGGCGGTACGTGGTTGAGGCACCCCCCCATGGAACTAAGTGAAAGTCATCACTGGATTGGTTTAATGAGTTTAATGGAATTCTTGCAGGGGATCATGGTTTTTCCCATGTTTTTCCCTGCTTGTTTTTCAAAGCGTCCTGTATTTGTTCCGTTCAAGGAGGGGGGCCAAACAAGGCCAACAAACAGCCAAAGTGGTAGTTCAAGGGACTAAAAGCCTGGCCTTGATTTACATTATATGGATGCAACCAGCCAGAGAAACTGGAGGAAATATGAAATCACCACCCGGCAATCGACTGTTGGGTTTCAAAAAGCAGAAATGCGACAGTTGAGGGGATATCTTGTCCGTATCCATTCATTTTCGGACTACAATACAACAGGAAAGTTCCTGCACTGCTGTCTGGCAAGAAATCACCCATTGGGAAAACCTCCATGTGTTCATCCAGTTCCTCTTGAAAATTGGAATGGGTCCATTACCAGGTGAAATTATCCGAATGGTGGTCTGCAATTCATAGATATGATTGGTAAATATGCACTGGGTTCATAGAAGACTATTGGTATATCCAATGTTATCATTATCGTTGTCATTATCATTATTGTCATGTTTATCAGGATTATCATGATTATCATTATTATCATGATTATCATTATGTTCATTATCATCGGTGTTATAATTATTGTCATTACAGTGTATACATATATATATGTATGATTGCTATCATATCATGTTTATCACTCTAATCATATCAGTATAAATATCATTGGTTGCACATCATATCTAATAATCTATGTATATACATATCATTGCACACATATGTATATATATATATATCATTATATGTGTATATATGATTATGTGTATATATATATATATGTTTCTCCATGAAAAAATCACGAAGCGCTTGGCTTTCCGGGCCGTTCTTCGCTTCGATCCTTGCCCCTTTTCCAGGAGCTCTCAGCGCCTGGGCAGATGGTAGGTGAACTCAACTTGCAAGGTGGGTTGGTTCATAAACCCATCAACTGGAGCTATAATCCCCATTAAGCCTAGTTGATTAATGTTAAACAATCAAGTTATAAGTTAAGATGTTCGGAAAAAAATACCGCCTTGCGGTAAGAAGTTGATTATGTTTTAATGTTTTGACCACATGGATACATGTGAAATTCACCCCTCAAAAATATCTGTTCAAAGTTGATTTAGCCCGTTTACTGTAATTTCATCCCAAAAAATAGCAATTTTGAATCATGTTCATCAGGGATTTAACCAACCTTAAAATTGTAAAATTCATTGGAACACCAACTGGGCCAACTGATGTTTGGACCATACCCATTTTTCTCTCATTTGTAGGTGATGCTCCTACAGAGAAAATGCTGATTCTCCAACCACATGATTGGGGATGATCGGAAAATCAATACAGCAAGGTTAACAAAAAAAACACAGGTGACTGTCCCTATCCAATTGTAATATACCACATTAGGTAAAAATAAATACCAATGTAGTTACTAATTTACTCATTACTTTGGACATTCAATGCCAATTAGTTCACATTAAATACCAATGTAGTTGACATTATCATTAAAATGGGTGTGTCTGGAAATGGGGTATAATTCAGTATAATTCCCTCTGATTGCCATTTACTAGGGAAACTGCTAAGTAACCAGTGGATTTTGGAATATCCTATTTTCAAACCAAACTCACAATAAGCCGTTAAACATACCTCTATCCCATTTCATTATACCAGTTGGTTTATCGGTTTCCCAACTAAATGGGTTCATATCATCTCCAAGCCCGGTAGTAGAACTCCCAATGGCTCAATTGGAGGTGTCCCAGTCGTCATGGCATCATGCCGCCCAAAGAACGTGGATCATCTTCATAGCCGCCCTGACGCTGCTTCGCCTGGCACAAGATGCCACTTTTTTTATGGTCACAACAAGTCACACCCATGATTCACCATGGCTTTCACCCTGATTAACCATTATTATAACCAGAATGGGTGTCACAAATAGTCCTTTTTTTTGGTGGAAAAAATAGTGACTGTCCAAACTTTCCAAACCATCAGACTTCCACCGGATTCCACCGGGCCTTGAGACGTTCGAACTTGCTTTCGAAGTGACTCTCGAAGGCCTCTTGTTTGTAGCCGCGTCTTTGGATGGTCGTCGGCCGCATGATGGTGACTCCGTCCTGGCCAAAGCATAGCAATTCTTGGTGTCACACCCCGTGCGACATCTTTGATCAGCTCTGCAGGCTCTGCAGGCTCTGCAGGTTGCACGATACTCGCAATTTCATGATGAATAGACGTATTCTTCATGATATCCAGCGCAGTGTTTGGACGTAATCATTGGTCAAAATATGCTGGTTATTCCTGGTTATTCAGTTATTCAATGTTGTTCAGAAGTTACTCACTAACCATACCATTTTCCAAAAAGTGCATAGATTCAACCTTTCACAAACGATGCGCAAATGTGATTGCTGCATTTTGGCCATTTCCTCAGCCAGATTTGTCGCCGAAGCCTGGAATAGTGCAACCACCTGGTTCAGGCGAATTGCCTCTGGGCTTTGCTTGACATGGCCTCACTCATCCGCACTGAATAGGGAAGTAACTAATGTAAACCAATTTCATAAGCCACCCATTTGGGAATGATGTAACCTATAAAAATGGTGATTTAGAGGATGATTATTGGTTTACCCACATTGGGCTGACAAACACGGCTTCCTGTGCAAATTCCGGTCTCAGGCCATGTCTCAAAATTGATGCATCTCAGACTGGAGGACTCTTGGCTAGAACTACAAGCGCAAATTACCAGTATGAAGAAATAAGAACATAAAGCAATATAGATCAGTGTTGAAGGTACTCGAAATAGATGCCTCCATCTGTCCAACTGATGCTTCCGAGCCATTCAAATTGGTCAGGGTGACGACAATCACCTGCTTCAGGCGAATTGCACACCTCTTCTGTGCTTTGCTTGACATGGCCTCGCTCAGGTTTCTCTACAAGTTTGGGCTAGTGCGGGGCCATCTCAAAACTGATGCCTTCATCTGCCGATGCTTCACCCAATATGCCTGTCAATTTCTTCCAGCTTTTCCAAAGTGGCCAAAGTTTTCCCGAAATTGGATCTTTCCAAGACCTCGTGCTGTTGCTGAGCGCGGGCCCTCTCAGCAGCAGCCCCTTCATAATTTCCGGCCCGTTCCTTCTGACTGGCAAGATGTTCATGGTATAGTCCATGCACCAATGCCCTGGTACCAGAGCTGCTTTGGTACCCGCCGCGCCAGATCGTGTTGTCCAGCACGTCGCTGATGCGACGGTGGCCCTCATGGTTGGACACACCACGCTCATGAACCACGGAGTTTCCCATGCTGTGGCGGGAGATCTCTGACGACTTGGAAGAGCTGAAAGCCAAAAATGCTGCACAGAGAGGCATGGTAATAGGTGCAACCCATCATCAACTATCTCCTCGTCAGCATGAGAATGCATCACGGTCATGATCACCATGGATTTCGCTGAAAATAGGCTACTCCTTAATTCTCTGGTAAATCATCATCGGTTTCCCCATTAAAGCACCATTCTATAACGGCATACCTACGTATAATATATAATTATCAGACTCCTACAGCTTCCAACCCATGTCCAACTGTTGGTGATACTAGACATGACTACAACCAGCCAGTCTTTTAGACGAATTTTTATCATAGTATCTAGTAATGGTAATAGTCAAGTTGATTATAACTTATGTGTGTTTTATTGTACAGTATATATAATCCACTTTGGTACCAGCTCTGGGCGAAAAAAATCACCGGCCCCTCCTTTGTCTCCACGGAGACCCAGCCCTCCACAGGGGAAATGATGCGAACCCTTCGACCTCGGGGAATGGAAGAATCATCCACCTCTCCAGCCATGTTAGAGATGGGAAGAGCTTCCCCAGAACTTGGGCTAAAATCAACAACAAAAAAAAAGGGACAAAATGTCGGACAAATCAAGAAAAATAGCGGAGTTTCAAGGGGGCCAACAAAACGTGGTGACTTTAAGTGACAAAACGGCAAACTTGTTTACCTTAAAACAATCTGGGATTTATGTTGGAATTGATGTTTTAACCTCTTGCAAATTGCCATGTTGGGAGGTCCATGTTACGTCAAAATCCACTGGTCCCAGAGAGTCCAAGGGTGTTTGCGACCGCCCATGATTTTTCTGGATCTCCCCATTTTTTTCGGATGAAATCCCCCCTATTTTGCCATACCCCCAAACGTCCTGCCAAGTGGCCAGCTTGCTCCACTACCGTGGCGATTTCGCCTTCGGAGAGTTGATGCACCTGGCAGTGTTTTTTGCGGTTCCTGCAATTTTTGTGCCATCAACCAAGTCTGGCAACTAAATCTTGAATTCCTGTTCAAACAAAGTGGAGCTGGAAACATTTGATCATCACATGATTGTCATGGAACCGAAGAACGAGTCGAGAATTCGAGGCGGCTCCCCCAGCAAGATGCCTGAGAGCTGATTCTCATCCCAAAAAGAATATATGTGGCAGGCAGCGCAACTCCAACCCCCATTCAAATGACTCTCCATTTGTTAATGGTTTCTTAAGTCCCCAAATCATCCATTTTAAACCATCCCTAAAATAGGATGTTCTTTCTTATATAAACCATCCAGCTCAAACCCCCGGCCCAAGTCCTGTGCCGAGGTGGTCTCATAGCCGCTGCGCACCAAAGCACCACCTCGATGGACCACCTAACATCTGGGCCAGAAATCATGGGAAGTGCGAAGTCATGGGAAAGTCATGGGAATTTTCCAGGATTTTGGTCATGGTAAATGATAGAGTATGATAGTAATTCACACCCTGAAATAGGTCAAAAATTTGGGATGATCCCCCAGCTACGAGGCATGGTGCGGCAGCCAAGTCGCTACGATCTACCTCGAATGTAGTACGGTCATGTCATCATGTCCTTTTCTTGGCAAAAAGGTTACGCGGGCTGGCGACTGGTATACCATTTATATCCATTTATCATCTTTTTATGCCTCAGAGATATGGCAATAGGCGAACAGCTCAAGTGGGAGAGCTATCCAAAGTTATGGCAATTTCAAGATGTCAAAAATCTGATGCCTGAAACCATCGGATGGAATGGGAGTCCAAAATTTGAGACAACCCCAAATGGAATACCCAAGAAAACTTGGCGTGTTTCCAAAGATCGGCGAATTGGCTCCAAACACCTTGACCCATGTCCAAAATTAGGCATGCCTGAAGTCAAAGGTTTGTGACACTGCGACCCATGACCAACAAGCTGATTCATTCCAAAAAATGCTGGCCAATCGTCCAAGGTGACATTTCATTGGAACCTATGGTTTTTATCCTCGGCCAAGTCTTCAAATCCCCAGATTTCATTGCAAAAATTCACGGTATCTTAGAATCAAAGCTGGTTTGCTGGAGAATCCCCAGGATTCTTTGTAAGAAGCATCTAGATCTAGACATTTTTCTGGACGTTCCAGCCCCGAAGTGAAATCCATCAGAATTTCTCAGGTTGATAATCATTTGTTCCATCAGAAAATGTCAACGGTTTCCAACCCCATCGGAGAAAAAAATGTGTTTCCACATCAGAATTTCTTTTCCAAGCGTTTCTTCAGTCCATTCTCAATATCATCCATACTTCATTATTTCCATATTTTACAAACCATTCACCAGAACTCTCCACAAAAATCGCCATAATTTGGCCATGTTTTCCCCATGTTTTCCCTGGCCTTGAAGGTGATGGGCGCGTCTTCAGACGGCTTTGTTTTTCCCAGGTTTTGCACCGTGTGGTCCACCTGACAAAGGCGACGAAAGAGGCCATGGAAGGGATGTGGGTATCATATGGGGGCCTGTATAGATATATGTACTTATATGCATGTATATAATGTGTGTATATATATATATATATGTGGTCCCGTGTTCCGTGTTCCCACCCCCCCCCCATGGGATGGGGGGGGGGTATGATGCCCCTGTGGTGGTGTATATACATACATACATACATACATACATACATACCTACATACCTACCTACCTACCTACATACCTACGTACATACATACATACATACATACCATTACATTACCTTACCTTACATTACCTTACCTTACCTTACATTACCTTACCTCATACATCATACATACATACATACATACATACATACATACATACATACATACATACATACATACATACATACATACATACATACATACATACATACATACATACATACATACATACATACATACATACATACATACATACATACGTACATACATACATACATACATACATACATACATACATACATACATACATACATACATACATACATACATACATACATACATACATACATACATACATACATACATACATACATACATACATACATACATACATACATACATACATACATACATTACATACATACATACATACCATTACAACATACATACATACATACATACATACATACATACATACATACATACATACATACATACATACATACATACATACATACATACATACATACATACATACATACATACATACATACATACATACATACATACATACATACATACATACATACATACCAACATACCAACATACCAACATACCCAACATACCACCACCACAGGCCACAGGGGGAGGGGGACCAGAAGAACCATACCACCACCACAGGCCACAGGGCGGGGGGGGGACCAGAAGAACCATACCACCACCACAGGCCACAGGGGGGGGCCAGAAGAACCAGACGATACTGTCCACCCATACCCATTGGTGGGGGGGGGGAGGGGGGGTGGCCAACGCTGCACCATATATATATGCTTTTTGCATTGCATTGTATAGAGGTGTGCATATAGATAAGACATGATAAGACGTGGGTATGATATGTGATATGGGTATGATTTAGGATTCACGTTTGTATGTGTGGGATATATGAGAACTGACCATCCCCTTGAGATGGATATATGGGTATGCATCAGAACTGTGCTGCCCCTGGTTTTCTAATGGACTGGATTGGGATGTGAATAAGTACCCAATTGAAGCAGGTTGTTTCATCTCACCCATATCTACACATCCAATTTTCAAAAACAACTGTATTCACTTCAAATAACCTAGCAGAGTAGTGGTTGACCTCAAGAAAAAGGTTGGGTGATCATGTTCCTTTGCGTAGACCCAAGTATTGACCATCACGTGCAGCTCCCTCAGCCCGCTGACCTTGCTGATGAGGTCGCTCGCGATGTTGGTCAACTTATCTTTCAGGACAGCACCTGAAAATCGCAGGATTTAAGGCACCGGTCGCAGCTTTTCTCGGCATGTTTGGTGGTTCAAAGCTTGGGTATACCTCATAAAAAGAACATAGTACCCTCTAGTAACTTAACATGGCTATGAAAAATCATCAGTGTTAAAATGTAAATCATCAAACTACAGTATATGGGCCATGGGAGTTCGCAACCTATTAAATTACCGGAGGGTAATTACTAACGAGACTGGCTGCCCGACCAGTTGTGAGATTCTCCATGCCGCCTGGTCGACTTCACTGGTGGGAAGCGATTTCCGGAAAAAAAAACTGGAGGATGACCTCTGTATATATTATGATGTATATATATATGTATATATATAGCATAATATGTAACGTATTATATAAATCACATTTTCATATGTATATATATATATATCAAGATTCAAGATTCAAGATTCTAGGAGAAACTTTTTGAATCAGAATCATCCTTTCAGACTTCCCTCATCCAGACCCAAGGCTTGGGATTCAAAAAGTTTCCCTCAGAATCTTGAATCTTGAATCTTGAATCCAGAAAACTTTGCAAAGTTTGCAAAGTTTTCTGTATCCAAGCTTTGAGAATTGTGGTATTTTTATTTATATATATATATTAAAATGTGTACATGTCTGCATGGGCACTGGGGAATTAAATGAATCAAAGCATATAAACAAACCAGTTCCAGGGGGCACGGTTATTCCCCAGTACCCATATATATATATATATACACATAAAGAATCATAAAGATATATACATATATATATATATTCAGATTCATAGATAACTGGTTACATTCCATACAAGTGGGTTCTCACCAGGCACCTGTGAGGCGGGTCCACCAACTTGCGCTTGAGCCAAAGCTGTGAAGCACCAGGAATTGATCAAACCTGACAGCAGCAGTAAAATATGTGCAAATATCATACCAGTAGGCCAAGTACCAGGTAAGTACCAGATGTTCCATTGCGAAATGGATTACCAAAAGGATAACTCTGCCCCAAAAACACCCCGAACACATCCTAACACATTCAAAGTTTCATGTCAGGAATCAGAAAATCACCGGCCCAAAACGAAAAGCGATTGCATCATTTTGATGGGATCGCAAGGATCGTGGCTACAGTGAATATCTGTCCCACCGGACGTCTCTGAACTGCTCAAATTGGGCCCAGATGTTTTTGGGTGATTCTTGCGGCTAAATGTAGCAGATTTTGTTCAAAAGAAGTGTCATCGAGTGATGGTCAGTACAGTAGTTCCACTTGGAGACGTTCCGGCGGGTCAAGAAAGGTTCGAATTGATTTTCGACATTATTCTGCAGGGAGTCGACAAATCTTTCATTCACCGCTTCGAAATAAGCACATCTGTCAGAACTGATATCATCTGTTCGCGGTTTCATGACCTTAATGGAACCATTGAGGGTCCATGTCGCCAGCCATGTAAGGCCAACGCGCATCCTCATTGAGGATCTGGGTAGCAGTGATTCTCCACTTGGCTCACAGCAGAGCGTGGCCATCGCAGGCTGGTAACTGATCAAACAAAACTTGGCAAAATGGCTACCGCAAATTCAGGGAAGCTGGATTCTAAGACATCTCAGACACCACTTGACCAGTTTGGCAAGGTATCCCAGGTATCCCAAACACAAACAAACATTTGGCTGTGGCTCAAAATCATTATTATCATTAGTCCCCAAAACATCTCAAAACTGGATATCAAAAATGACAAAATCTGTGAGATTGATACCCCAAGGACCCAACCCATACCCGGATCATCCGCAACAATTCCCATCACACTCCATAAAATGCTGGTAAGAATCTTGCTGTCATCCCCATGTTGTGGCTGAAAACACTGATATAAATCTCATTTCTGCTTGGTTGAATCAGTTATATAGATCCAAAATTCTGCTGCTTAACTTGTATCATCCATGGTATCCCCATGAGTGGGTTCCATGGTATCCTGCAGAGCCGCGCTCTAAACGCGGGCATCACTGGAGCATCCCCCCAGATAGGAGGAAAACGAGGGACTGTGATATACCTCATTGAGGAATACTTTGACAGTCTATGTCTGCGTGGGGAGACTCCCCAACCAGTTGCACAACCACCAAAAAGACAGCCCAAAAGAAACGGCAGGGGAATAGAAGCCACTGCTTTCTTAGTCTGGAAGATTCATATGGCAATTATGGCAATTCCAAATCAGGGAAGTGGCTGTGCGCGTGCACTGGTGGAGCAGGGGCATGATTCTCGCTCCTCCTGCTACTGGTTTCATGCACTTCAGGGATCTAACCGCAATATGCGAAGTGGCCCTGAAAATTGACAAAGCCAAAATTAGAGCAATTCCTAGCTAATGAAATGCATGCAGATCCCCAGGGGAAGGTTTGCAGTACGCAGTCCTTCATTCCCTGAGGCATTCTGCGCTCTCCGCTCAGGCCGCAACAACGAATATCTCACCATTTTCCGAACGAAATATACTCATCTCAACAGCACATGTTGGTGAAACCATGAATGTGGAAGCCATCCAATTTCCTTGAAGCCTGTCACTCATGTTCATCCCAACTTCCCTAAGAGCGGTGACCGCACACAATTGGCCGCCGGTGTCACCACCCAGCCAGCTTGTTGTGCCCCGGCTGCAGGGGCCCAGGGGTTGGTGAACCAACCATTCGAACATCAGCATTTCCATCAAGTCCATGGGACCAAACCATGTCAAAAGGGCATTGGGGCCATTGATCTCAGGAAAAATGCAAATTGTCCAATCACCACCGGGCAGGTCCCTGCCAATTGAGCTTCCAGGGCTAGGCTGACATCACGTCACAAGCTCAAACCCTTCAGGGTTGCTTGGTCTATGTCGTGGCCTGGCGTTGGTGACAATGCCATACTGAAGATCTACGACCCTTGAGGACCAACTGTGAAAATGATAGGGCCACCAGCAATGGTTTTACATTTAGATGTCAGAAGCCCGCCATTTCGGGAGCAGTTGAATTACATGCGGAAAAAAAAACTCATTCAGGCCAAGAATTCGAAATTCGAGGTCTTCTCCGAGATTAACCAAAAAACACCTCTCGTCATGGGATCAATCGTTATTTCTGAGATTCATGATATATAATTTAATCATATATATATATATCATAATATATCATTTATGGGATTCTATGATAATCATTAATGGGTCTCGACCATTGGTCGTCTTTGTGAAGACTATCCCACCTTACAGCCATGGCAGCCACATGTGATGGCCGGTGCAGACCTCTGCCACATCAGCACTGTAACCTGCAGGGATGGAGGATTAGGAGGGTACCAGAACAATCAAAGTACCATAATGAACAACAATGAACTTCGTATAGACATCTTGAGCCAGAAATTCCATCTTTGCCAACCCTTTTGCTTCCCAAAGATCCCGGGAGTTGAGGAATGAACACTTGGAGCCTCTGGGCCCCGGACGGATCCGCAAAGGTCTCCGTGCAAAAGTGCATGTCCAGGTCCTCAGGTTGAAACCAAAAAAAGACGACCCAATAGGGGGACCAGCACCTTCATTCGCCCGTTGGCCAACCAAGCACCTGGCAATGCAAGTTTCCAAAAATTGGATACCGTATATATTCATTGGTTTAGACTTTTTGCCAATGTTGAAATGATCATTGACATTGTCGTCAAACCATGTCAAACCCGCATTTCTGGGCAAACCCCAATCAACTGCCCATAGTGGGTCATGCATGATAGTGCCCAATAAACTGTATAATTCCGCCCCTATAAACCCCTCTAAACCCCCAGAAACCTCATGAACCCTGCACACTCCCAATAAATCAGGCAGTAAGAACAGGAATTTTAAGCCACCCATAAACATCCATAAACTATAACCAGGTAGTTTAACAAGGATCGACCATCATAACCATGGCCCATGGGACTCACGGGACCTCCATGGGACTCCATGGGACTCCATGGGACTCCCGACATCATCGTGCAGGACGATCTCTCTCAAGCTGTCGCGCAGCATCTGCAGCTCCCGGACCCTCAGCAGAGTCATCCTCATGTCACATCCATCCCCCCCAAAAATATTTATATATATATATATAATATATATATAATTATATTAAGTATTGAACATTAATGCTAAGTATGTATCCATGTATGTATCCATGTGTGCATCCATGTATGTATCCATGTAAAGAATACATGTATGTATATGTTTTTTGTATATAAACACCTGCAGCACCCCCAAAGAGAAACAGAGATTCTTGGGTTCTTTAATTCTGGTAGTGAAGGTTCTCTGAAGCCAGGCGGCAGCTGTTCGATATTCGGCCGCAGCACGAATTTGATGCTCTTGGACCTAAGGGACGCCATGAATTTCGGAAAACTCTACCTGAAAACTGATATGTTCCCAGCAAATATTGGAGTGAACCTTGCATTTGTTTTCTTCCACGGGAAAAAATCCGGATATTGGCCACAAGATGTTTTTCGATGTTTTTGACTAGAAAGATCTTAGGCAACTTGGTTTGTAAAGAGAATCATGCCAAACAGGACGAACCAACAGTCTTCCTGCAACCTTCTCTTTTGGTTGAACTTCAAATTGTTATCTAAGGGACACCAAAAATATGGAAGGTACCCTCCCAAAACTGCAAAGTAGGCGCTCGAATTGGTTCGAAGGCTGACTCGCAACTCAGAGAGCTTAGGTGATGTGAACAAGTTTTCTTTACCAAATCATCGAACAACTATTCACATGTATCATCCACTGCAGGTGTTCATGCTATCCGGTTCTGTACGTTTGGGGGTCCAAGGCGGTTTGGTGCGGTAACGAGATCAGTATCTTGGAAGGAAATCCTGACGCCTCCCGTAAACCATCCAGCTATTGGGCTACCCCGAGTTACCCCCGAAATCTACAGAAAAACACCAGCCGGGCTTTCCATTGCCATGTTCAATTGCCAGAGGGGAACTGTACCATCCCCAATGACTGAATTGGGCGTGAAATGTGTACAGTATACGCATCCTCCAAAAAAACTGGGTCATGGGGTTTACCATTTAAAAAATGATGGTTATCAGTTAAGTTATCTGCTTTATCATTTCATCCCCCATTTTTCTATTGATGATATCCCCAAGTATTACCAATTACCATGGCAGAAACTCACTACCATGATATATCCATAGCCTCTTCCAACCTTTAAAAACATCCCACAGCGCGTGTCGTCCCCACCTGCAACGCTTTCCTCTGAAGATGGGTGCCCCGCGCACAACGCGTGCCAGGGCCTGATAGCGATGGAAAATCACTATCTTCATAGGGACATTTTCCATAGCAAACTGTTAAATTACCAGAGGGTATATTGTACAACAATCACCCTCAAGAAAATGTGTATATAGAAAATAACCCTTCAAAATCGAAGTGTCCCTTCTATTTGTCCCGTTGCCTCATCCGTTGAACTTTCAAAATCCAGCATCCTTTTGAGCCGTGTTTTCTCCCATTCAATTCTAGTCGTGGAAGACACAAACCGTGCCTCCCGTTCATGAGGGGCGTCACCAATACTGATGATATTTTTCCATGACCTCGATCCGGATCTGAATTCCCGGCATTGCGCCCCGAGATTTCTGGAGAATCAATGATGCACTCAGGAGTCCGAGGAAAAAATCGATCCGACTCAATCCAACACAATTTTTTGGTCCTACGAACCAGCACGTATTGTCCAAAGCTGAGAAAGGGATCTCACCCCGAAAGATCTGCAGGGAAACATTGATTGAAAACAACAAACATGTTCCGCAGCGCCAACAACCTGTTGGAAAATCCGGAAAAAATATATAACAGGTTGATCAATGGGGATTCCCAGTATGGTTTATGATCGATTATGACAATCCCCTAGTTTTGTTGGGCTGCAAAATGCCCTGTAGCCAAAAATATTGTTTGCTACATGTCTTCATCTAAGCTGAACCAAGGATTAACGCACACGCGGCATATTTTCATGCTGGAGGCGGAGGTGCTCTCCATGTCTTATACACTTGCAATCTTGTATATTTATACACACAAAATATATTATGTATATATACATATATATATATATATATTATACATGCATCACTTTTGGAGAATTTACTTTTGGAGAGTTCCCCCCAAAGTTGTCAACCTGAGTTTGTTGCTCTCAAAACCCGGGCTTCACCTTTCTAAAAGTGATTTACATTGTTTTTTCAGAGGTTTATGAGGCTAACCCTGCAAAACAAATCAAATTGTCGAAAAAAAGAAAATAAAAACAAAAATCATCCCCGAATATATATATATATACACCATCATCCCCGATATGTTACCTCTTAAAAGGCTTGTCAAAATGTGGCTCCAAGGGACTGATTGGGATAGCGCTGATAAAAGCGCTCAATGACCTCCTCAAAGGCTCGAGCCTGCCGTGGCCATGCGCCATAGCTGCCATAGCTAATATGATCGATTTTTTCTCTATGTAAAGATATAGAGACAAATAAATCTGAAGCATATAATATGAATATATATATATATATGAGATAAATATGTGCATATTAGGAGATAGATATTGATAATGCGGATGTGTATATGCATAAAGTCCTGCATGTGTAAGTGTGGTGTGTTGAATCGAATTGTATCGTGAGTATGCGAAGTATACTGATGTATTACGGGTGGATATTATAACGTGTATAAGTGCGTCTCTAGACATGCATATCTCAAAAAATAGTTGTAGAACCGATGTCATCACTTCATCACTTCATCAATGCATTGTCCAACAGCAAAGCCCCGAGCGGCTCATGAGGGCAAACTGGCCCAAACTCCCTGCCTTCCAGCCAGCTGGCGAGGAAATGCCTGTGGGTTCAAACTGCGAACCTCGGCCGAGAAAAATTTCGGCCGAGGGATCACCGCCCCAAGGCCCATCATTCACCTGGCAACCTCTGCCGCGGCACTTGGAATTGTCCCAAGATGTGTCCAAAATCATTGGTTGATTGGGAAAATCATAATTTCCAATCATCATATTCCCATTGTAATATGAATTTACAATTCTTGTGTCCTGTTTCCACTTCCTGTTGATCCCCAAGACTTTCCCAGTGATTTTCCCAACCTTTCCACTTCATGGCTGCGGCTCCCCGCGCGCCGATGCCACCTTTGCTCTCCGGGTGTTCCCTAAAACTGTTTGGAGTGAAAGGTATCCCGAGTTCTGTCTACACCCTCAAAGTCGAGTCCTGAATCGCCTACCAGTGGAATTCAAGAGGGGTTTTACAAGATCTTCCATGAAGGCAATTGGCCGCGATTCCAGTTTTTCAGAGGAGTCTCCCCATTTCTCCAGGTGAAATTCCTAATTTCCACGTGTAAAATCACCGGTTTCTGCAGTTTTTATTCATGTTCGCACATATTTTCAGTGGAAGCACTGGAGGTTAAACCCGAAATATCCAAGTTACGGTTGCTCAAATCCCTCATTTTTGCCACGGAGCCTCGCATTTCTCCAGCGTTTCAAGGAGCTCAGGCAGCCATGCCTTAGATGCTGTGTCTGGAAATGGGGGATATATCGGATAGCCCAAGTTATCATACGATTTAAGTGGGGAAAATGATGATTCACCAGTGGTTTTGTTGGGCGAATTCGACTTCATCCTTTCGAGGAGCCTAATTGGAGATGATCGTCAAGAAATTTCGTGTCACCAATCAAACTGATTCAGACTGATGATATGACTTGCAAAGCGATTGGGAGTTCATGAAGAAACATGCGGGATTTGACAGCGAATGTGATCAATGCTGGAAACTGAACATATTTCAGTCGTTTCTCAAACAAAAGCGGGACAAGACTGAAAACACCCAAACATCCCATAACATCCCATAACCAGGTACACAGCTATTCACATCCCCATCTCACTTTGGGGATCGAGGTAAACCGGGACCATACATGGACTCAGGGAGTTTTTCGTAGAGAATCCCCATGTTGATTTGGTGGAGCCCCTCTGCTTGGGCCATGCCGCCATGCCCTAAGTCGCGCGAGTATGAGTCGCAAGGAACTTTTTTCAAGTCTTTTTCGCGCCAATTGACAATGGCTTCACACAGACAGGGCTCCGCCCATTTAGAAGTTGGCATAAGTTGGCATATTATTTATAACCTCACCTATATAACTATAAGTATATCCACCTAAATTCTCGTTAGGCTAGTTGCAAGCCACCTTCCCAATCTAGGGCAGCTCAGCATCAAGCAGCAATTGTTCCCCTGGGGATTCCTACCCTGCAGCTGAGATTTACCCAGCCCTCCTCTGCGTTGGTCACCACCACCACCTTGTCAGCCAGAGTCGCAGCCACTTCCTTAGCTCACACCAACCGCCCAAATATATTCGTATATACATATATAATCATATATACATATAATCATATATACATACTTTCCAAATCAGCTGGAAATGGTCCTTTGATTGTATCATCTTATATCCATTGAATCCAACAATTGTGATGTGGAAATGTCCAAGAAAAATCCAGAGGCTTCGGTTCAGCTAGGAGCCCTGCCAGCAGCAACTGCGCCTCATAGGACAAGACCTGGCGGTCTCTATGAAGTATGTTCTGTTTGCTTTCCATCAAAATGTATCCATTTATGGGATCATTGAAACTTATTGAAACACGACTGTCTGTAGGACATCTGTTTTTGAAATCGATCTATCATGATCTATCTATATTTGGATGTCAAAACATAGAGATAGAGAAACTCTCACAGACCCGGCCTGGAGGCGTCGTGCCAGGTCCCCGGTGGGTCTCGGGCCCATCACCGAAAGGTTGTGCTGACGCATGCAGGTCGTGGAGGGGCAGATCTGCGGAGCCAGCGTAGCGTGGGATTTTGAAGGGGAAATGATCAAAAACCATAGGGATTTGGGGGTACTGACAGCTACTGACAGCTACTGACAGCTACTGACAGCTACTGACAGCTACTGACAGCTACTGAACTTGATTTTTGGAACTCTTTTGCTCCAATAATTGGGCTGAGGATTGGGGCTCCAAGTCGCCCACAAAGCCCACTTTTTGGGATCAAAGAGATCTTGACAGAGTTCTGAGCTTTTGAGGTCGCCATTTTCTCCAGCCGAGGCAGCGATAGTCTCCCAGACTTTGCTGAGTCTCCGCATCATCGATGACAAAATGGCCGAAGGCCTCCAGCCGGGCCCAGAAAATGGTTGCAGCAATGGATCATCCGATCGCCGACGCGGAACTGGTAGCAATAGTTATAATCCATTTGTTTGCATATGCATTAATATAGCATGTGTGTATATGAGTGGGATATAGTTGGATTATATGGGTTAACTCCATTGAAGGGACGACTTGTAAGTAGGGTTAAGAAACCACTTACTGAAATGGATGATCCTCCAAGTATATATGGTCTACCTGATAAACTGAACTGTTGTGTCATGGTTGATAATGTATATCAACCATTTTTCCACCAAGTTTTGCAATGTCGGCAAGTCTTGCCTGGGTCGGTGACCCATCTCCGGAACCCTACTGGAGGGGAAGTCTGTCAAAAGGGGGAAGTGGACGACAACATCCCATGACAACGCCCCCGCACCTGTTTGACCCCATGAAATGTCACGCAATGCACGGGATGTCGTTGGAAATACCACGGCAGCCGCGACATCCTCAGGTCTTGAACCAAGTTTGGGTTTCACTTCGTAGATAGTCATAAATAAATAAATAAAGAAAGAAATAAAGAAATAAATAAATAAATAAATAAATGAATAAATAAATAAATACAGAAATGCAAAAATAAAAATCAAACAAACTAAAAATATATAAATAAAGGAACCTAAAAAATAAATAGAAAAAACAAATAAACAAATAACAAATAAACGAATGAACAAATAAACAAACAAACAAATAAATAAATAGATGTTTAAAAAGAAATCATCCGCCCGCACCGAAAGTGCCGGGGCGTGTAGCTTAGCAGAACTTTAGCAGCGAGCAGTATGGACAGATCTGTCAGACTGGTGCAGCTTCAACTGAGGGGGGGAATGTTCGCCCAGGACAGGCCGCAAAAAAGTGCACGGGACTGCGGAAATTTGCACATTTTGGGCCAAAGTGGGCTCCTGTTCGGCCCAACTTAAGGCCAAGGACGGTCAAGTTTGACACCAGTCGGCTTTTAGTTGCACCAAACAGGCCGGCTTGCTTCCTCTCTGTCCTATTCCCTTGGTGCGGGCAGTTGTCGTCGTAAAGGGACTCAAATAAATAAATAGATGAATATATAAACGAGTAGATGGATGGATGGATAGACAGGTAGTCAGGTGAATCGGTATTCAGGGGTTGAAGCAATTCCCCTACTGTCATCTTGTGTCCATATTTAGTGCAGGCTCAACCAGTGCACCAATGCAACTTCAAGCGTCAGCCAATACACAAAATCTTCCACCAGGGCTGCGAAAAACAGCACGAAACCGGGCACTCGCAGAGGCCAAATGCGGCGGCCTCAATGTCCACAAAGGGCATATTTTCTGGAAATGCTGGGATGCTCCAAGGATTGGAAGTGATTGAGTCATTGCATATTGATATCTTCTGACATCTTCTATCTGGGCAAGAACCTTGATTCATGTTCTCTCTATTCCTTCCATTATTTTATCATGGCTGACCTTTCTTAACAGCACAAAGTTGATCTTAGAAAAACCGCCATTTCTGGCAGGGAATTCACATATCAACCATTTGACAACTACCAAGGCAAGCCTACGACATGAGACCTAACTGGCTATGGCCATATTTTGGTCCCGGTTTATCCCCCTATTTGGAGATTTCCTGAAATGGAGGTACCCCAAATCATAGGTTTCAATACTAATTCATGCTCTAATGACTTCGATGATTTGGCGGTATCCCCCGGGGCAACCATGCGCAGATCTGTTGCCTAAAACACTTTCGTGATAGAACCTGAAGAAGTTGGCGTCCAAGTCCTGCTGTGGAAGCTTGGGGGAGTGAGATGTGACACATGCATGGTGCTAGTGAATACCACATACTTTTATGTACACATACAAATACATATACCTATACATATGCATATGCATATGCATATGCATATACGTACACATATACATATACATATACATATACATATACATATAATTATACATATACATATACATATACATATACATATACATATACATATACATATACATCTACATATACATCTACATATACATCTACATCTACATCTACATCTACATCTACATCTACATATACATATACATATACATATACATATACGTACACATACACATACACATACACATACACATACATCCCGCCGGACCGGAAACCGTGCCTGTAAAAGCACATTATTTCTCAAGAAATGAGTATGGCACTGCGGCGAAACGCGAATTTACTTCATGAAAAACATCAAAAAATGGATGCCAAAATTTTGGTTTTTTCGCGTTTTACCACAGTAACAGCTCATTTTCATCGGATGGTTTTTGTGGAGCCTGAAAAATGGCATTGTTTCGTCAGAAGATGCGTTTCAATGCGTCAATCGTCTTCTGCTGCAAGTTGGCACTGCGGTTTATGTACCTCCATTGCCAAGATTTTGCGTCACAAGAGCCGACAACGCAGGTGCAAGTTATCTTTAAAGAGTCGGCAACGTAGTTGGAATTTGAAAGAGAAGATAACAACATAGTTGCAAGTTGTGTCAGAAGAGTCGACAACGTAGTTGGACCTTGATCGAGAAGATAACAACGTAGTGGCAAGTTGTGTTACAAGAGCCGACAACAGTAGTTGCAATTTGAAAAGTTAGTAATGTACTTGGCAGTTGCTAGTAGAAAAAACGTTTATTGCCCACCCCATCCCACCCCATGCGAGCGGTTAGAGAAGTTAGCAACGTAGTTGGAAGTTGTTAGTAGAAACTTCAATATCCCACCCCACCCCACACCACCCCACACCATGCGGTTAGAGAAGTCAGTAACGTAGCTGGAAGTTGTTAGTAGAAAGGACATTTATAGCCCACCCAACCCCACCCCATGCAAGTGGTTAGAGAAGTTAGTAACTTAATTTCAAGTGGTTCATAGAAACTACGAAGCTAGTAACGTACGTGCATGTTCTCAAAAACGTTAGTATTACGAGCACAAATTTCGGTCCGCTGGCATTTACATATAGATATGCACATACGTACACGTATACACATACACACACATACATTTACATGTATACATACATATACACATTTACATATACATATAGATATACATATACATATACATATAGATGTACATGTACATATATATATATATACCTGAGAAGGGGTGGAACGAAAGCCAGCGCTTGCTTTTTGACTCGCGCGGGGGCGCGTGAAACTCCACCTCATCCATATGGCATGGCTCAAACATGAAGCGCCCCAACATCAACAATTGCTATCGGGTCATAATTTTCCAATCATTAAATGGACCTTTTTAGGGTGAACTCCACGATTTTGTAACTTCTATATCCAAATATGTTTCCTACAATGTACTGCGGCATTGTGAAAAGTTCTATCTCAAGTTCCGTAAATCCGCCTTTGGTTGCTCATTTATCTTAAAACAGCGCAAGTTTGCTCCCACCTATTGTAGATAAATAATACCCGCTTTTTTGTGTGAACAGTGGTCATGTGACCTCTCAAAGTCTAAATTGTTTTCTCCCCAGCGTGGTCCATGCTTCTCCGCGAAGTTCCGCAACATTTTGGCCGTACGGTGAGAAATCAAAACATAGCTCTACTCGCAAAATGGGCAGTGCAAACCCAAGACAATATTATAACATACGCAAGAAAGGGTATAAGAACGAATGAAAATCGAGGAAAACAATGCAAAACCCACGGGAAATATAGAACAGTGGCGAACATGCAGTCCAAATCAAAAGTATATATATTTAGGCCATTTACAGACCTGGGTACCCCCCCCACCCCCAAGGGTCTGGAAAATAGGTATTTTACAGGAAATGTCGCGGAATAGCATCATCCCTGACATCGATAGAGATAATTGTTTGGCATCCCGGAAAATCTTCTCAGCTATCACACTCGCCAAACATCCCTTTTAAAAGGCACACATACTATCACGGACGTACAGATGCATATCATTCCCGCCATTGCCATTAGAAGATTCAAATTCTTTCTCGATGTTTTAGTACAAGATTCACTTTTAGTTCTGTTTCAGCCTTCTCAGTACGGCCTCTTACAATGATATTACAGCATTTGTCTCCTAACCTAGGTGGCTCCTGTGCGCAATCTTCATTCCAATGCTTTGTGACAATAACCAGAGGCCTGGAGCCTATGCATCACTTGACAGTCGACTCAGTTCTAAACCGGAAAGACTATTCCTTCCGTTTACCAGTAGATCGTTTTTGTAGTTCTTGTCACAAAACTACCAGAATCAGGGAGGCACCAAAAAACGTCAAACAGCTTTAAGCATTATAAATACTCTAATCTGCAGATTGTATTTATTTTTCTTACTCTGTGAACGAAATCACACTTTTCTAACTTCACACAGATTACCATGAAACAAATTTTCCCATGCAACTCCTAAAATCTTACAACTCATACATCTTTTTTCCTATACCATCCGCATCTTGCTCCAAGGTTTCATGGCAATGTCTTGTACGCGAGTCAGCCACTATTTCCTATCACCAAACTACATTGCTCATCGTCTAACATTATCTACAGAAACCAAATCGGATTTCCTGCTCAACGTTTCCGCTCGTTGACATTGTCTTGGTTTTCACTATATTTTTTAAAGCATTTTTTAGTTATAACATTTTCCTAGGTTTTCACTGTATTTTTCTAACATGTTACATGCCTCCTAGCATGTTCACGCGTGTCCTCCATGTTGTACTGTTTTCTACATCGTTTCCTCTAGTTGTTACAAGCATTTCCTAGCTTACACCGTTTTCCTAATATTGTCACAACTTTTCTTCCAGTTTCCACTGCTTTTTCTACCGTTTCCTGTGGTTACTTTCTTCTCTTTTGTAGGTTTTCACTGTGTTTTGTCCAGCTTTTTTTATTACATGCTTCCTACCATTTTCACCGCTTTCCTCTATGGCTTTTTGTACCATTTCCTCTCGTTTCCTGCATTTCATGCATTTTCAATATATTTTTCCAAGAGTTTTACCCGTCTCCTTCAGTTTCCGATCGTTTTTGCACCATTTCCTCTGGTTGTTATCGCATTTTCCTGCACTTTCACTGTATTTTTCCAGCATGCTTACTGCATCGTCATAGTTTGTTCCTAGCAGTCGCTCCGGTTTCCTCCATGTTCCAACAGATTTTGCACCCTTTATTCTGGTTGTTATCACATTTTCCTGCCAGGTTGTTATCACATTTTCCTTCACTGTATCTTTCCAGCATTTTCCAGTGGATTTTGCACGATTTCCTCTGATTGTTATCATGTTTTCCTGCAGTTTCTATATCCTCTTCGTGGGTTTTCAGTCTATTCATGCATGTTTAATCTATTTTTCCAAGATTTTTGCCCGTCTCCTTTTTGCACCATTTCCTCTGGTTTGCTGCATTTTCAATGTATTTTTCCAAGAGTTTTACCCGTCTCCTTCATTTTCCGATCGTTTTTGCACCATTTCCTCTGGTTGTTATCGCATTTTCCTGCACTTTCACTGTCTTTTTCCAACATGTTTACTGCATCGTCATAGTTTGTTCCTAGCAGTCACTCCGGTTTCCTCCATGTTCCAACAGATTTTGCATGGTTTGTTCCTAGCATTTTCCTCTGATCGTTATTATGTTTTCCTCAAGTTTCATTGTATTTTCCAATACATCCTCTTCGTGGGTTTTCAATATGTTTTGTCCAGCATTTTTTTACTACATGTTTCCTATCATTTTCACCTCTTTCCTCCATAGGTTTTTGCACCATTTCCTCTGGTTTCCTGCATTTTCATACCTTTTCAATATGAATCTTAATCCAAGAGTTTTACCTGTCTCCTTCATTTTCCGATCCTTTTTGCACCATTTCCTCTCGTTGTTATCACATTTTCCTGCACTTTCACTGTATTTTTCCAGCATGTTTACTGTATCGTCATGGTTTGCACCTAGCATTCGCTCCGGTTTCCTCCATTTTCCAAGGGATAATGGTTTGTTCCTAGCATTCGCTCCGTTTTCGTCCGTTTTCCAGGGGATTTTGTACGATTTCCTCTGATCGTTATCATGTTTTCCTGCAGTTTCATTGTATTTTCGAATACATCCTCATGGTCTCTCCGGCCACCAAAAAGGCGGACCTAGGGGGAATCGATACCCCACCGTCAGCAAATTGCCTAGTGGTACATAATCCAGCAAAATGTTTTCTCGCGCTCAACACAGGGGCACGGCGAGATTTCGTTCCCTTTCGGCAACCACCCCCCCCACACCCCCTATTCTCACTTCGTTCGCAAACAGCAACTAGCCAGCTACATATACACACACATACACACACATACACACACATACACAACATTACATTATATACGTTACATACATTACATACATTACATACATTACATACATTACATGCATTACGTACATTACATACATTACATACATTACATACATCACATACATTACATATATTATACATTACATACATAACATACATAACCTACAAAAAATACATACATACATGCCATACAAACATGCCATACATACATGCCATACATACATGCCATACATACATGCCATACATACATGCCATACATACATGCCATACATACATGCCATACATACATGCCATACATCCATGCCATACATACATGCCATACATACATGCCATACATACATACATGCATACATGCATACATGCATACATGCGGACATGCATACATGCATACATGCATACATGCATACATGCATACATGCATGCATGCATACATGCATACATGCCATACATACATACATACATACATACATACATACATACATACATACATACATACATACATACATACATACATACATACATAC